CCTGGCAAATTAATGTCCTTCAAATGGAAATGTGACCATGTCAAACCCCTGCTTAAAACCCTTCAGTGACTTGCAAGACGTCAGAATAAAATTCAGACTTCTCAGCAGGGCAAGCGGAGATGGACGCCCATCTGTCTCAGCCTCCTCTCCCCACCAGTCATGATGAATTCTTCACAATCTCTATATGTTGGTTTTCTCTTCTCTCTTTGAAAAACCTTTCCTGCTTCTAGCTTAACTTCAGTGTTTTTGTGACTAGTTCAAACCGAATCATTCCCAGTGTCTTCCAGCCTTCACTCCCAGTGACTTCCTTCGGCTATAATTTCCTCATCCAGTTGAGTTCTGTGTCCTGCTATGTTCTCTTTATATCCAACACATAACTTCTTTTTTATTTCTTTTTATTTATTTTTTTAAAGAAGTTTTTTGTTTTTGTTTTTTTTAAGATTGGCATCTGAGCTAACAACTGTTACCCATCTTTTTTTTTTTTTTTCCCTGCTTTATCTCCCCAAACCCCCCAGTACATAGTTGTATATCTTAGTTGCAGGTCCTTCTAGTTGTGGGATGTGGGACGCCGCCTCAGCGTGGCCTGACGAGCAGTGCCATGTCCGCGCCCAGGATCCGAACCCTGGGCTGCCGCAGCGGAGCGCACGAACTTAACCACTCGGCCATGGAGCCGGCCCCATAACTTCTTTTTGAAAAATAGGAAACTAACTATAAATGTGTTCACTGACTGTAGTACCATAGTTTGCTGACTTGCCCATCTCAGCCTTGGATCGTGAGCTCCTCATAAACAGAGACTTTGCCTTTCATCTCTGAATCCCTAGAAGTGAACACGTGATGCCTCGCGGTGAAGGCTCACCAAACAGTTTTGTTGAGTAAGTATAAATAAAGGGCAAATGATAATTTACTATGGAAAGAATAATGTTCAAAATATTTAATAACCAGTTAGTAGGGGCACCTATTGGTCATGCTGGAACTACTGTTACAGCTGACAATGCTGTACTCATTGACACTCTCCAAGTGTCAGCTGGGATGTGGATCTCTTTGACTTTTTGATACCAACAAGGAGAAAATACATATCCTTTCATATCCACAAGCAACCAGGCTATTTTAGAAAAACATAGAAACATAATATCCTGGAAAGTACCTGGATGCATGGACACCGAGGCCAATAATCCTGTGGTGTTAACCTATCTCTGTGTGAAGATAAAAGCTTCCTCGTAAACCTGACAGTGGTGTCACAGTGCTCCTTGCCCTGTCCCAAGCACGTGTTTCCCATTCTCTGCTGGACTATTTCTTGTTAAATAGCATCAGTGAGGTAAGAAAGGATAATTTCCCACATCTTTAGGACCTGTAGTAAATCTCTTCTGCCTTCTTACTACATATATTTGGTAACAGTAAATATCTCCCTCCTTCTCCTAGCCAAGATGTTATCTTGGCTCCTGTTTCTTTCATCTTGTAAATTCACTCTTGCAAATATTGCAAAAGCTGATTCACCCCTACTTCCGTTCTTATTTCCCACCACCCCAAACCAAGGCATCTGTTGTCAGCAGAGTGAACTTTCTGAAGTGCAAACGTGGTCATGGTACTCCCTGCCCAAAACCACTCAGTTGTTCTGAATCACCTATTACAAAGTTCTCCAGGTCATTTCAAAAACCGAGCTTTTTAAAAAATGCATGTGCTTCGGCTTGAGGAGACTCCAGTTCAGTCTGGTGTCAGGGTGGTATGTAGGCAGTCTTGCAAGTTTCCACAGGAGTGTCTATCACACAGCCAGGCTGAGGACCACACTTGATCCCCAGCTCCTTGAGGGGAAGAAGCCTATTCGTGGCTGGTTCCTGTCTGTCATTTCCAGTTCACTTATTAGCTGGGAGACTTTGGCCAAGTTACCCAAGTGTTTGAGCCTCAGCTGCCTCAGTTCAAATGGGGATAATGATACCAATATTGCAGCACTGTTCTAAGTATTCGGCCATCCAATTTATCATCCCAACTGAGACACTACTAATAATTACTCCACGATACTATACATAAACTTTGACTATCCCAGGCAAACAGGGGCATGTGGTCCCAGTAATCTGAGGTGGTATATTCAAAGCATCTCTCCCAGGGAGTAGCATGGAGCATTTCTATTTTTATCGTCCTTCATATGTGCCTCTCCAACTCTGCTGGAAGCCCTTGCATGCTCAGGTTGTGGCACAAGGCACAAACTTGTTCATGATGCGCTCTAACCAAGATCCTGAATGTTTCTCTGTCACTGCCCTTTCCCCACGATATACTACACATCATCAGCCTTGACGTTTTTCCCTTTTCTTTCTCTACCACTATAGCCCAGCATTAAACTTGCAGGGCCCAGGACAAGAGTGTAAAAGAAGCCTACTTACAATATATTTTTTTAAATTAAAAGCTATACATCAAGCTAACTATTAAATAAGTATCTCCTATCCTCCTACCCTGACAAATATATTATAATAACGACATGACAAGTCCAGACTTAGACTTCTGAGAAACCTTGCAGTTCCATGCAGGATGGTGGCTGAGGGGAGGGCTGATTCTGGACCCTGGCCTACAGCTGGCCCCTCTTCTCTCCGCATCCTTGGCTCCATCCACACCACCAAAGCATCATATGTAAATATGTAGACACCCCAACCTACACATTCAAGCTCTGCTCATCTCCTACTTCCACCCTCCCTAGCAAACAACTCTAGTGGTGTGTATTACATTCCTGTTGCTGCTATAACAAATTACTACAAATTCAGTGGCTTAAAGTAGCACACATTTATTCTATTATAATTTTGGAAGTCTGAAATTAGTCTTGCAGGGGCTAAACCAAGGTGTTGGCGCTGCTGGCTCCTTCTGGAGGCTCCAAGTGAGAATCTCTTTCCTTTGAGTCATGCCGCCTCCTTCCATCTTCAAAGCCAGCAGTGTAGTATCTTCTCTCCTCTCTGACCTACTGCCTCCCTCGTATAAAATCCCTTGTGATTACATGAAGCCCAGCTGGATAATCCAGGGTAATCTCCCCATCTCAAGATCTTTAATTTATCACCCATGCAAAGTTCCTTTTGCCATATAAGGTAAGATTTATAGGTTCCAGGCACTAGGATGTGGACGTATTTGGGGGCCATTAGTCAACCTACTACAGGGTGTACATAGCAACAGACTCTTGGCAGGATGAACCCAAGGAAGAAGTCTGAGCAAGCACTGGAACCACACTTGGGGCTGCCTAAGCAGGGGTTCTGGTGGCCGCATGCCTGGGGTGTGGTCTGGAAGCAGGGGAGCTGCAGGATCAGAGTGGGCATGTCCCTCTGGATGGATCCTGCCCTGCTCAGCTGGAGGAGGTCCCTATAAAGCCCAGGAACCAGGGCAGGAGCCCAAGGATGGCGCATCTCCTTTCCCTTATTGATCTGGCAACCACGGTCTATTTCCCTTTCTCGTGATCTGATTAAGATTCTATCAGAGGAAAACATGTAAGCAAATTGTTTTATTCTATTAAAAGTTCTTTTTCTCTTTTTGCACCTCTGCCTTTTACTTGTCGTGAAAGAGCCTTACTGCACACCCACTCATTGTTTTTAACCATCCTCACTGGCTTTCCCTTCCCTTGAAACTTTAATTCCATCCTTCCGCCACCTCTTCAGTCTTCTTAAAATACACAAGATCTCACCTGTTTGTGTGTTTTAAAAAACATGCTACCCAGCTAGCAAGTTATCCAGATCCTACAAAACGCTCAGTTCATTCTCTTATATTTCTTTGTTAGAAATTTTCCTCTGCCATTTGAAGCCTGCAGGTTTGCTTTTATAATCAAATTTTACATTTCTTCTCTTGTTCTACTTGTATACTCTGTGTTTATATTTTGCTGGATCTTGGCCATTTTGAATAATATTTCTACACTTACACAATGTATATAGAAGAATTTTTGAAAAGAGTTGTTTTTCTCCCCTTTAAAGTTTTTGAAAATCCCTGAAGTATCATCTATGTTTTTACTTATTCTCATTGCTGCATTGAATTTTTAAGGGACTCAACTATGTTTTGAGAGAATTGTTAGATTTGAGAGTTTATTAATAATTTCACTTTTTGTCCCCAAAGTTTTGTGGGTTTTTTCCTTAGTGAGATATTACATATTGCAAAGGATCCAATGAAAAGAAAATTTGACAATTTAAACTTCGTTTTAAACTCGTTATAATATTTTAGTGGTTTTCTTCAATCTGTGACTACATATTAATGTTTTAATTTTATCATAGTGTGTGCCCCATGAGGGCAGATGTCTACCTTGTTTATCACTGTATGTGTGATGGCCCAGCTACCAGTGTCTGGATTTCAGTAAATAATTGAATAAATGAATGTGAGAATTAATGAATGATAGAATTTCAGAATGGTTTAAAAAAAGTAATACAAAGATATAGAGTATAAACAATGTTACTTCAATGAGAACATTGAAATATAGATTTCTTTAAATTTTCAATCAGATTTGCAATCTCTCCTAGCCTATTCTGGAATGACTAATAATTTATACTTCTAAAGGTGCTAACCACACTGTGTACATTCAAGATAATGGTGGTCTGTTGAGATAGTTTATGGATTGATAAATACAGAAGATATTTAATAAATATTATTTTATATATATGCTATATATAGTGATAATTCTATGTATTATGTAGATATTAAGAATTATGTAGATGTTAAGATACTGAAGATCTTTAGTTTTAACACAATGTTCGATGATGAGAACTGTGAATCTCTGGTGCTGAAATGAAGACAGGAAATGAGGGAACGTCTTTCCTCTCCCTTTCTCCTCATTCTTTTAGGAATTGTGTGTAGGAACTGGTTCACTTCGATTTTGTCTAGTTTTAATTGGTAAATATATGTATTACTTCTTCGGGGTGAAGACATGTCCTATGCCTCACCATTTCAAACGTCTATGTTATAGTACTCTCTCTTTCCTTGCCTTCTATTCTGCCCTGGTTTAAACTTTACAGATGATTGAAGGTGTCTTTTTTATTATTTGTCTTCAGAATGGCTTTACTCCTTTATACATGGCTGCCCAAGAGAACCACATAGATGTTGTAAAGTATCTGCTGGAGAATGGAGCTAATCAGAGCACTGCTACTGAGGTAAGACTGTCGAAGGTTCAAGTTCTTTGATTTTAATGTCTGTATTCTTTATATCCAGCTGCTAAGGGTCTCCATTACCCTGTCTAAAATATGCGAAGAATGTTCCCATCACTGTCGCAGTTGACAACAGTGGCCATGAATGAATGGCCCCGTGCACACAGTTCAAGGAGTTTATGCCTTGATTTGTGATTCATGTCCATTTATTCTTACATGAAATCATGCTTCCATCATTTTGCCATTCTCTAGGTTTGAGGAGCTTTGTACTTTTCCAAAATTAGATTACTATAAGTTTTACCCTTCTCTATTCATCAATGTTTTACCTTTGTTAGGATCCAATACAATTCCTTAAGGGAAGAGTTTTTAATGATCAGAAATAATTCACAGATATTTGTGTTAGCACAATTTTATGAGGAATATGTCACTAAAAAGAGCTGTTCCTATTGTCTGAAGCACAAATTATGGCATGTAGCTGTGTGACTATGATTATGGTGACAGCTGAATAGAATGTTCAAAGTCAGTCCAGTATCCAAACATTCAGGATACCCGGACATGAGAAGAGGTTGGCATGGGCCAACTGAGAACATCACTTGCCTTTTCCTATGCGTGTCCTCCAATAAGCAGAACTTACTGTGTACTTTCCTTCTTATTTTTGCCTAGGCAGATTAACAAGCAAGTTCAATGTTGTTTAGAACAGTGATTTCTGAGGGATGCTCCAGAAGCCTTTGAGCTTGGAGAAAATGCCTCAGGGAGTAGGAGGTTGGTAGTGGGTGACGTGAGAGAGAAGGGGAAGAGAGTTCCACTGGGACATGCCTCTCCTCACCCCTTTCAACCAGAGTATGCAGGCTTTGTTTTTCCTATTTCATATTCTGCTCCTCCAATGATCAAACTTTAAAACTCCTGGGCTGGAGTGAAAGATGACTGGTAGATTCTTGTCACTCAGAAACTATCTTGATCATTTTTAATGTTTAATATGACTTTCTTTCTGGAAATTAAGTCTTTAGGTGAAATAAACATGAACTCCCTTCTACCCTGCATTGTGGGGGGAGAGGTCATTATAATCTATTAAATCCATTTCCAGTTCCTTTGGGAGAAAAATTTTTATGGAGTCAATCACAGTAACTTTCTGACAGCTTATTCGCGTTAGTTAAAAAGAAAAAATCCAGGTCCAGCCCCGTGGCTGAGTGGTAAGTTCGCTCACTCCGCTTCAGCGGCCCAGGGTTTCACCGGTTCGGATCCTGGATGTGGACATGGCACTGCTCATCCGGCCATGCTGAGGTGGCAGCCCACATGCCACAACCGGAAGGACCCACAACTAAAATATACAACTATGTACTGGGGGGCTTTAGGGAGAAAAAGAAGGAAAAATACAAAAAAGAAGATTGGCAACAGTTGTTACCTCAGCTGCCAATCTTTAAAAGAAAAAGAAATTCTAAGAAACCACTATTAATGGGACCATGTTTCCTGCTTATGAGTGGAAAACACAACTGCCCAGTATGAAATAATCTCAAGTTCTCTATTCAGCACACACAGATTTTACACTCTTACCAGAAGGCTACAGCGTGATTGTTATGATTTGGGACCATTTTTTTCTGAGACACTAATTCTATCAATGAGTACCCTGTGAAAACCTTCAGGCAAAGCTTGAGTGACAATATGAGACTGTATCTCGGCATCAGGACCTCTGAGAAATGTACCAAAACAAGGAAATCTATGTTTGTTTTATTTTATTTCCTTAAAGGTGGAATCACTTACCTAAAGAAATCTTTATACTACAGAGTTCTTCTGCTTGCCAAATAGACTTAATATTTCTAGTGTGTGATTTAGGGAAACTCAGCTTGCTGGCATTCTCAGCTGTCTCAGGGCTCCTTCGGTCTGGCCTTTTGTAGCATTTCAGTCTGGTTCCAAAAATACCCCTTTATGCACATAACATTGGCAGAGGCCATGTTTCCCTGTGATTCTCAGAAAATTTAAAACTCTCACAGAAATGTGGCTTTTGCAAGTGAATCATATGAGGTTTTGAATCCCAGCTTTGACATATGTATGTCTGCCTGTTATTTGTTTTCATCTTTTAATCATTTAAATAACTAAAATGAATTTTTCCTGACTGGTCATATATGAACTTGGTTAACCCTCCACTGCTGGCCCTAATGATTATCAATAAACACGCATGCGGACAAAGCTTTGCACATTCCCTTTTAGTCTATCATTCTGTAAAAGATAACACCTTCATAGGGCTCTATAGTTGATTACTATTTGAGATTTTAGGTTGTCACTAAGTACCTTCTACAGTTTGGTGCACATGTGTGAATCTGCCTAAAGATAACACTTACTCTGAACTCATTAGTAGCCCCAATTTGCAACAATTAATTCCCGAGGCCAGCCCTGTGGTGCAGCAGTTAAGTTCACACCTTCTACTTCGCTGGCCCGGGATTCACTGGTTCGGATCCCGGGTGCGGACCTACGAACCCCTTGTCAAGCCATGCTGTGGGAGGCATCCCACATATAAAGTAGAGGAAGATGGGCATGGATATTAGCTCAGGGCCAGTCTTCCTCAGCAAAAAGAGGAGGATTGGTAGCAGATGTTAGCTCAGGGCTAAGCTTCCTCAAAAAAAAAAAAAAAGAAAGAAAGATTAATTCCTGATCAAGATATTGTGACCACTTTAAAAATCAAATAATTATGAAATCATTTCATATGGCATTGACTCTCGTGTTTGAAAAAGAATATTTAAAGTTTTGAAATTTCCCATAATTATAGCAATTAGCATTGGTAAATAAGTGATGAAAAATGAAGCTACTGAATTTTAATATGTTTCCTTTTTCATAGAGTTAGTTGAAGTACTTGAAAAAAATCATTCTCGATATTTACCTTCCTCTGTGGAGTATAGATTAGAATGAAATCCAAGTGGTGGAGATCAAAGTTAAATTCTCGGAAGGGAATTCACTGTCCTTCCACAACCATTTGTAGAATTCTCTACTTTCTTCCTTCTTCTTCAATGTTACCAAAATTGAAGGTTAAACCCTTTTTAATTAGGTTCTGTACTGTCAGCAAATGCCTTGTCCTACACTCCTCTGTTATAAACCATCCCACTGTTGCAGGGCAGTCACGTGAACGATGTAGGTGAGAGCCTGTTCTTGCCTCACCCATGGAGTGCTTAACTGGTGCCAATCAAAGTTCCCAGTTAAGGCTGCTATTTGTCCTCTTATGACACCACACACTTTACTCTTCCATTCTATCAAGTAGGGTGTTTATTTAAAATTCAATTCTTATTTTAAAAATTCAGTTCTTTTTGTGGTAGTGCATAGATGACACAATGCGTTTGAGGAAAATGATTTTCCCTCAAAAGTCTACAGTTACCTTTTTAAAAATTATTGTTGAAAACAAATAGAGTAGTTGGATTGAGGTAGACTGCCGTTGTCTCTAGAGTGCAGTCATGAAAGCGCCGTTCTATTGCCCTCATCTCTTGTCTCTATGAATGGAAACTTCTAACTCTGCAACTTATTCTCAAGCTTTTGTACAGTAAGGGAGGTCTTATATATTTTTCCTACTTACTTGTCACCTTTCTGTTAACTGAATACTTGTTTCTGGAGAGAAATCATGGCTCCCAAGTTTTCTAGCGTGGTCATCTATCTAGCCCTAAGACTCCTAACTCTGATGATCTGTGCTACTGATTTTTTTTTTTATTGTTTTCTAAGTTTAGAATTTAGTTTAGAATTAAGCTGATTTTTTTCACATTACCTAGCACTTGTAATTTTAGATCTAAATGATCTAAATAATATAAAATTCAACTAAGTACAAAATTAATGAATTAGCCTTATTTGCTGAGGAGTTTGGGATCATATGATGTCCCAGACTTCCCAAATTAATTGGTAACAGACCATTCCATTAACAGTTGTTATTGCTTTTCCCTAATCAATACAAAGAGAATTAGCAACAGAGATATTTAGCAACTTGCATAGTTAATTATATAATTTACTTCCCTCTCTTGGCTACCATATCTTTGGTTCCCAATCAGACTTGGACATCATTATTTCTACCCTTCTCATTTTCTCCTTTCCATAAGCAGGCATTACTTAGGGTTGGTTCTGACTTTTATTTTTCCATTCTAAACATACATTTGAGCACATCCAGTATGCAATATGCTCCGTTAGGGAATGCCAATGTTTTTCAAAATATATAGAATAGAAATTAAGAAAACAGTCTGATGAAGTCAATCCATAGTATTGCAAATAACTGATGACAATCTGCTTTAGTCTTCAAAGTAATATTTAATCCTTTTGCTTTGCTTGCCAGTTTTCAGCGTTACTTCAAAAATTAGACACATCATTGCTTAGCGTCGAATCCCACACTTGCAAAAGTTAATGAAAGATTTTTTTTCCTTCTGTTTTACTAGGACGGCTTTACGCCTCTAGCTGTGGCACTCCAGCAAGGACACAACCAGGCAGTGGCCATCCTTTTGGAGAATGACACCAAAGGGAAAGTGAGGCTGCCAGCTCTGCATATTGCAGCTAGGAAAGATGACACCAAGTCTGCCGCACTCCTGCTTCAGAACGATCACAATGCTGACGTGCAATCCAAGGTAAAAGCTGAACACATTGTGGAGAGGAGCTCTTCGCTGCCAGACTCCTCCTGGGAGATGACAAAGTAGGCCATGGTGATAATGCAAAATTACTTCTGGTCATCAAAAGAGATAAAGTACTTTCAGAGGTATTTTGGAAAAAGGGGATTATCTATTGGGTACAGTAATCAAAAAAAATTAAAGATAATTTTCTTTTAAAGATAAGGTTCAGCTTTTTAGAAATCTGTTTGTTTATTCTATTTATAGTCAGAAATAATAGAAACAGAATTAGAAAGATAAAATTGTATTGTGTTGTATTAGGAATGTCTTTTCTTGGTAGAATGCATTTTGGCATGTTGGAACAGTGTATCCACTTGCCGTGAGAAGATTGTTTCCTTCATTTTGCACTGTGTAATATCTTCCCTCTTTTTCCCACACAACACTGCTTCAGATGATGGTGAATAGGACAACCGAGGTACAGTATTGTGGTTATAACCAAAATATACCTTGTTTTTATTTATTTTAGTTTTTTTCCCAATTAGAATAAATGCTCACTAATTCGTACTAATGATTGGAACTTCCATTATTAGGAAATTAATTTGGAAACTTTTCCCATAATTGAGGCAAATGGATAGTTCAAAAAAATTAAGGTAACATATATTTGAAGCATTATTTAATCATTGAAACTATTTAAATAGCTTATTAGGGTAGAGCAGGAAATGAAACTTCATTAATATATATTTTACTGAGTGAGCTGTACTATTAGCTTTTTGCCAGTAAGAGATGTGACTTACTTCTCTTCATGAGAATTCTCAGGCTAGAGTTTAGCAAAGTGAAATTTAAGGAGATTTCTCGGTCCCTGTTTTAATCCTTTTGTCTCATGGTTGCCCTTTTTCTCCATATTTTTTTAAACCACATTGTATGTGATCAATAATGATATTGAGCATATCAGGAGCAAAGCATTTGCTTTTATCTTGCTAAGTCTTACAATACTTGCCGTGAAATCGTCTATTTTCCACATCCCAAGATAAGTCACGTCGATCAACAAGAAAACTCAGTGCAAAAGCCTCTCAGGATAGTGTGTGTGTGCATGTGTCTGTGTGTCTGTGTGTGTGTGTTTGGTGGTCTCTCGACCTTTGCTCCTGAGACGCATGAACACAAACATTGTTGAAAGTATATTATAAAAATTAACCAATATTCAAAGGCAAGTGACTAATAATGTAGGTTGATTTTCACTTTGTTGAGGGGAGTTTGAGACGAACATCTCATCTGATCACTGTGGGGGTTTGGAACATACACACTTCGAATTTACTGAGAGTAGTATATTTCTAAACTAATATCTTGTTTATTGACAAATTTACCCATTGAGATGTGAATATATGTGAATTATTCATATCACTTCTTCCGTTCCATATCTGTGCATGGAGCTTAGGTCAGAGATTTAAAAAAAGGCCAACTGCTCGGTGAAATTGCTCAAGACTGCAGCTGTACAAATTGGTATCTTGATTACTGACTTTAATACCTTTAATTTTTTAAGTGAATTTTGGTAATTGTGTAAGATACATATCTGAAAGCAGTATTGGCTTTCCACATTGTGTTGAAAGCAGTGGGTAGAGTAGATTGGGACTGAATCAGAAATATTTCTTCGAGGACAATACAGTAACAAAGAGGGGAAGCCGCTGCCCTGATCATCCTGTAGGAAGTGAACTGAGCCTTCTGTCTCCGTGTTAATCAGGGGAGAGCTCCTCTCAGGGGCTTATTCCAGCCTCGTGTTGATCCAAGAGTCACAGCCCGAGGCAGCATTGTGGATGGTCAATGAGGCTGTGTCAGACAATAAATTAGTTTACTTTTGAAATTGAGAAAAGTAATATTATTATGGCTGGATAATTTGAACACGATTCACCAGCAATCCCTATGTTTTTCTGAAATTAAATTGTGACTTGAATTACAGACGCACATTCAGGACATGTCTGGGTGACAGGAAATATCAAGATAAAAATGAAAAACATCCAGTCAATTATTTCCTAAAATATAAAATTTTGACATTTTATAAGATAATAGCCAGGTTGTAGACGTATTTTTTTCCCTCCATATTGACATGAATATTTGGTATCCTGTAGACACAAAATGAAAACATCTTGACCACCAACGTGGGATTTGGATCAAAAGTTACTATTCTTATTTTATGTCTTGGTTCTCTGCAGCCAGAAATTACTTGCAGCTAATTTGGCTAATAGCACAGAGGAATTTCTGTCACCTAACATGTCTGAATGCATATTTGGGCCCATTTTCAAAACAAAATCACGAGAGCCTATATATCAAGTGATAGAAAAGCAATGGTTGTAATGTAGATGATATTTGTTAAAAACAATGTTATGCACATCCTAGTCCATTTCCAGATTAAAGAGAACAATACAAATAACTTCGGAACTATAGGATCTGACATCCAATTTTATAGGAACAGTCTTTATTGTTCCTATAATTTTTTATTAAGTAATGAAAATTATGGAGAGCAAAGATAATATGTCTTTGCATACTTGAATGATAAGAGTTAATATGCTTCTATTATGAAATGGCAAAAATTTATAACTAAATTTTAATCAGAAAAAGAAATGAAAGGAAGTATACTTTTCTTTCATTTAAGACTTTGAGACTCAGTTTTTAAACATTCTTAGAGTAAACAGTTCTCTAATGCCCAGATAATTGATTTAACCTGCTTATTTTATTTTATATCAATCGTATTTTATTGACGAAATTTGGTTTAATTAATATTCAAAACTGGGTTCAGCTGAATTTTTTCTTTATTTTGTATTCATATTGATGCCAAGTATATTGTTTAATGTATGGTTTTTCACTGTAACACAGTCTGACTAAACACAGTTGTTAAAGAGCATAGAAATATCAGGACAGTGTTAAATGATGTGGAATGAATGTACATCCTCTGTAAGAATTTCTCACAATATTTTTCATAGTTCAAAAGATACGATGCCAACCAATGCTGTTTCTCATTTAAAAAAACCTCAAAAATCAAAAAAAACAGAAGTTTCGGTTTTTTCTCTTGAGAAAACATTTCTTATTCATAATTGTATTAGTCCCGTGGCTGAAACTTTCTTGTTTAATCAAGTTCTGTTTTTCTGAAAAGCCAAACCAACTCAAGAAACATGGTTTTGTATAAACAACAAATCTCATAAATAGATAAATTATTAACGTAATTAGAAACAATGTTGCCAAGAAATGTAGGATATTTATTGACCTGTTTATATGTTTGCTTATTTACCACCTTATAGCACTAGGCTATAAGCATTTATCTGAATTGTATTGCTCACATATTAGGTAGACAGTTACCATGTGATTTTCTTCACTAATCCAGTGACTGCAACGTATGGAGGTAAAATGCTTTACTGACTCAATTTCTTTGCTTTCCATAGAGTGGTTTTACTCCTTTGCACATTGCCGCCCATTATGGAAATGTCAACGTGGCAACTCTTCTACTAAACCGGGGAGCTGCTGTGGACTTCACAGCCAGGGTATGGATTCAAATACTTTTTCATTTTAGAAAGCAATAAATGGGCATTTTACTAAAGTAAAAATGAACACCAATAAATGTTTTATTTCTTTTTCCTTAACTGGATCTGTGCTGGAGTTATTAGATTTTCCATTTTTTCCTTCAAGTCACAGGAAGTCATCATGACCCAATAAGTGAAAAATAAGAAGGTGTAAATTCAGAAGCACACAAATCATTTGCAATGGTTAAGGAGAATATTAATTCTGACCTCAGTAGGAGCAGTTATATCTAAAGATCACACCATGAGTCATGAATAGGCAGCTTCAAGTCAATAAATAACTTGGAAACTGTTAAAACATTAAGTATAAAATGTATAAGTACATTTATACAGTGTCTTAACAATAATTATAGGGCACACAATTCGACAGAGAATTTTTTTTAATGAATTAGGAATTTGCTTATATAACGAGTCTTACCAAAATACATAAAAAGACATCATGTTGTGTTATATGTTAAATGGTATGCTTTTATTGGAAAGAATACACTTACATGATAATTATAATACTCAGTGTACTTAATATGAATCAGTAAATGCAGCATTTGAATATTTGCAAAATTATGACATAGAAAAAATGAGGTACATATCCTTGTCAAGATGATGATATATGATAGCCAATAAAATAAATAAATTTAATTTGTATATACGGTGCTTTGTTCTTAGAAGTCTTCTGCACTGAAACTATGTTGAGTTATTTTCAAGTTGTTTTTCCTACTGAATTATTCTGAAGAACGTGTTTTTCAGAAATATTTTTCCATTGGGTATTGATATGTATATGCATATTTTATTTTTAAGCATAGCCAACTTTAAGATCCCAGATTCTTTAAGTGCATGGGTGTTACAGAAAGAAAGATAGACTTTGGACTTGGGCTCAATCCTAGACAGAATCTGAAATTTTGTTTCTATTATGCAAAAGTGCTCCCTTTGTCTCTTGACTGTAATGTGTACATTCAATACCTATGTTGTAGTTATTGACTAACTTAGTTATACAGTTTCATTCCATTTTTCATTCCTTAACTATAGTGCTTTGTGGTTTGTGTGCTTTTTTGTTCCTGAAATTTTGAAGACGTTAAGACTTTAGAACCCTTGCATCAAATTACCACATAGGTCACAACCTCCGTTGTGCCCTCTAACACAAGGTCTTCACCATCATGCCCTGTCCTACCCAACATGCTCTTGTTTGGTCTTTCCATGGTGTAGAATGGAATCACTCCTCTCCATGTGGCTTCCAAAAGGGGGAACACAAACATGGTGAAGCTCCTACTGGATCGTGGTGGTCAGATCGATGCCAAAACTAGGGTGAGTGTCTCTGCTCTTTCACTTTCCTACCATTATTATTTCTTGTATTCTTTTAGTAGGTACAATAAAATACCAGTCCTAAACATAGGCAATGAATTTTCAAGGAAATTGCTTTCTTAGATTTGATTGAAACTTCATACAGCATTTAGAGGTTTCACATTGTAAAGTGGAATTAATATTTTCTCATAAGTTCCTGGAGAAACAGAATGCTAGGTCTTCAATGAGATGATTTTTCAAGTCCTTGCTTATTGATTTTCTGCGAACAAAGATCAAAGATTGGACTTAACACACCTCTCATGTGGTTAGCTGTAAATATAAAGAACTCAAACTCATCAATATACATTAAGCTATGAGAGTGTGGCTTTTACGTAAAATATTTTAATACATGTTGAAAATCTTTTGCTTCTAACTTTTCAATTCCTAAATCATTTTTCATTCTTCTTTTTTTTTTTTTTTGGTGAGGAAGATTGGCCCTGAGCTAATATCTTTGCCAATCTTCCTCTATTTTGTATGTGTGGTGCCGCAACAGCATGGCTTGATGAGTGGTGTGTAGGTCCTCTCCCGGGATCCAAATCCGTGAACCATGGGCTGCCTAAGTGGAGCATGTGAACCTAACCATACACAACCAGGCTGGCCCTAAATCGTTTTTCTTAAGTGGTTATGCTGTACTGACGTAAGCAGGAGCTTTGCTATAATGCTTATGGAGAAAAGGCATACAGTTATTATAGTGCACTTCTACTCATGTCAATCTTGTTAAGTAAAATACTGTTCTGGGTTTTTATGCACTCCCAGCAGATAGATAATTAGATAAGCAGGAGAGAACAACTGTTAAAAGTGCAGACTCTGAAGGCAGATGACCTGATTTCAAATCCTGCTTCTACTACTTCCTAGCTGCTTGATATTGGCAGTTTACTTACTTTCTCTGAACTTAGGCTAATAACAGTACCTACCTCATAGGTTGTGGGAGAATTAACACTTAGGTATTATTATTTGTCTTTTTTTAAGTGGGGTGGGCAAATTACTTAGGTACTAATAATTTGTGATTATGTTACTGAAATTATATGCAGTTACTAGCTAAAACATTAAACTAGTACTTCAGTGTTAATTCTCTGGAGTGGACATGGTTAATTATCCCCAGACCTGGATATACTTCAGCAAAACTTTAAACATTGTTATAATATGAAAATTTTTAAATATATGGTATAAGAAGTCTATGAGGATGGTAGATAGGATATATCCCTTGTGATATTTTGTCCTCACTTATTTTAATTCTGAGACTTCATGTTCTCATAGTCCAAGGAATCAGAATCAGATCGAGTTCCCTTGCAAATCTTGAGGCTGGCAAATGTTTTTGTTCAAAGCCTTATCATCTTTGAGCTTCCAGAAACCACACCAGCCCCAGACTATATATTCTGGCTGTTAATGACCTCAGGAAATGTTGCTCTCTTAATCTCATTTCTCTAAGACGTTTGGTCCACAGCACCTGTGTCGTATTATCATGTGGGAGTTCTGGAGTAGTTTGCTCTGTGTGTCAAGATCTTTGTTGTGGTGTCCAATGTCTTTGCATCATAGTTTTATGTGGTTTCTACCCTTTGCTTTGTCAGCACGCCTTTTCCCTTGCTATGCTGTAGGTATGCAGAATTTGGAACAGTTATGCACAATGCTGCATGTTTTGCTTACTTGTTCTTTATATTTAAAGGAAAGAGTTTCGGTATCTTTTCCTTGAAGTACCTTACTAACATAATGTCTCCCTTTACAGTTACCTTTCCATTTCTGTTGAGGCGCTCTAATAATTGAGAGCACCAATGGAAAGACAGCACTTTGTAAATGGAAAAAGTTCTTATCTTAGTGTCTTAAGGGTTCACATTGATCTTACAAATGCTTTTCTGGAGTATTCATTCATTATTGAGGCAGTTGATTTTTTCTTACTAATCATCACCACATTTTCTAGTTCTTTAAAAGATGCTCTAATTTGCATGGCCTACATCCATTTGCTTATACAATTTAAAAGTCTAACTCCAAATAGGCATTGTATTTTCATAAGAAGAGTACTAAGAAGTGGAGAGAAATCGATGCTTATGCTAGTTCTACCAGTAACTCCTTATCCTTCAGCAAGCTGACAATCAAACGTAAGGCTTGGTTTCTTCTGTACAGGGACTTTTTGGACTGTATTTATCCAGTCTAGCAGACAGCCCATCCAGTGCAGTAGTCCTTTAGATACAGCAAATAAATTGAATTTCATTCAAGAATTTATAAAGCAAAAATAGATTTTCTAATTGGATATGTGGTGTGGACATTCTGTTCATTCCTTCCTTAAACAGATAGTTACTGAGTTCCTCTTTGGTGCTATGAACTCTTGATATAGAACAGTTCACAAGGCAGACTAGGTCCCTGTCCTCAGAGACTCAAGTCAACAGTCCCCAAGGGATCAGACGGCAGTGTGTTGGTAAGAGTTTAATGATTGGTTTTAAAAAAAAAAAAAACGCCCTGATTTGTAGCCCTTGCCTTTGCCGATTTCCATGGTATAAATACTCCATACTTCCCTCATGGCCAATCAGAGCTACCAGTGTGGTTTAACTGAATGCAGAATTGGGAAAAGATGTGCAAAAAATTGGCTCTCACTAGTTTGTGTGTGCTGGTTCCAACACACCCCAGGATGAGGTGCAATATTGAATGGTGGCACTAAGCTTCTTCCCCCATAAGTTAAAATATTTCCTCATCTCTAAGGAGCAGGACTTTAAAAGCACTTAGGTTCTTTCAATTGTGGCTATAACTAAAAGACATATCCTTCTTCCCAAAGGCAAAATCAAGCGGGAGGTAAATAGTGAAAACAAGGACTGGTCTGGAATGGTGGGGCGAGTTCTGGAGCTATAATATTTCATTACTAAAACAAAGGAATATGGTTTGCTTTTGTCTTTTGAAATATATTTTAAAATAGAAAAATGTTATTTTGTTTTTGACTATCCTTTTAGGTAATACAATAGAGCTTCTATATATGAAAGTAAAAGTAATATAAATATTATTCTTTCATTTTTTTATCAGAGAGGTCTCAATTTCCCCTACTAATCAGATTAGTTTTAAACATTCAGAAGTTAGTATATTCTATCAAGAGTTTTTCCTCGAACCTCCCATTATTTTTCTCACGTATGAAGTTTTCTTTATCTGTAGAAAAGCAAGATATAGAGAGGCTTTAGGATAATTAAAAATAATCTTTCCCAGAGTTTCTCCCCACTTTCCCCAGCACTGTCGTTCAGGGGGACATCCTGCATCTCCCTGGCATTCTCACCATTGACTAGGATCTAGTGAGACGCTCTGAGACATTTTCACAGAGCCTTGGTTTTCTGGTATCTAAAAAACCTCATTTTAATGTTAAAACAGAAACTTTATAGCTGGTTAAAAATGACATTATTAATTCAGTTTTATTAAGGGCACTATTCTTTTTTATTTTTTAATTTATTTATTATTTCACTGTGGAGATACTCCAGATAAAGATTATGGTTAAAGTATTAAAATACATATTTCAATGCAAACAATAAAAGTGTATGAAAAACATGAAAGGATAATGAATGAAAAACAATCCATCAGAAAAAGAGATCACACTTGCTACTTGTTATTAGAAGTAATAAAGTAAAAACAGTAGTGACTACCAATTGTCGTAAGCATATGTTCTAAGCACCCTGCTAAGTTGTCGAGAAATATCATCTTATTTCAACTTCCTAATAACTTATGAAGTATGTATGACTTTCTTGTTGAGAAAATATTGAGGTCTTCATTTGAGAAATGAGACTACCAAAGGGAGAAATGAGTTTCAGAGGAGTTGTGTAACTTGACCTAGGACACACAGCTTAGTAATTAGCAGAGCCAATGTTAATCTACAGACTTCGGGATGCAGCACTGGAAGAACAGTCTAACCAGAGAGGGAGGAAAGAAAAGGTAGGGAAAGAAATGCTTGTAAGAAGCTCATGCTGTGGGTTGCCAGCTGGATAAATGGTGTCCCTCTAACGTTGATTGATTTTCCTTTTAAGAATTAGCAACATCATGGTATGATCTGAAGTGATTCTAGTGAGGAGAGAAAGAGAACTTAGGGAAAAGGATTCTGGAGGGAAAAAAAAAGTAACCTTCAAACACCACCTTAAGAATTTAAGTAAAAAAAGAAAAAAGATAACAAACAGATCATTGCCCCTAAGAGCAAAGAAAAAGAAAATTTAAGTAAAAAAGTCTTTGAATACAAAACTTTGATAGAATTTTTTGGGGCAATAACGAGATATTGTTCTTTGTAGAAAATATCCAAAATCGCAGATTAAGCATGACGGGCAACTTAAATTTGATATAATTCACACATTCTTTATAAGGGCAGATAAATTGCATCAGTGAAATGTAAGATTTAGAACCAATTTAGTCCTTATTGTCCCTTGATGTTTTTGTCCGTTTACTACATGTTCTCCCTATTTTCCTATTGCTATTCGGAGAATATGTTGGAGGTTTCAACATGATTACACAATGAATATTTCATTTAATTCATATAAAACAATACCTTTATACCTTATATAGCCACTAGTGCTCTGTAGTTCCACCACAAGGTACTGTTATGAAGATACAGAAGCATAATCATTTTAATCGCTTTGCCGGCTCAGTTTCTTTTTTAGGCTCCTCTCTGGCAAACTTTAAAATAACTTGGCATCTCAATTGCAGTAGTTAAATACTTTTTTCTGAAAAGGCAGTCTTTTCATGCTAATTCCAACATTAAAAAAACCTGCAAGATCTGTTTTGGTTACTTGGTCTCTTAATACTAGCTAAATAGATTTAACACAGCAAGGAATCATTACCAGTCAAGGTCCTAGCGGAAAACAGATGGCACACTCAAATTTGGTAATTTGCATAGAGATTATTAAAGGGCCTATTTATAACATTGTGGGTGGAGTGAAGGGAAGGCACAAGGGATGGTGCAGTATCCGTGGGGCCAGTGGCCACAGGGTGCCTTACCGATCCCAGACCCGAAAGGTGAGTAGAGTGGTTACCAGAACTTCAAAGGAGAGAATTGTATGGAGCAGGCTGCTTTGGCAGGAGCTAAAGAGACACAGCCAGAATTAGGAGAGCCTTCAGGGAGTCGCTCCCATATCTTGCTGCATTTCCCATTGACCAAACCCAACCAGAAGCCAGGGGGCAAGGTAGCCCACAAATATAATCTAGAGAGTTCTGTCTGTGGGACATGGATGTGGAGAGGCAAGGGAAGGTATCTAGCATAGAAATCCCAGAATGCTGCATCAAGAAGAGTGTTGTAATCCAGAGGAATTATATTTATTAGGAGGAAAGCACAACCCAGAAAGATGGTCCTGGAAACAGAGACATGAAGATAGACCATTTGAGTTCTGGATAAATCAGAAGCTTCTGAAGTCCTCTTAATGGCTCGGCACCCCGCATTTTCTCTGACTGCTGCCTAGCTCTCAATCTCTTTTCCTGTGACAATCTTTGCTTTTTTTTCCTTAAGACTGAAAACACTAGCTAACTTATGTACTCAGGATTTCATTTTCTCTCTCACTTCTTGCTCAGTGTTCTTACATTTTGCCTCATATTTCCCACCAACTCTGTTTTCTGGCCATGTCAACCTAAACGGAAATAAAATCCAAAAGACAGAGGGTATTTGGGAATTGCTCTGGAATCAGAAACTACCTATGAAGTATCAAGGTCAGAAAGTTTTATAAATAACATAACATATAATTTTATTTGAGGCAGTGTTAATGCTATTTATTAATAACAATTTTCATGTTTGAGAAATAATTATGTAGTTTATAAAATGTGGTAAAACATGTGAAGAAACCTTTAGAAGCATGTGAAGAAATGGCTCTTCCCTTTTATGAGCAGCAGGGAGCATTGTAGGAAAATTTATGACAATAGCAACAATTCAAGAGAGAAGATAAATGTACAAATTAGATTAAGAAGAATTTTTAAGTAAAAGTTGTATTAGGACATCCAAAATGAAAACAGTAAACAATCTAATCTTTGGTTGTGGTTCCCAGCAAGTAGGGCTTTCAGGGTCAACAAATGCAGCATCCTCTGCTTTTCCATCTTCCTGAATATGCAAACAGAGGACCAGCAACAGATCTTTTTACATTGAACCTCCACATGTGGGTTCTCTCTTGCTCAATCCCTGTCTCTCTCTTTCTCTTTCTCTCTCTGGCTCTCTGTCAAGATTTCTCTCTCACTCTTCTCTTTCTCTTTCATTTAACTAGTAGAAATTCTATTACTGACCTATTGAGTCACTAGGATTGAGTTCAGGAAACTCTCTCTTTGAGGTAGCAATAGATACAATCTTGGCTTTGTAAAAAAAGAGTTTAACTCAGGCCTAATTCTTTAATTCTTTTGGCAGGATGGGTTGACACCACTTCATTGTGCTGCAAGAAGTGGGCACGACCAAGTGGTAGAACTTCTGCTGGAACGGGGTGCTCCCTTGCTGGCAAGGACTAAGGTGAGGCATTATGGGTAAGAAGGGATCCAAACAACGCTTTAAGCCACTTTTTATTACACTCTCTATTCTTCTTGGAATCAAAGCATCAGCCAGGCATTTTCTAGTTGCATAATAATTGTGTGCTAGTAATGAGGAATATACATCAAACTGTTTTAAAATTATTTAAAATTAATAAATGCATCTTTAAGATGTGTTGTATACCTTCAAGTTCTTCCTATATTTTTACCTGCTGTTCTTACTACAGTTGGAAATTTGAATATATTTGTATTATATATAAAAGAGAATATTATATATAAATGAGACTCTCTTACATTCTGTGAGTCTATATTTTTATGATTCTCTGAGATGACTATAAAATACCTATAAAATTGTCTTTTAAAGCAGCACAATTAGTAATACAAGATAAATCTTTTAGCTCTCCAATCTTTCTCTGTTAGGCAATGTTAGCAAAAAGAATTACTCACCAGTGGTGTTGGTTGATTATAATTAGGATTTGTAGATGATATGGAAAGCCTGAGTTAGGATAGCCCATCCACAAAGAACCATTAAACAAGCAAGTTGTTCTCTATGGCACAGTACATCTAGCACTTATTGTCTCATTTCATCAATACACTCAACATGGGAAAAACGCTTGTCCGTATTTAAAAAACCCACGTGATGAGCTGATTTCTTGGAGGTTTTCATTATAGAATGTATTTTAAAAGTTTTATTACTGTACAATTTGCCATTTTCCACCTATACATTGGATTACGAGAAAAGATCATGAGACACAAATTGAAGATAATCGCACAGAGCTATTTAATAGGATATGCAGCGACCCTTGAATCCTTCAACAACAAAAATTCAGACAAAGGACGCTTCCTAAATTTTCTCCCAGTTTCAATCCCCCAACCAGGGTTGGTATCAACTGATGGTGTTACAAGGGTAAGCTGAGAAAAATAAGGAAGCCAACATGAGCAAATATCTTTCAATTTATGTAATATTTTAACTGAACATTTAATTGAAATTATTTGGAGTAAAAACCAGCCCACACATTTAAAATGTGTGTAGAATGAACTCAATCTTTAAAGATATGCCCCACAGGCTGTGAAAAGGTGGCTTCAAATCATATATTTTCATTCTCTTACTTAAACTGTGAGTGTTGGAGAAATCTGCCTTTGAAATGTGACATTTTGAGCTGGGTAATGCAGAGATAATTGCGGAAAGTTTTGTTGAGGAAACTGATTGAAATTTAAATGGAAATAACAAAATCTCACCAGCCACGTTAAAACTAATGAAAAGTCTCTATCAAATTGAGGCTAGGTAGATATATTCTTCCATGAACTATAAAACAATCTTGTCGACAGAATTTGCCTGTAATTGTCATGTCACTAATGGAAACCATGGATTACCTTTATCGAATTTTTTTTAGTGGCCTTCTTGTGAAATCAAATATTCATGTGTAAGGATCCAGCATAAACCGTCTGTGACTACATGACTATATTTATCCCTTCATCCATGCATCCAGCTATCATAGTAATTAGCTACAATGTGCCAGGCAGTGTTCTGATAACTAAGGCACTATCAAGAGAAATAAGACACAGTCTATACTTTCAAGAAGTTTGGAATTTAGTGGTTCAGATAGATAAGGAGATAATTCTTAAAAGTAGAGCTATGTATAGGGTAAAGAACAGAGACAAGATGAACTAACCTGGTTGGTGAGTGGTGCCACTAGCCTGAGTGGAAAAGGCATATAATGCCAGACTATTCTGTCTCCCCCTCCACAAGAACTCCCAGTTTTGAATCATCCATTGTTCCTCCTTGAAGCAAATACTCATCCATCTAGTTGTCACTCCCCCTCATTCTTTGAAAATTCTAGCTCTCAGCAAACTGTGACTCTTCTCTAGAACCACGATTCTAGTTCCTGATGACTTTAATGATCTTGGCAAGAGCAGTAGGTGATCCTTCTAGCTGGCCTCTCAGTTTGGTAACTGTCAACCCTCTGTAATTTCTGTGTCTAACCTCCCCACTCTCCAGCCACCCCCTTCTCTGTTTCAGCTAACTCTCATTCATTTTGCTGGGTCCGTCAGTCATTGTTTCACTGTCCTTCACTTTGTGCCCTCACCTCTGCCCAGCACAAATTCCATAGTTATTCACACCACTCCTGATATATTCATACTCACTTCCTACATTTCACCCTAATTAAATACAACTCACACTCTTGCAGCTGAATGTGACCGCAGGAAATACCTGACCATGCGGACTGGGCTTGTTTTAAATTCATGATCTCTAACTTCAAGTCTGCCTTTAATCTGCCTGACAATCACAGTGTATTTCCCAAGTCTAGTCACTCTCACTCCCTGCTACCTGACCATTCTGCACTTTTCCTTTTTTCTCCAAATTTCTTGGACTTCTTTCCTTGTCTTCACTTCCCACAGCACTGAGAAAATGGAAGCAATCAGAAGAGCATTTCTACAGATTCCTACCTTCCGACTCTCCAATGACATGCATCAGAGCCTGTATCATTTACGTTCTCCCCCATTGCTGTCATCTGACAAAACTGTTTACTCCTCGCTCCTCAGGACACTTTCCTTATTTGCCTTCCGGGACATTCAACTCTTCTGGCTTTCCTTCTGTTCTAGCTGTCACTTCTCGGTGTCCTCTGGTAGTTCCTCCTCACTCTCAGGTCTCTGAATGTTAGAACTTCCAGAACTCACACTGTGTCTTTGTCTGACTCACTTGCTAAGAAATCTCATCTAGTCTCATCTTTGAATACTACCTATACCCTGATGACACACAAATGTGTACCTGCAGAATTCCATATGTAGATGTCAACCCTCCTTTGCTGCTGAGATGTCCACTGGGCATCTCAAATTTAGTAAGTTAAAAGCTCAGCCCCTGATATTACCCCCACACCTATTCCTAATCCCCTTGCAGTCTCTCTTATCTCAAATAATGGCCATCCCATTCTTTCAGTTTCTCAGACGAAATGCCTCATATAATGCTAGACTCTTCTCTTTCTCTCTCTTTCCACATCCTGTTACTAAACTTTGTTTCCTCGTCCTTCAAAATGTATCACTAACTCAGCAACTTCTCAACAGTCCCATTACCACCACCCTGGTCCAGAGCACCATCACTCTTACCTGGATGACTGCGGGAGGCCCTAATTGGCCTCGCTTCTTCTCTCTTCACCCTGTTAGTCTATTCTCGACACAACAGCCAGGGTAATCTTGTTGTTCTAACCTTCCAGAGCACCCCATCTCACTCAGAGTAAAAGTCAAAGCACCTGCTCTGACTTGGGGTCCTTACCTCTGAATTCCTCTCCTTATACACCCGCCTCATCACTTGCCTTCAGCAGCATTCTCCTCCCTACTGTTAATCGGTCATGCTAGGTGTGGTCCCAACACAACATGTTTGTACTTGCTTCTCCTCCACCTCAGATGCTCTCCCCTCAAATCAACAGGACCAGCTCTCTTAGTATCATCATGTCTTTCGTCCAAACTCACCTCAGTGAGGCCACTTCTGGCCACCCAATACAGAATTACATGCATATACACAATCTTCTTTGGCCATCCTATGCTTTGGTTTTCTTCTTGACATTGACAGCCTTCCAATGTACTATGCATTTGCATTTTGCTCTTTCTGAATTGTTTGCCCACCACACTAGGATGGAAGTTCCATGAAGACAGGGGCTCCTTGCCATCCTGTTCCCTGCTGTCTCCTCAGTACCTAAACAGAGCTGAGTAGGCACTCAGAAAATATGAAAGAAAGGGTTTGTAAAATGAACAAAAGATTAAATAGTGAAGATTTTATTTTCCACATGATCTTTAAGTGGATAAAACAGCATTAAAGATGGGTAGAATATCAGAAAAACATGAAACACACCAGTCCACATGTTGCCATGGCCTGAATTTCTACTACACTTTGTGCTTTATACTATCTTCCCCCAATGCATAAATACATTCTCATCAACCTGCTTTTCTTTTCTAAGTTCATTTTATGGATTTCTCAATATATAAGCAATAATTATGAATAAAGAGTATGTCAAGAACATGGAAAAATACACTAATAACTTTAAAATCACATATGCACCCACAAACCACCACAACTAAGATTTTGATACTTTTGTTTTTAGCTGTCCCTCACTGTTCAAACCACCTTCCTTGTTGGGAGTATTCAGCCTTGGGCCTACTCTGGCTTCTTTTCTAGACACTGTTTCTGCTTCTTTGAATGTTATGACTGCCACACTGGTTACTTGGTCAACAATGGTTTTCTAGTGACCTTATTTTCATTGACTATTAAGAAAAGACAACGGTCCACTCTCTTTAATGGGCAGATCTTTTCTAATTAGTTTCTTTCCTAATTTTACATATTTTTTCCTGTAAGCTTATTTAACTTAAAAAAAATGAGGATCTTACCCAGACTGATAATTATCAGTGAATTACCCTGATATTTTGTATTCCTGCTGTTGACCTCTGAGAAATAAGGTGAAGCTGTTTGGAGCAGTATCAATGATGATAAATTTAGATCATCCTCAAAATTTAAAAGTTGGGAGATCATTGACACATGGTGCACATTTGCCTCATGCTTTTCTAGCTCTTACCTCACTACTTTCTCCAAGTCCAATTCAGTTCTCATGATAGAAAAAAGGAATCATAGAATTTCAGAGCAGCGTGGATGATCGAAGTCCTTTCTCTCCCTGACCCATCCACTTCCTCCTCCTTCATCCACCTCCTCTTCCATTTAGAAGTAAAGAAATTCATGCAGAGAGATTAATTGAATATAGATTCCGTGTACGGAATTGGATAAAAATAATTTAAGCATCAGCTGTCGCTTGTTTTTGTATATCTAATATTTCCCTAATAATTATGAGGTCCAATCGAATTGCCACACATACTCTGTATTCATTCATGAAAGACATATTAATTTGTGGTTTTACCTAAGAATAGCATAATTATGAAATTAAGTGTTCTCTTAGCTTCCCTCTCTGACACACATAATCTGCTTATATTTAGATGTCAAATGGAAATTATTTTTTTCCCTGCTACCAACTGTGCCAGAGATCAAGAATTGACGTTGTTGAGTTTCAGAACCTGGAAGTAATGACGAAAATGTGGACTTGGTTTTGTTTTATTTTGATGCACAGAATGGGCTGTCTCCACTTCACATGGCTGCACAGGGGGACCACGTGGAATGTGTGAAGCACCTGTTACAGCACAAGGCCCCTGTTGATGATGTCACCCTAGACTACCTGACTGCCCTCCATGTTGCTGCACACTGTGGCCACTACCGTGTAACCAAACTCCTTCTGGACAAGAGAGCCAATCCGAACGCCAGAGCCCTGGTAAACCTGGCCCAGTCCACATTAACTGAATACAGATCAAGACGAGCAAACCCACATTGATTGACCAATGGTGCAGACACCAGCAATGCATGGTTATGGATATGTAGTTAATTCTGCTAAGTTTGTCACCTCCCACAAGCTGCCTGCCTACTTCATGCCTTCACGGTTTGCTATTAAACGATGGTGAGCAAGGATAGATTTGAGAGAACACCAAGGTACCATTTCCACAACTAGCGAGTTGCAGATAGACATGAAAAACCTGGAGTGATAAGCAATTTTAAGTGGAAAATAGAAATCAAAAAATAAGAAATTATAAAATAAGTTCTAGACACCTCTATATAGAGTCAGAATAAAGGTGTAAAAAAGGTGAACTTTATTAATCTCTTTTTGAAAAAAAGTTTGAAAGCGGTGATTAGATTTGATTATGTAAGATAGTTAAAATGTAAGCCTGTGAAGCGTCACTTGGAGATTCTCCTTATTGACCTGATTACCCAACCATGGGATAATAGAAACATGATGCTAGCATCTTGTTGCTTCAGGAAGCATTTTATAGAAACCATTCCAGGAACTGCTCAGATCTGCAAGAGGCTGCCCCTAGAGCAGCTTCTGTGTCTCCCAAGGTCTAATATTGAATTAAATCTTCCTCGCTTCACTGATATTCTAACAATAATCATTGGAGGTATTAGGCATGTACTAATTTATGCCTTTTGCTTCCTAATTCCCCAACTAAAAGCAAATCCTTTTTTTCTATACATTTACATGGTTTATGTCCATTAAATTAGTCTTCAGACAATATTTAAGATAAGAAAATGTTGTTAGAATTATCAAATATTGAATCTTATTTTTATTAGAAATTTTCCATTTGAATCGATTTATTACTAATTGCCTGGGAAGCAAATGTACTTTTAGAGTTATGTGCAATTATGTGACAATATTTATTTTCTCATAAGGAGGAAAATACTCATTTTCAATCTGATAGTGATCAGTACATTTATAAAATATCACAATCTAATAATTGCAATCTTTAAGTACTGCATATACATGTGGCTATTTATATCTGGCTTATTACATAGCTCATAAAGGGGAAATGATTTAACAAAAATTGTGAAGCATATTAAGTCATTGGGTTAAGTAAGACCATATGCTTTCCTGAGAACTGCTAGTGTAGAAAAATAGTGACAATCAGACCCCATTGGGACATGCAAACTTATTAACTGGCAGAATAGATGTAACTATTCTCTATATAGTGATCATTCTCCACATAAAAATATAATACTTAAATATAACACATAGGATTAAACATGGGGCTAGTTAACAAATTTTTATGTAATTTTCCACAATTCTTACACATTAGCCTAGTTTGAAAAGTTAGAAAGTTCCTTAAAGATTTCTTCTCCACATTCCTTTGCCTCTGAGAGATATCTCCTAACAATTATTCCAGAAATTCTCCATACTTTTCTTGAAAATATTCAGGAACTTAAGACTCATTTCTTCATAAAATAAAATGTATCTGATTGACAAATGTTATAAAAACTTTTTAATATAAGAAACATAACTTTTGGATATAAATTATTATCAACATAGTGATTTCTGCTAATATACACTCTTTATAAAAAATTTTTAATATAAGATACATAACTTCTGGATATAAAAAATTATCAACATAAATAAAGATTTCTGCTCATTTGCAACATCTCCTCCCTGAAGAAAATGGTAGCAAAATTTATTATAGAAACATTTATTATAGAGGCAGTCATGTTCTTAGACTTTTGAGGTAAAACAGATAAACGGTTTTTATGCTCTAAGAAATAGTCCTTCATCAGAAAGATACATTCTTGTCTTCAAGCCATTTCATAACCTGACCAATAAGTATATTTTAAAACATCTTAGAACTTCTAAAGGATAGTTGCCCCTCTATTTTTCCTTCTTTGAAGAGTAGACCCATGTAGTTTTCTTTACTTCTGTTTTCTCTGTAACCCCCACAAACAGAATTATATGCAGGCCCACCATATATAAGCAAAGTTCAGTGTCTACAGAAACACACCACCACCTTTTTTCCCAAATTCCAACACCTACAGCATTGGAAGAAATGGTAACAGTACGTGACGATGTAACGTTACTGCCTGCAATGTGCCAGCATGGAGCTGTGTGAGAATCGTTTCTGCATGTCTTCAACTAACTTGATTGTCTTTTGCACAGAACGGTTTTACTCCACTGCACATTGCCTGCAAGAAAAACCGCATCAAAGTCATGGAACTGCTGGTGAAATATGGGGCTTCAATCCAGGCTATCACAGAGGTAGAAAATGTTTCAGCCTGTCACGAAACATTGCTTCTCTTACTCCTTCTTCCCCTTCCTTCCGCCCATCTCTGTCCTCCTCACTCAAGTTGTATGTATCTGAAGAAGCCCCAAAGCTCTCACCGTGCAGAGGAGTAAAACTGCTGTTGCTTTGTTCCGCAGTCTGGCCTCACACCAATACATGTGGCTGCCTTCATGGGCCACTTGAACATTGTCCTCCTTCTGCTGCAGAACGGAGCCTCTCCAGATGTCACTAACATTGTGAGTATGGCTGGGGTCAGAATAACCGCAGGGAGAAAGAGCGAGAGGAGAAGAGAGTGTGGGAGTGTGCAGGGGTGTTGTGTGCATGTCATCAAAGCCAGCGGCCGAGCTTTGAGAAGAGTGCTAGTGATAACAATTGAAGTAGTTGCTAGAATTCGTGGAGAAGAACCTCAATAGGGTGAGAAATGTGTTCAAACATAAAATGGAAGCTGTGGAGTAAGACTGTTTCAGCTTCCTGGTGCACACGGATTGAACATGCATCTTAAATACATTTATGGAAACAAAGTACATTTTAAAAGCTCCTGTGAACATGAATGGATGACTGGTTGGAATAAAATCTTCAGGGCTCCCTCTAGTTGCTTGAGTGAATTGTATTCCAGGTAATTTTGGTTAAAATATCAAGTCAGTACCATAATCAATCATATCAAATAAATAACCAGAGACAGACCAATATTAGGGATTTTTACTTGATATCAAATTCTCCTTCCTTCAATTACATGGAGTTTTCATTTTCTAACCTTCAAGTTTTCATTTTGATTTGATTTTGTTTGCTAGAGTGGAGTCCTCTCTTACCTGAAATAATTATACCATTGCAACCTTTTCACGTATCCTTTAATGAATGTTGGTCTCAGACAACTTTCATCCTGTCATTAAGTACTGGATCTCCCGGAATTCTTGTATGTAATCTAGATTAGGACTTTTACTTCCAATTTGCTTGTATTTCTCTCATTATCTTGGAGTCTGCCCCTTTAAACTTTGATCATCAAATGCAGATTTTCTCCTGAGCAAGAGAACCTGCTGTCCCCAAGATGCGGCCATGTATTTGAAGCTCAGCAGGGGCCACTGGAATATTAAGATTTTTTATAAGTATGCACAGAATAACTCTCCCCAAATAAACATTAGTGCTTATTATTAAAATGAATCATATTTTCAAAAGCAATTGATTGACTATTGTTGCTAATTTTTGGTATCTCATTCCATTTGAGTTGTGCAACAATGTTCAATTTCACTTTTTATTTGTATTCCCTCTCATATTCTCATTTCTTTGTATTTTACACACTGTTTCTGCGCTGAAGTTTCTGATGCATGGAAAAAATCCATGTGAAATAAATTTATTTGATTTTAAATATTATTTAATACTCTCTATTCATATTAATCACAAGTGGAGCATAAAACCATGAAAGAACGGAAATATGGTCTATATTTCCCTAATTACACTTTATTGGTCCTAAAGTAATAGTATTATATGCTAATCTCTAATTACTCCATTAAGGATAAGAGTAATTTCACAACATGTCAGTTTGAGTTTAATTTCTAGTCCCTTCTCAGAACTTAAAAAAAATCAACATCATCCTTTTTTTCTTGACAGATGACCACCTCCCTTTTTTTATTTGCGATCTGTACAAACCAATAACTTTCAAGAAAAGTACTCTGTGCACTTTCCTACTATACTGTATTATCCTTATTTCATTTCAATGCCTACAGGATCACAGGAGCAATGGTGATACTATGTTAAATTATGTTACTGTGTTATAATAATAACATTTACAAGTACATTCTATGCAATGCTTGATGGAAATCCCCTAGGTTGATCTTTCAGAGGGGAGATTTTTTCGAAATCATCAAAGAAAATCCATATGAAATGGCTGTATAATTCTGTGGCTACTTTTAATTTGCTTCTTAACTGACCAATTCCAAATCATTTGACACTTAAGAAATGACTCCATATTGTTATGCCCCTCTCTGCAACAACAACAAAAAATGTTACATAGGCTACATGCAGATTTTCAAATAAAGATAAATGAAACATTAATTAAAACAGTAAAAATGTTGACATCCTTTAGGCTCTTAAAGACTCCCAAATTTGACAATCGCTATATTAAACTTTAACTTCCACCAGTTGGTCATTTTAAAGTTCTTCATTTTGTTTTATCTTCTCATTTGTCTATTACGTATTCTTTCCCTTCAGCCCCCTCCAAACAAATACTTGAGAGGCACCTGCCACTGTAAACCTTCCCTCCAGATGCTTCCTAGTTGTTTTTTTTGTTTGTTTATTTTGATTTTTGTATGATGTGTCCTTCAGGAAGCAAATACCATATATACAGGGTTGCCAGATAAAATACAGGACTCCCAGTTAAATTTCAGTTTCAGATAAACAATGAATAATTGTTTTTAATATAAGTGTATCCTATACAATAGTTGAGACATACTTATACTAAAATAATTATTAGTTGTTTGCCTGGAATTCAAATTTAACTGACCATCCGGTATTTTAATTTGCTAAATCTGGCAACCCTATATTTAGAGGAATCTAACTTTCTAGCCGTGGGATGCCGATGAACTTTTGTATTCTTAGAACATGAGGATATGGCAGCTGGATCCAAAACTTCGCAGGTTGATTAAGAGACCGTGTGAATACTGACTGCCTGCTTGCTGTGTCAGAGCTGGTCATTTCCTGACCCCAATGTACCCCACCCTTGGAGCCTTTGTGTGTTGCCTGAAATCATGTTGCAGTTTTGAATGCAATGCTGTCTGTCGTGCTTTGATGCTTTCCAACTGATGCAGCCAAAGTGGAAGTCAATGTAGTTGTCGGCAGAGTCAGTTTTAACAACTGAGAAGAGGGGCATGAAATTTAGTACCTGCTTTGGACATGAGCATACCCATTCTCTTGCCAGTCTTGTTTTTGTGTCAAAGTTCACTCCAAGTGTGAGGTGTACCAATGACTCAATCACATGCAGATATTATTATTGCAAAGCTCCCTTTCCAGAAAGCTCACAAATGCACTTTAAAACCTAGAAAGCTGAACTGCGAGTTGTAATATATCCATAATGCAAAGTATTTACTGACAACCATGGGAGTAGAAACCCAAGTATTTTGGGGGCTATCCAGAGTACAATGTGGGTATTACCAAGGTTTTTCTTCTTATAGCAAATCAATGGATTCATGGCTAAGTTCACACTTCATATTATGTTTAAGGATTTCCCCAATACTTAAAGTTAATTAGCTTAAGATAAGGAAAACAAGGGTGTTGAATAAGATGATGTGCCCAACAATCAAGAAATGGGAGTTATTGATCAAAATAATATCCACTCTCTTTTATTTCTTATTTATAATTTATGTATAAACAAGGGTAATACAAATATAAAAGGGTAAGGGCAATTTATAATAAAAGTCGATTACCCCAGAGCTATTAAATAAGAATTGAACAAGACCATTGCTTTAAGGTGGAGAGACCATGTGTGCACATATAACTTTTCTTTGAATATAGTGTTTAATACTTTAGATTAGGTGTTATATCTAACTCATCAATTTCGACTGTGTAAACACCATAAAAATAACTTATTTAAGTATAAAGTAAGGGTATTGGAAATATTAAAACTACTAATGGAAACACTTTACATTTTGAAACACCTTATTAATAAAACTTGGCTTGTAAAGTAAATAATAAATTCATCATTGAGTAAGTACTCCTGAGCCTCTTTAACTTAACTTCTAGTAGGGAAATTTATTTTTGTCTTCATTTCTATCAAATTAGTAAAATTGCTATTCTTATATAAGACCTAGAAATAGAGTAAAGATGAGGGGATTTGTTTTTTGTTTTTAATAGTTAGAAGATCTTTGCTTCATCTATTTAGAGGCAGGTTTTCCGTGATATAGAAAACAAGTCACGAATCATGGTTGTCCACAGAGCTAAAATCTTGCCATACACCCAAAGTCTGAAGGCAAATATTACTATTCCAATAATATATTTTATTAAACAACATACTCCAGATACATTTATTTTACAGAAGTCAAAATATGTCATCAGACAATAAGGCCATTAGAGGATAAATGAATCATCAACGAAAAAGAGAAAATTAGAGTAAATGTCCAGTTTAATGCTTTCAAAATCGAATCATTTGAAATAAATTTCTCATAACTTAATAAGGAATGGTCTGTGAATACTGGGAAAAAATGAACTGTGAGCTGTCTACTAAAATAAAGTTCATTTTCTAGATGTAAATGTTTGTTGTGCAAGAAATCAGGAGAAATTATTCACTGGAATTTATCAGAATTATCCAATTACCATAACCAACTTTAGGATAAATTTAGTTTATTTGGAATAGTTTACTTCATTGAAGTCAGCCTTATTTTCTAGAATAGTTGTGATGACTAAAAGTAATAACTTTTATTCCAGTATCTTGTTCATTTTTAACTGCAGAAGTGTTTGAAAGAATGAACCCCTGGCTTCTTCAGAACTGCATGTAGTTTAAAACTATGTTGATTAAAGCAAACCAACCAACCCCCTCTCTTAGAGTTAGTCATTAACTGTCTTCCCAGTGAGAAAATTCTCCTACATCTAACCATCATCGTTCAAGGTGCAGCTTAAGCTACCGTTTCCTGATAAGTGTGTCCCACCTTGATGTGGCCCGAAGATCCCTGGGGAATGACGTCAGCAGATGACACTGTTAACAGTTGCTTTTCTCATCTCTCAGTAGTTCTCTCAAATAACTGTCTATATTAAAATGCTCATTAATAATAAATAGGGGACCTGCTGGGCAAATCAGATTCCTTGTATGAACAGTCATTGTCTACTTTCATAACACAACGACAAAGCAGATGCAAAATAGTAGTTTACTTCAGAAGTAAATTTTGAATTCTGGAAAGGAATGACGTTTGTATGATACAAATGATGCGTTTTTTTGCACCAGGTTGGCTTAATCTTCAGCATCTAGAGTTTCTCATTAAAATGGGGTCAAGTTGTAATCACACAGTTAAGTGTGACAATGACAGATTTCAGGTTTGAAGCATAAAAGATAACTTTGTATCACCAAACACAACATAGGTTATGTGAGGTTGACTATGAAGCTAACCTCAGGGTGTCCTGGATGTTTGGGTAAGTTCACTGGTTTGTCACGGACTTAAAAAAATAAAATAAAATAGAACATTTGTTTTATCCTTATGAAGACAGAGAAGATACAAAACTGTGTTTTTCCAGACGCAATAATTCTGAATTAATTATGCCTTTTCATAGATTTCTTAAACCTTTGGATATAATGCTGAGTGTCACCAAAAAAGGCACATTTTTGTTCTTCACCATCTAGAGCAGTGCGTTTACTCATGATTTAACGATCTTTGTTTCCCGGCAGCGCGGGGAGACTGCACTGCACATGGCGGCCCGGGCGGGGCAGGTGGAAGTGGTCCGATGCCTTCTGAGAAATGGCGCCCTTGTCGATGCCAGAGCCAGGGTAGGTCTGGTGTTGGGGTCTCTTTCATTGTAGGCATGAGTTCTATCCTTACGAGGGGTGCTATCTTCATTTCCTTGACATGGATAGGTCAGGGACTGTAAGTGAAAGCATCAATTCAATACAGTTTTTCAGGCAAAAAATAAATGGTACAGTAAATATACAGAATGGAAAATAGACCCCAATTTCAGAAACATTGACATTTGAAAAAATATACAGTTTAGTATCTAAGAAATACAGCATTGACTAACATTTTAATATTTTTTTTACTTATAAGAGCACTTTCACATATCTCTTTATTTTCCTGAATTATAAAACTTTACCTATACTATATAGATATTATATTGATACTATACACTCATGTCTGACCACCAAAGCCAATCAGATTTCCACAGACGTTCCTTACTAGTTATTTAAAAACAAATTGTACTGAAAGTTTTAATGCGTTACCTTCATCTGTTTCACTTTCCTCTTTTCTATAATGAGTTCTACTGTTCTTCTTATATGATTTTACATATGTAGACATTCTGTACTTCCATTATCCCAGAATAGAGGAATTTGGGCCCTGGAGATGGCTTGATTGGACTTCTGTTTCTAATTGCTTCTAATTCCCCCACAGGTTGATTTTTTCTCCATTTTTTAAAAAATTTCACTGTCCGGTTTCTTTCTACATCTTCCTTTACACCAAATATACCAGTAATTTTGTATCAACGTACTGTATCCTCTACTTCTTCTTCCACGTGTTCCATTAACTTTCGCACTAGCATCTTTGGGATTCTCATGGCGTACTTAAACACTTTCTCTTCTTCAATATTTGATATACCTAAGCTAGAACTCACTTCAGCTTGAGTCATACAATCGTGATTTCATTTTAGAAACAGTATTGTATTGGAATGGAAGCATTTGTCTCAAGTCACACAAATTGTCATTTCAGGCCAGTCATTTTGCCTCCAGGTCTTTATCATTACAATTTGAAGATTGGGCTCAGAAACCTTGAAACTCCATTCCAGACTTTCTTAACACTGTCTGGCTCTAAGAATTTTATAGCATTTTTTCCACAGCCCTTCATGCAGAATCCAGTGATACATGGGCAGCCTTGACATCACTCTTGTGTTTTTAGATTTTATCTGCCTTTCCCTATTGCACAAGCAGTGTAATTTATGTTCTTTCATAATCGTCACTGGTATTTTATGTTTTTATGTATTTAGAGCTTTCCTTATTCAAACTGTATTCTCCCCTGCCTTGGCATTTTTCTTGTTTCTCTTTTTCTTAAAGATTTTATTTTTTTCCAGCAGTTTTAGGTTCAGAACAAAATTGAGAGGAGGGTACAGAGAGTTCCCACATGCCCCCTGACCCCCCACACACACAGCCTCCCCCATTATACGCATTCCCCACCAGTGTGGTGTATTTATTATGACTGATGAACCTACATTGATACATCGTAATTCCCAAGAGTCCATCCTTTACATTAAGGTTCACTCTTGGTGTACATTCTGTGGGTTTAGACAAATGTATAATGACATGTACCCACCATTATAGTATCATACAGAGTAGTTTCACTGCCCTAAAAATCCTCTGTGCTCTGCCCATTCTTGTTTCCTTTTAAGGTTACCTGGCATTCAGCTATTTAAAAAAAATTTTATGGTCAATCAGTGCATCTGAAGATCATGAACTTCACTATTTTTACCAGAAATTATAATAGTGATCTTGGTAAATAATTTGTAATCCACATTTAATAATAAAAGGCTCCCCATTTCTCTCTCAAAATAAAACTGCTTAATACTTTTCAATGTTCAAATTTTAATTTATTCTATTTTTAATGGAAATTTTCTCATTTTCTGCCAATTTTTTCATGTTGTTGATTTAACCTATTATTACTGCCTTACACCTTTTTGGATACCATCTGAAACCCCTTCCTCAAAAACACCACCGGCTATAGACTCTTTCCTTTGAAATATCATAACCTTTATTTATTTATTTCAGACAAATTCCATCAATTCTATTGTTTTACTTCTCTCTTGCAGCTACATTTAGTCTCATGGTCTACATATATAAACAAACATCTCAATTTTTCATCCCTCCTTATTTAAGTATCACATTTCATGTCCTCCTTTGCTCGTTTGTTTGTTCAGCTCTACGACCTATTCTTAGAGGCAACTGAAATCCCTTCCCCAGAGCATCCTCTGACTATGGACAGGAGAAACCACCATAGCCTTACAGAGTGGTGCTACCCAAAGGTCATGACGCATAAAAATGACTGGGGATCCTGGTAGAATGCAGACCGTAACTCAGAGGGTCTAGGGTGGGGCCCACGTTCTGCATTTCTTACAATCTCACAGGAGGTGCCAATGCCCTGGTCCTGGGACTATACATTGAGCAGCAAGGAGCTGTGGTTTCTCCTTTCCACATGTCCTATTTTAAGCTGTACTTTCACTGTGAATTTTTGATTCTCACTTAACCCTTTAACGTTTCCCTGGAACTCGGTTTAGTTAACACTTGTACAGTGGTTTCTAATTCATAAAGCATTTTAACACAAATTATCTTACTGTGACACACAGGACAACCCTGTGTTATAGAGTGGCTTAGGATCCTAAAAGTCAAGATTGTGCTGACATGCCTGTGGTCAAAGGGTTAGAACAGATAAGAAAGAGTGTTCCTCCTCTGGTTCTGGATCTTTCTCCAAGCTCTTCTCTGATGACATCATTATCTCCCATTTCAGATATAAAGAGAGCCCTTCTCTCTTTCATTCAAACAACTGAATTCTAATTAGTCACATTCCCTGCCTGAGCTGATCACTACGGCCAGGATAGAATATCAATCCTGGGCTCCATGTCTATTCATGTGGCCCCCACATGAGGTGGGGTGAGATGATTGGCAGCCCCTCTAGAGCCACAGGGAGTCTGGGATGTCCCCTTCCCCCAAAGGAGGGAAAGCTGTTCCCAGAAGAAGGGGGTAGGAGGTACTAGGCAGAAAACAACCATCTATCTGCTGTATTTTACCTCTGGGTTTCCCAGCACACGTCCGCACATGATGGACTCCTGAAAACTCCCTCTCTTAACCTAACATTATTGCTCTGCTATCCACTCTCTCCCAAAGAGGAGATAGTCACAAATTATGCCCAGTTACCGCAGTGAGCTCCAAGGTCGAGATTTCTGGTAATCTGCATTCTTCTCAGTCGGATTTAGAAACAATACCTCATGGTTATATAATCAAGGGGCTAAGTCATATTTTTGCCTACTCCCAATATGTAATGAAAAAAATCATATAATCACAATAGTATCTCATTTAAAATGTGCAAGCAGCTTGCTCTATTCGCCAGTCAAGAGCATAAGTCATACTTGGCTGGACAGACTGGAGAGCCGAGGCTGCAGGAGTATAAATTCTTTGGTCAGCCAGTGTGCTTGCCCCCAGACCCTGCTCTCAGGAAGGTCCTTCCTCGTCCAGCCAGTGTCCTCCATGAACATAACTGAGGGCCACCAGGACCTGCCCTTCCGGGAGCTCTCCTGCTTTAGGTGCCCACATTCTTTTTTTTTTTTTTAAAGATTGGCACTCGAGCTAACAACTGTTGCCAATCTTTTTTTTTTTCATTCTTCTTCTCCCCAAAGCGCCCCGGTACATAGTTGTATATTTTAGTTGTGGGTCTTTCTAGTTGTGGCATGTGGGACACCGCCTCAGCATGGCCCTATAAGCAGTGCCATGTCCACACCCAGGATCCAAACTGATGAAACGCTGGGCCACTGAAGCAGAGCGCGCGAATTTAATCACTCAGCCATGGGGCCAGCCCTGGTGCCCACGTTCTGTTGGCACCATATGGAGGTCCAGCATTTGCTTTAGGGACTGAGCAATCACAGGGCCCCTCGGCTTACACTCACTTGAAACTTAACTCATTTAAAACTTTAGTTAGCTGCCAGCAGATCTGGTTCCTGCGAATCCTATTAGCTAGAACTAATAGCAGACATTTTATCAAATCTTTTAACTCTGTCTTAGCCATTGCTATTTTTGTCTCTTGGTAAAAGGAGTTTGGGGCTCAGCAAAGTCTCCCTAATTTTGGTGACCTTGGAGCAAAGTAAAACAGTAGCCTGAGCTCATCTCTTCATGGTCCAGGCTGTATCACCGTCACTGATGCTTTATGAAGAAGGAATTATTGCCCCTTTATATTTGGAAGAGGTCTAGGGAATCAAGTTGCCTCCCATTTTTTTTTTTTTTTTTTTTTACCCTTCTCATGAATATTATCTTCTGTGCTTTCCCAATTCTTTTCCTTGACTTGACTTAGCTTTAGCTTGGGGCAGCAAATTCAACTTTTGGAATTCAACAGGGAAAAAAATTACCTAAACCTCAAAAGATCTTATGTCTCTGGTTACAGGTGGAAAGACTTTCTTATCAAATTTGTATGTTCTTCTCTTTTCCATTTTCGGATAGGAGTGTACTAAAAGTTGAAGAAAATGGGCAAGGTAGATTATTTCTTAACTTCTTTTTAGACAAGTACCTTAATGCTCCATGGTATGAGAACTAAAGGACACTAGTTGATAATTTAAACAATTACTTGGCTACCATCAGTGGTGAGATTGCCATTTCTCAGCTATGGATTAAGGGGTTATCATTGCCCAAACTCGTTGAAAACACATTTTCAAGTTTGTTACTTGTAATACCCACCTCCATCGAATTCTGCCGGGCAGAAGTCCAAGAAGGGAGACCCAGACACAACAAACGTTCAGGACAGCTATTCTCAAGTTCTTTGGTTTTTTAATTGTTGTTGTTACTGTTTGTTTGTTTGTTTTGCTATCCATTGATCTTTGTAACTGTTAATTCCCGCATTCCTCTATTTTCTCCTCTGTACATCTCCTAAAGTGTTATGCGTCTCCTTTTCTATTGAGGATCACCTTGGCCTACTAGTTATGTTAGTTGCCATTTTTATTGTGTCTATTTCTGTAGCATGTTTAGGCAAATAAGTGTCTTTAGAATCCAACAACTGAATTCAAGTCCTGTTTTCATAGCTGAGTGACCTTGGCAATCCTGGAGAACTCATTTAATTCCTCTTAATCATTCTCCTCTGGAAAATGGTCTAATAATACATTTTATGCCTTCTTTTCAGGTCTATTACAAGGATAGGACCAAGTATACATCATACATGAAGGAAGTTTGTAAATTACAAATTTTTATAAAATTCCAATTCTATTACTAAAATAATTATATTATTATTTATACCTCAGCACCCTGAAATTCATTCAATGCTATTTCATCTATTCCTGTAGCTCCCTCCGAATACTTTTCTTTCTTCTAACTTTAAGATTCTGCTTTTATTCAAGTAGCTCTTCCCGATTCTATTACATCTTTTCTCCACTCATTCTTAGCCCTGAGAGCTGGCCCAGCTTTGCCTTCCTCACTTTTATCATGACATGCCCTTGGGAAGATTATAAAGATATACCTCTTTCATCACTTAGGTTGTACACAATTTTCTTTTTACAAGACAGTGGTTTGCTTGGTTTACTTAATATTGAAAACATTTTCTTGGCTACACATTAGAGTCAGGTGATTTCTTGAGCCTCCTCAAACATGTTCTTCCCGTCCTTTATACCAGCTATATCCTCTCTGTGTTTTTAAATGAAAAACACTTGGCAGATGGTGAACCCCATTTGCTTCTTGCCAGAGTTCCATTTCATCTTTGAAGTCCTGGATGCAAGTCCCAGACTCATCTGCAATGTTTCCTGGAACATCTTTTTAAATCAGATTACACTATCGTCTTTATCCACAGTCTCTCCTTGAGCAAAATGACCAGCATTTGTATCCTTGGCTTGCTGAGTGGAGTAAGAACAAAGTTTTCCCAGCATTCCGCATTCTTTTTCTCTTGATACGGTTCCCGGAATAAATACTGACTCTTAATGAAAGCTTTGGATGTAAATCTAGGTCTTAGGACTTCTGGACTAGATTTCCTTCTTATTCAGAACGATGAGTTGGTTTATATTTAAACATAAGTGAGAGCTGAAGCCTTAATGAGTTGAGAAACATTTTGGTCTGGCCAGAAAACAATGACCGAGTTCATGGAAGTACATACTTTTAAAAAACCTAAGGAAGATTTTGTGACAAAACAGGTCACTTCTATAGCAAAATATAAGATAAATTGTGGGCAGAGTAGTAATAATTTCATTTTAGGTAGGAGTTCCTAGAGATGCCAAGAAGACATCATGAAACATCTGAGTGAAATACATTATCAGTGAAGTTTGGTTTGTCCCGGCACTAACTTTGTACTTGACTTGAGTTGTAGGAGGAACAGACGCCTTTGCATATTGCCTCTCGCCTGGGTAAGACAGAAATTGTCCAGCTGCTTCTACAACATATGGCTCATCCAGATGCGGCCACTACAAATGGGTACACTCCACTGCACATCTCTGCCAGGGAAGGCCAGGTAGATGTGGCATCAGTCCTCTTGGAAGCAGGGGCAGCCCACTCCTTAGCTACCAAGGTAAGGGGAATGGCTTCATGGCAACATGGAGCACAAGGAATCTGAAGTGGGGTGCCTCTCCTTTCCTACACAGATCATTAAGAAGGGTCCATCTCCTTTAGGCCTCTGACTCACTTCTTTCTCTTTGAATATTTTAGATTCATTTTCTAAATGATCAGAGGGGATTGTAAGAGTCCATATAATATCTTCAATAAAGAGTGCTGGATTCCATTCCCCTAATGAATGCCAGTATTGTTTGTAGTACAGGTATCTGGTGCTTTAACTAAGCTGATTTCCAGAAAGCAAGGGCTACTTTCTCCTTCCTTTCCATTATAAAACCTCTGATGTATTCCCAAGGAGATTCCCAAATACTTTGAACTAGTATTACTAACAAGGAAAATGAAAATGTATTAAATTGGCAGAACAATATTTGTTAAGAGTTTTAGTAGTATCTAGAAGTTCACTTTACTTAATTTGCATTTGCCCAACCCTGGTATCAGCTATCATCCCTGTTCTGCTCTCTAATCTTTACCAGCCACACTCTTGCCTGGGTATTTACAGTGTCTACACAGAGCTTGCTGGAGAGTCACACTTTATTTATTATTACTGTCATCTAACCAAGGATATACACCGGCCTGAATTCTACTTATGTTCACAGTTCCCTGCTAGGGCAGAGTAATTTTTTCTCCACTTGATACATTCTATTTGAAATTCACTATTTGGGTGTGACTTAGAATGAAACATGAACACACTTGGCTAAGTGGAGCAAGAGTAATTGAACGAGTGCAGAAGAGCAGGAAAATGAGACACGTTAGGCCTAGAAAGAGTGAATGGTTCACAGGGCAAAATAATTCCCACAAATACAACAGTGATTCAGGTCATTAAAAGACATTTTCAATTTTCTCAAAATAAATAGGCAGAAATACTGCATCTGGGGAGAAGCCCATTTGCAAGTCTGAACCACAGTGGTGGCGTGGCACCTGTCCTCTTAGCAGTCGGAGCAGCCCACCCGCAGTTAAGGCTCATCTGGGTGCCTGTGGCTGTAAAGCATGTTATGCTGTAAGAAACTGGTAATTATTCAAATACTGAAATCCAAAGAGTTCAAAGGATTTTATTTTTAAAAAGTCATAAACTAAGCAACAAATATATAATAATAATAGTAATAATTACCCAAGAGAGACTGGGTGATGGTCTCATCCGACGAAGGTGATAAATCCTTGAAATTCAGATATGTAAAATATAGAAATAGAGAATAGAGAATAAAACATAGTTCCTTATCTTCCAAAGATTTTTAGGATTTAAAAAATATATCTGGAGCCATAGTCAATTAGAGCAATAAAATGGAAGAAACTAATAAACAGAAGGACTTCAGCAGTGGAACTGACTGGGTTCTGAAGAGTAGTTCACTTACCATCATGAAAGCTATTTAAGTGTTTATAAATATCCTCGGGTAAAAGAAATCCTGTTCAGATTAACACAGGGGAAGAAGGAAGATGTGTGACTCAAGAGATGCTTTCCAACCTCTAGTTTGTGATTTTACAGTAAAGATTCTATGTAGTTTTGTCTAATAATAGTTTCCAAATTTATAAAGGGGCTGGATCGCAATTCCGGCAGGACTTCAAGGATAAGGAGTTTACTTTTTCTTCCCAACCACGTGGTTTGTGTCAAAGAACTCTCCTTCAAGTCGAGTGTTGCCCCAGTCATTGTGTGCACTGAGTGGGGGAGGAGAGCAGTAACAACAAGTGTTGGTTGACATGGACTAAGGCAAGAAGGAGGAAATCTTTCCTCTACGTGTCCCATACTTGGAAAAAGCGGGAGATTCACTCTCCTCCAAGGACTTATTGGTACCAAATGTTCCAAAAGAAGCAAAAAGGAAAAGTGGCATCTTAGTTAAAAATAATTAGTGTGGTGACCCTGCACAAGGGCAATATTGTTTCGTGGGGATATTCTGTGTTACAATGAGGGCTTCAATGGTCCTGAGGAGAAGCCATACCTCAGATCACCTCACCCAGGCGTAGTTGCTGTGTGTTTATAGCCCCTGGTCAGCTGTCGAATTCTCCTGCTCCCACCGTAGGCCCAGAAGAGCATGTGGTGAGACTGTCCGGCCACGAGGATGGATTTGAGATCATGGTGTAGGAACTGTGCCATCCTTGAGATCCGAGGCCAGGGACTTGGCTGTGTCTGCAACACACTCTGCAACAACAGAGGGGCGTTGGATAGGCATACAAAACGTTGACTCTGTACATATAAATGTGCAGGAGAGCAGTCTTTAAAAAAGCTTTAAAGCCGCAGTGTGTTTAAAGTCTAGCGTTAATGAGTTCAACATCACGCCAGAAGCAGAGCGTGTTTTACAAAAGGAATTGGTCTCTTATACGGTGTGGGTCTTCTGGGAAAGGCGGTCACAATCAGAATGAAAGGTGCTTTTTCATGGAAACATTTTTTTGTTCTGTTGACCATTGCTATTTCTGCAGAAAATACAAATCAACTGAATTACAAATAATTAGATACTTTTTACCATGGCTGTTGAAACATCCTAAAATTTAAATGAAGAAATTTGGAATTCAGGTATTATAAAAAGGATAGAAAGAAAGAGAAGGATTGGAGAGAAGGCAGCTATGGTCTCAATCCTGTTAATTTCAGAGGCAAGAAAAAGACAGGCTTTTTTTCCCGCCACTCACAAATTGGGGCCATTTTACTGACACTAGTGGCTTTTATAAATCCCAAATGCGTAAAGTAAAATTTCAGTCTCCAAACCCTTAAAATAAAATTTCTTCTGTTTAGTCTATCAAGCCAAACTCTTGCATGTTAAATTTCATTCTTTACCCTAGTCCTTGTTTATGGCTAAGAGACTTAATGCTTCCAGCATTTTTCCCAAATGGAGAATCAACATAGTTTGCTTACCATGTTAACAAATAAACAAGATTTTGTTAGGAGTCACAAAAATAAATACTGCATTTTACTTTCGTTCTTCACATTTCCAGAAGGGTTTTACTCCGCTGCACGTGGCAGCCAAGTATGGAAGCCTGGATGTGGCAAAACTTCTCTTGCAACGCCGTGCTGCTGCCGATTCCGCTGGGAAGGTAAAGGTTTTCAGTAAAAACTGTTAGTTATATAACTCAGGCAAGTTGGGAGCTTTGGAAGTTTGTATTTTAAGATGTCTTTCTCACTCTTCTGAAGGGAATATGAATGTAACTGATGAAATAATCTCAAATAGACATGATGGAGATGTCTGTCCATGACCTGTCCACAAACACACCGATCCAGACGGCGTGTACAGCTGTGCCACAAATGTGTGCTCTTGTCACAACGGGGCCCAGGTCCTGCCTGTATTAGGAAGAATCCCTGCATTATTCTTGTAGTAATTCTTACTTAGCATTTTAGACTTTTATTTATGGTGGACATCAAGATGCTCTGTGCTGGGGGCCGGCCAGCTGGCGCAGTGGTTAAGTGCACGCGGTCTGCTTCTCAGTGGCCTGGGGCTCACTGGCTTGGATCCCAGTAGGGACATGGCACCACTTGGCATGCCATGCTGTGGTAGGCATTCCACGTATAGAGTAGAGGAAGATCGTCATGGATGTTAGCTCAGGGCCAGTCTTCCTCAGCAAAAAGAGGAGGATTGGCAGTAGTTAGCTCAGGGCTAATCTTCCTCAAAAAAAAAAGATGCTGTGTGCTAATTATAAGCTCAACCAGTCATTTTCAGTTTTAGTTAAGTTTCTAATATGAAAATCATTAGGTATTTATTTTGATTATTTTTTTTCTATTCACTGTATTAATTAATTAACACGGACTTAATCGATATCAGTGTCTGTGCATCCTGGTAGCTTCAGGGCAGCTAACGCTTATTTATTAATGCTGAGACTTAAACACACCCTTTACAGAACGGCCTTACCCCGCTCCATGTTGCTGCTCATTATGACAACCAGAAGGTGGCGCTGCTCTTACTGGAGAAGGGTGCTTCCCCTCATGCCACTGCCAAGGTGAGGACCCCAGAAAAGGATTTACAGACATGGGGTGTAACTATACTCTGACAGCGCAGGGAACTGCTTTTTAAACACGTGGAATGGTATAACTGCAAGCTGTCCTAGTAATAAATGTTTGGTATTGACATCTTTTTTCTTTCTTTGTCTTTCTACCAGTTGCTTCCACAAAGCCTTTTAAGATTTTTTAAAAGTCAGTAGATATTAAGGGGATGTGCCCAGGAACCAGTAGAGATGACTTTGTGACCAACACTCGTTGTTTAGAGACTGAAGTATGAATTGGAGAAATGAAACATAATAAAGGCAGTGCAGGTTTCTTCTTGCCCCTGTAGACAGCATGTTAGGATATAACATACCCTTTGATTCGCTCATTCCTTGACTTCAGATTTTTCACTGTGCTATGTGAGTGACTCATTGTTTCTTTGCCTTTTAAAGGTTTTATCCATGGTAACTATAGCATACATCCTTTTAAGTTCCTAGGCTAGGAATGCCTTTTTGGTGTTTATGTAGCACCAACTGCTGAAACAGCTCCAGCTAAGACTTGTACCCTTGGTCAGGGCCTTTCCCGGTTTCCTTCTCATTACACTGGAAGTGTACATCAATGTCGTATAATACATAAGGTCATCACTGCATCTTTCACTGATTCATTCAGCAAACGTATATTGAGGGCATATCAGGGTGTATTTAGAAAGAAAAAGTATGTATTGTGGTGGGAAAAAACTGATGCTATTAGATGACGTAATAAAACAACAGGTACTGTCATTTATGTGGCAAACACTGTGTCCAGCACTTTACATGAAATATCTCATTTGATCTCATAATAATCCCATGAGGTTGGTGTTATAATGATTTCTATTTTATAGATGAAGAAGTGAGATTTAAATAGGTTATTTTGTTTGTCCAAAGTCACATGACTAAGTGACAGCTAGGATCTGACCTCAGGCAACCTGACTTTACAGCCAGCAGTCTTAACCACCAGGTCCACTGTGTCCCAGAGCAGGGGAGAGAGAATTATTCCATTTCTATTGTGTAAATATCTACATGTGTACTCACATGTCTATTTAAATTATACATACTTAGTAAGATGGAATACTCTATGTAGAAGTATATTCTGCATAATGCCATATATTTTGTATGTAAACACATTATATATAATAAAATATTATAAATATATATACAACTTTGTGCACATACTTACATATACATCTACATATATACATCTATGTATACATAAATATGCATATTTTATTGGTACAAATATACAACTTACAATAAAATATTTAAACTGTCAAAGAAGGAGGGAAAGTTTTTATAATTGCACATACCATTCTTCCTCCTTTATACCCTTTTCTCTGTAATCTCATCAATTCTGCATTTATTTTATGTCTTTCTTCTTACTAGATTATAAACTACTTGAGGACAGTAATCATGTCATGTTCATTTGCATATCCCTGAGGTGTCTCATGCAATATTATGTGGGTTCTCAATAAGTTTGTATGAAAGAATGAAGACTGAGCAACTATTTCAATGGAATAAAAAATACCTGCTCACTTAACATGCCAGTATTTTTTTTCATTAGCTTTCCAGGTTGACCATTTTTAACGTAGTTGTAAAAGACTTCATCGATACCCAACACAACACTTATTTGAACTCTTATTAGTATAAGGAAAGGATTGTAGAAAAACTATAAAACACGTTTTTTCCTCCCACAAGGGACTCTCAGTCTACTTGGGAGAGAAGACCTAAATTATACAATAATGTTTGTGGTTTTCCCAAAGAGACAAATGTAGCCTTGATCTCTCGCCTCTTTAGTGTATGGTCCTTACTCTTGGGCCACAGACAAAGTCCAGAAGACGAGACAGAGCAATCCTCTGCTCCAGAGCCCACAGTAGGGCAGGTGTTCAGGAGGCTCCTCTAGTGTCTCCCGCTCATCTGCCCCAGCCTCTCGGTGAGCATGAGTCCTTCAGCTCTGGGGCCGCTCTAAGAGGCGTCTAGTTGGTTGAACCCTCAGCCCCATCTCTACTTTCGACTCTCTATTCACTACAGTTCCCCCCGAAAACACACACACAACACTCACGGTCCTTTGGACCCTAGAACCTCTTTGCTTTCTACCAGAGTCCAGAACTTTTTCATAATCTTCATTGGGGGATTTTTTTGGTTATTTGATTCCAAAAAATTTTACTCTACATGGAGCAGGAGGGCTCTTCAGGTCTTGCAGGTCGACTATCTGCTGGAGAGTCAGACCTCTTATATTGCCAAATTTGGCACTCTTTGATGACCGCTTGCTTTGGTGTGTTAGAAGCCCCTGTCCTCCTCCACATGAGTCTCTGACTTTACCCCGCCTTGGTAGGTTTCCTCTGATACTTTACCTAACCTCTGTAGAGCCTGTGCTGCAGGAATGAGGAAAGTCGGGACTGAAGAAAACAGAATGTAGCAAAAAAATGATGCCTAAACTTACAGGCCCCACAAAAGCCAGTGTGCCCTTCTCTTCATAGAGCCCATGGTCCAGCTCTGACGTTCTAGACTACCTAGAGCATCTGGGGCCTGATCAGACCCTGAAAAGACTTCCAAGAAGAGCTGCTGGATTTCCTCAGCAGCTTAAAGAGAAATAGCATTCATCTGGACTGAAAGATGCTTATTTTTGCTTGGAGCAAAGGGGACAAAGTAGATAGATAATGTTGGGTTTGTTTTTTTTTTTTTTTTAGTACACTTTGCAGCTAGACTTCAGGAAATAACATGACCTAAAATGACCTCTTACGGTTGTCTCACAAGAAGCATTTGATCATGATGTTGTCTTTCCCTTCAGCGTGTCACAGTTAATGGCAAAGCCACTGTTTTTTATTTCAACCACACATTTTTCATGGAAAATTCTACCAGGCTTGATAAAGAAAAGGAAAGGAAACAATATAGTTTCCAGACTTACCCTCGTTCCAGAGTTTTGTTTGTTTTTTCTCTTAGCGAAGTATGGGGACTAAAATTTGGTTCTTGTAAGGCAAGTACGAGTTCCTCTGGTCCTCTCCATGAACTCTCACAGAAAATTAGGAGCCTCATATTTCTGCTTTTGAGCCAGCAGGTTGTAGAGACGAAGGGGAGATCCAGGATTTTAACTGACCACAAGATTAATATAAGCCAATTTTGTTGTTTCATATCTTTTCCAGTAGAATGCAACCCCTTAAAGATGGGGTTGTGTCTTGTCCACCTGTGTACCCCCACACCTGGCATGCTGCCTGGCATATGCTGGGTCCTCGCTAAACAGCTGTCGAATGAGTAAAAAAGTACAATCGAACCAGAAGCATATTAGAAGGAGTGTTATAACAAGATCGTAGAGAGAATTCCATTTTATCCTGTGTAATTAAAACCATCTCTGAAATATAGCATTCGGTTCCGGGTAGTACCATTCAACAGCAACACTGAAAACTAGAATCAGTTCAGAACGAGTCATCCTCAGTGAGGTCTAGCAATGGGGCTTCAGTCAGGAATAGTTGAAGGAATGGAGAAGTTTAGCCTGGAAAAGAGAAGACTAAAGGGAGATAGGAACACCATTTCCAGGTGTTTAAAGAATGGTCATGAAGAAGAGGAACCTGGCTTGCTTCATGCTGCTCTTCAGGAGAAAATCAATATTAGGGGGAGACTTTAAGTTTTGGGGCTTTTGTGTCTCTATCTGTCTCACAGTAGGATGGGGTGCCTTGTGACATTGGTTGCAAAGATTTGGGTATTGTTGGATGGAAACTCGTGACGAGTAAGAATTTGGATTTACTACAAACTCACTTTTAACGTGTTTAGCTTTTCTGCTGATTAGAAATTCTTATTTCCTTGAGAGGTATATATTAGGGCAATTGTTAAGCTTACTATATATATATATATAGTAAGCACCTCATATGTGTGTGTGTGTGTGTATATATATATACATGTTTTATTTACTTATTTATTTATTTTAGAACGGCTATACTCCTTTACATATTGCTGCCAAGAAGAATCAAATGCAGATAGCTTCCACACTCTTGAACTATGGAGCAGAGACTAACATTGTGACAAAACAAGGAGTAACTCCACTCCATCTGGCCTCCCAGGAGGGGCACACCGATATGGTCACCTTGCTTCTGGATAAGGGAGCCAATATCCACATGTCAACCAAGGTATTCTGTTTTTACCTCCTGTTTTAGTCGAGTCTTTTGGACGAACGTAAACAGAAACTAATCAAAGATAACTTGGACCAAAAAGAGGGGCTGTATTAAAAGGCAACAGAGATGTCTTACAGAATTCAAGGACAGTAAAGGAGTCCAGCCTTATGAGGACTGGGAAACCACAAGGAAGCGAGGAGTGGGCCTCTCAGACTCTCCGTCTGTACGGCTGCATTTTTGCATCTTGACTTTTCCCTGAAAGTCAGTTTCCTTTACCCCTCTTGGTAGATCTGCTTTCTCTGCTTCTCTGCATATGTGACCAAAGAGGCTACCCCATAGCTCCCAAGAGTTAATGTCACGCAGTTCAAGCATCAGCCCAGATTGCTGCAGCACCTGGTGGGCCTGGTTCCACATCCCAGAGAGCGAGAGAGAGAGTGAGAGAAAGAGGAGAGAGGGGTGACAGTTTCATCTGGAGTCTGACCCAAACAACTGCTTCTAAGCTGCTGGGCCATGCCCACCACCCAGTCGTTCTCCAGCCCAGCTGAGCATCGGAGGCACCTGTGGGTAGGGGTAGGGAACTCAGTAAAATATAGATTTCCGAGCCATCTTCAGCTTGTCTTGGATGGTGGTGGTGGTAGTGGTCAGAGAATCAGTGTTTTTAATAAAGCACCCTAATCATGTCACTCTTTCCCCAGAGAATAGCCTTTGTGGGCAAGCATATTAACTATAAGAGCATAACAGTCAGACATATATGGGAAAAGATATTATTCAAATATAAAAATGTCTAGGTTTTTACAAGTACATGTCTGTCTGTCTGTCTTTCTCTCTACGTATATATTTGTAGCTCTATCTATTGTCAATCTCATCTATTCTATATCTGTCTTACACTTATATCTACCCCAGTAGAGCCAGCTGCTGAGAAACTAAAAATGGGAGCCTATATTTATGTTAGCTCACAATTTAGATCTCTTAATGCTTTTTGTAACACATGGTGTGGGTTTAGTGAAAATTAAGTTTCTTAGGATTCTCCACAAATATACAATTCTATGTTTTCTACATCTCACTGTTGAGTTAATTAGTGCTTTTGGAGACTCACTTGTAAATTGCTCTTAGCATTTGTAAATAGATTATATAGCATCTGTCCTTTGGAAACAGCTATAAAAAAGACAGGTTGTTTTGACTGCCTTTAGCGTGCTATTCTGTTTTTTCCCCTCAGAAGTATTCTAGTACATCACTTGCCCTTATGCACTTCTCTGTTCTCTATCAAAGTCCCACAGATCCTGTTTTAAAGTATCGTGAGAGCTAATGATAGAGTTAGCCCTCCAAAAGATACTTGCATTTTAACCAGAATGAACGTGATGGAGCCTTATGGTGAAATTCAGTGTATTAGCCAGATGGTCAATACAGTCTGAGCATGGATTTGTTTGTGGCCACTGAAACCATGCCATTTAGGGGGTCATTTGCCCTATTGGGGATATCCTTACCATGAAACCAATGGTAGAATGTTTCATTTAACATCAGTCTATGAAGGGGGCATGTAAGTGTTTATTGCCTGTTAAAAACACATCTTTATTTGAAAATAAACACAAGAAATTCATAAACAAATCATGCAAAATTTTAAGTAGAATGAAAATTCTGGACATGAAACTGATCTTGCAATGTTTCTGATGGTGTTATTTTTAATTCATAAAAATGGTACATATATATCTGAAATCAGTTCACTGGTAAATTCAAGTGCCTAAAACACATCCTGGCATATGAAAAGTACTCAAAAAATACTATCAAACGTACAAATGATTTAGGTTTTGAAGATATTCTTTAAATTTCAGTTTTCCTTGATGGATGCTACTTGTACATATAGTAAAGCTGCTAGATTATCTATGGCAGAATAAACCACTTTTTCCTCCTTTCTCTATTCTTTCATCTTTTATTAATTCTTACTGAATGTTAATTACATATTCAACTAACCGGAATAATTACTCAATGTATATATGCCAAGCAATTTACATAAAAATGGCCAGTTTATGGTGCTATATATAAATGATGGAGTTACTTTTTATTTACCATTTAGAGGAACCAAAAAAAATAGTATACTATCTTTGGGTGCTGGAGAAAATTATTCTGAACGCATTTCCTGTAACTCTGTACACTTTTTACATTGATGTGCTATTTTATTGATGAAAATATAGACTGTGCTATGGTTATAAAGTGTGAAGTAGTAGTTGGTTGATCAATTATTTAACTGGATAAATAGATTCAGCAGGAGGCACAGATTGGTTTGAAATGAATGTTTTTGGAAGCTTATTAGCTGAGTTATTTTAAAGTCTTACATCATAATTTAAGTACCCAATATAGAAAATGTAACTTGCTGCAAGTGTTGATTAACTTAGAGAATATGTCTTGGATGGAAAGTCCAAGATCCATCAAAAGTTACAGTTTCTGGGGGGAGGCTATGAATTTTCCAGGATTTTTTCAAGACATGATATTATAGAGGATGCAATGTATTTTCTTCTTCAAATGTACCCCTTTGCTTCCATTCTCTCTGTAGAGCGGACTCACATCCTTACACCTTGCAGCCCAGGAAGATAAAGTGAATGTTGCTGATATTCTCACCAAGAATGGGGCTGATCAGGATGCTCACACGAAGGTAAAGCAATTGCTCTCAATACTGTGACAGGTTCTGACTTGGATGATTCCCAGTAGCCCCCATTCAGTCACCCCAAGTCCAAGTCCCCCCTCCTTAAAAGTCCATTCTCAATTAATTATGACTCTCTCCTGCTCATAAATCTATAATGGTTCTCCAGTTTGGCTGGAATCAAGTTCAAATGGATAGCATGATATCAGGACCCTTTACAAAATGATTCCAGTTTTGCAGACTTAAGTCTACCCTCCTCCCTTATTGCTTCAGCTAGTCAAGACAGCTTGCTGTTTTCTTCCTGTACTTGCTTGCCTCCATGCCCTTGGTCTTGAAATAGCTTTTCCCTCTCTATGCCATTAAATTCTTCAAGCCCACCATAGCTACATTTTTCACACACCTCCTCAAGATCCTCCTGTCAGGCTCAGTCTCTCCTCCTGTTATCAGGTCCTGTTATTTGTGCCTCTCTCTTAGCTCTTTGTCAGATTAAGTCACACACATCTGATCTCCTTTGCTGGTGTTAAGTACCTTGTGTTCAGGGATCTGCTCCTATCCATATTTCTATGTCTATATCATCTGCTAAGTAATATATGTACAAATAGAATTTCTCCCATCTTATCGCAAATGAAATTCTACCTAATCGCTCTCCCCTGAGTATTAACCACTAGAGAGGTAATTTATTTGTTTATTATTATTTATAGCTTGGTTACACTCCTTTAATTGTGGCCTGTCACTATGGAAATGTGAAAATGGTCAACTTTCTTCTGAAGCAGGGGGCAGATGTCAACGCAAAAACCAAGGTAAAATACTTGTACTCATTTTCATTTTCCATAAGCAAAAAGGTTCAGCCATATGCACACTTTGCTAGCTCACCATAGCTACAAATGTATCTTTTTTTCTTTTTGGTTCTTCTAAAGCAGTTTTGAATAAGTAATATCAGTTTGTACAATTGTTTGAGACTTCTCATTCTAATAACCTTTGATGGGTTATGTAGGTTAACTTCAGAACTACTTCTATTACAAAGTTCAGGTAGCTGACATGGATTTAAACTTTACTGCAGGATACAGTAGATACCTGGAGAACATCGTGATGTTCTGGCTCACCACCTTTACACCGTTGCAGGGCCTTGGCTCCCTCCCCCAGCCCTGACGCCCTTGTGAGGAAAGACAGACAGGCAGCCCAGACTGCATTCCTTTCATTTCTTTAAAACTGATATCCATTAAATGTATGCTATGAGTCATATATACACTATATATGGCTTTAGGTATATTAAATCACTTAATCCTTAAGTAACATCATAGTCAGATGCTATTACTACCTCTATTTTACACTGTGACTTTAAGGAACTTGTCTAAGGTCACAAAGTATTAGTCGGCAGAATCAGAATTCAGTCCCAGGCAGTCAGCGTCAGGGGCCGCTCTTACTGCTGCGTATGCTGTTCTGATTCCCACGTTGCTACAAGTCAGTAACCTCAACTCACTGCATCTAAAATCTTATCCGTCATCATTCACTTTCCTACCTGACATTTATTCCACACTATCAGATCCTGTTGCTTCCCTCTCTTAAGGAGTTCTCTGACCTATTCATCCTCTTCCATTCCTTGAGTCGCTGTAATGGGACCTGACCTAATGCAACTTTCCAGATGGCCCCCCGTAACTTTCCCACAACTAAACTGTAGCCTGTTAATACTTCACTTTCTCCCAACTAATATTTTCCCATTTTGCTCATAGTCTTTCCTCTTCCAAGGTGCTCCCTCTTTTGTCTATTTAAATCTTATCTGTCCTTAAACTACAACCTCTATAATGCTTTTCCAACTACTTGAACATTTTATGATTACCATATCCCCAAAATAATAGTGCTTCCTTTTTAAATTCACTCATAAAACATTTAAAAATTACCAGTACATACTTTTTAATGTCTTTCTATTTTTATTGATGGTTCATTATAAAAAATAATGTATGTTCTTTCTAATCACCTCCTATTCACCCCTGAGGAAAGGATTCTTCACACTAAAATAGTAGGAGATAGCTGAACACAGGACATCCAAAATAATGCAAACTTTAAATTTATTTTTTTATTTCATTTTTTTTTCTTTTTACCTTTTGAACCCCTTCACCCAGTTTGTCCACCCCCCACCCCCTGCCTCTGGCAACCACCAATCTATTTGCTGTATCCATGAGTTCAGTTTTTTGTATTTTGTTTAAGATTCCACATACAAGTGAGATCCTTCAGTATTTGTCTTTCTCTGTCTGATTTATTTCACTTAGCATAATATATATATATACACATACCACTATTTCTGTATCCACTCATCCACTGATGGGCACTCAGGTTGTTTCCATCTATTGGCTGTTGTAAATAATGCTGCCATGAATATGGGAGTGCATATATCTTTTTGAGTTAGTGTTTTTGTTTTGTTTGGATAGATACCCAGAAGTGGAATTGCTGGATCATATGGTAGCTCTATTTTTAACTCTTTGAGGAACCTCCATACTGTTTTCCATAGTGACCGCACCAAATTACATTCTCATCATTCCCGCCAACTCTTTCACATTTGGAATATCATGTGGTCATGCTCAGTGAGGCAATAATGTGTAAGGCCTGGGTGGGAAGTTCTCAAGGATAATGCAGAGCTGACTGGATCCCAACTGTTTTTTCCTGTGGCATTCAGCAAGGCGAGGTGGGAATGTAACAGCTCACTTCAGTGTACTCAAATTGTGCACTCTCTTCAAGGGGAAGAGAAATGTGCAAGATAACTACTGCTGCCAGGCATAATATAACTCAGCTCAGGTTCCTTGGTCCAAAGAAATAAGTAATTGCATGTTGTTTTCTTAAGTTATATATCAGGTATCCCTAACTGCAGCTATGAGTGGGCTCAAGTAAATTACTGTGAACACATTTAGGAATTTTCAAAGTTGTCACTCAAGATGCTACTAATTAGAAACATATGAAGTTTAGGAAGAGTCAGTTTTTTTATATCCTTTAGAAGTCGAAACAAAATCATGTCTCTATATAAGCATATTTATAAGTGAATTAAAAATAAAGTTATTTTCAAAATTATAAATAATACTATTAACATTTGAGATTCAAAGCTTGTAATCCGACTCTAGCAAGAGTAGCTGCTGCCTAGCTTCTGACTTCTTGAGTTCTCATGAAATTGCACTTTGAGACTTATTTACACTCTCAAATGTGAATTCTCAGGTAGTAGCACCTAGCACCATTTTTGCTGACTCAGCTCACACATAAGCACTGCAGACAAGACCTTCTTATTGGAATCCAGGGATTCTCCTGCAAGGCATAAGTGAGACTTTGGCAGAACTTGCAAACGTTTATCATATGTTTTTAAGTGTTGGATTGTTGAAATGGTTATAATATTTAGAAGCCAAATGTACTGTCTAGATAACATCACTTGCCTCCCTGGGGTGTGGTCTGCATTCAAATGGACATTTGGTTGAGAGAAAAATTTCATTTTAACTTTCAAGTTTTTTTTAAAGTAAACTATGTAGATTTTACTTGCTTTTGGAAGTAAATATATCTTTTGATATATCTTCAGGGGAGTGGATAGATACATACCTCAAAGAATGTTCTTTTAATAAACACAAGAATTTTTTCACAGAGAATGACATCTTTGGAGAAGGAATTGTGTTTTCTTCATCACATCTCATGTGTAACCATAGTTACGGAAAAATTGTTTGGTTGCTATGAAAATGTAAACATATGTGTTGCCTTTGGTCCTCAAACATTCATGACTTGGTCTAAAAATTTGGAAAAGTGAACTTGTTTTATGGGACTATTGCTTAAAATTAGAATGAAACCCTGTAACATCAGCTTGAGGCAAGCCAGATTTTGTTAATTATATGATTAATTTGCAAAGAGTGTTTAGAACTTCAGCATATAAAAGGAAAATTTTCTTTATAAAATATGCTACAAAGATCATAGAGCTCTTCAATGAGAAAGAAAAATAATGTTAGCATTTTCATATAACTTTAGATAAATTAAAGAAATATTTCACAGACAACATATTTGATCCTTCACCAAACTTGAAATCTTGGCCATTTCCATTTTATAAATGAGAAAATTGAGGGTTAGAGGGGTTTAGGGAGAGGCTAGTACTCTGTAGAACTGAGTCTACAGTTCCTAGCAGGGTGGGGCTAAGATGGAAGATTAAGCTTCAACCGAATAGTCACGTAAAAGCTTCTGAGTTGCTCCCCACTTCCCTACAGATACACTCACGCACCCGAGGCTTCAGGTAAAAGTCAGATGAAATCAGGCCTGGGGGGCATCTTCCCGGCCACAGTGTCCATTGAGGACTCAGTATAATGTGGGCTATTGAGGGCAAGAAAGGGACTATGGCATCATTAATTTATGTGAGCACAGCGCCTCTTATTTAGCACATAGCCCGTGGGTAGTAAATGTTTGCTGAATGAACTAACTTGGCTGGTACTGAAGAGGTGAATTAAGTTTGGTTGGTAGAATATGTGTAAACACAGTGCAAAGGGAGAATTTTTAGGAGAGGAAATATCACTTACTTTATGCTTCTCAAATGTCCATGGATTACCTGATTTGAGAGCAGAGTCCTGTGATAGCTCTAAATTTCTCAGATTTTTATGTCCAGGTTTTCTGGGGTCGTTCCGTTGTAGGGATGTAGAGTATAGCAGACGTGCAGAGCTGATGATGTTCCAGACCGAGGGACACTCGGACTGACAGACTTTCACACACATGGGTGCATCCCCATGGACTGAAGGGCTGCAGTGAAAGCGTAGAGGGAATCCTGGACACCTTGCACAGAGGCTTCGTGTAGACAGGAGAAGCAAGTCGACATGTTGGTCACGAGGTGGCAGTGACACTAGATGAAAGGGATGCATACTCTTACAAGTTTAAGGTATGCACGGGTGACCCAGAACTTACAGCCCAGGACAATTGGGTCTGAAATGTATCCATACGCTTTTATCAGGGCTGAGGCAGGTAGATAATAAAAAAGTAGTCTGATAGCCATTGGCTATCATAATCTTGTACGTAGGATCTGAACCTAGAATGATTGTGAAGAAATTATATAACTGTTATTTTCAGTTTCATCTCTGAAATGGGGAGAAAAATATTCATTTATTAACTCATTTGTTCATTCACTCAGTCACCCATTATTCACGAAACACCTACCATGTCCCAAGCACGCTCATTTTCACAATGATAATAAAGATTAAGAGAGACAATAAATATAAGGTCCAGTACCTGGCACAGAACGAGTGCTCAGTAAATGGTCGCTATTAACATTTTGTTGTGCCTGCAAGGATTCCAGGGCAGCTTGATTAATTAACGTAATTATGCAAACCACCTGTGCCATGCCGACCCCCCACTAGAGTGCTGGGCAAGGTTGGCTTCACACTAACCTTGACAGCAATGCCTCACAAAGCATGGATTACAGGGTTTCATCTGAGTGGAAGTTTAGACCAGAATGTTAAAAAGAACCTAATTTTTAAAGACTTTTTAATTGAAAGTGGACCACTCAGCTTCCAGTGAAACCTTCTTTTCTCTAAGTGTGCTCTTCTTTGGCCAAAGCTGTGCTCTCAAAGGAATGTAAGATTGAGGTTTGCTTTCATTGACTTAGCATCCCTAAAGCCAGCCCAAAGATTATCAGGGAGGTCGTGACTAGCAAGCAGTGTTATGATCCTCTGCAGCTTTCAGTTAAACGCATTTTACTCTTTCTCTTTCCCAGGGAAGAATTCACTCTGATAACACTGTTTCTCATTATAAATCTTCTCTCAGCATACCCATTTTTAATGCTAATTGGTGAAAACACCAAACAGTTAGAATGTGGCATCTGTCGGTCTTGCTCTTTCCTAAGCTGGTCTCTTTCTGTTTAGCTCACCATAAGGTGTGAGGGAGTGTCGGGCTGCTGCTGAGACTGCGCTCCAGATAAACAGGCATCCGTGACCATTTGGTTGTAAATAAGATTTAAGAAATTCCAAACGAAGGCTAACCTAATTTTCCTTCTCCTTCTGCAAATCTCCACCCGGTCCACCGCCACCGTCATCGACAGAACGGCTACACGCCTTTGCACCAGGCCGCCCAGCAGGGCCACACGCACATCATCAATGTCCTGCTGCAGCACGGGGCCAAGCCCAACGCCACCACCGCGGTAAGGGGGCGTGGCTGCCCCTGCCCACGCCGCCCGTTGTCTGAGCTGAGTTCAGATACGGCCCCCTTAAGTACGCCCCCGCACTCTGGAAAGCCCGGGCTTTCTGGAAGGCCTTTCCAGAAATCAGCAGGACTTGCTGGGAGTGCTTGGCCAGGGAGGGAGTACGGCCTGACTCAGTTGTCTCTCGGGAGAGCGGGGCCCCGCACTCCGGCCGCTGGAACGTGCTCTGACTACAGCTGGCTCTCAGATGTGAGCGCAAGGCCACCCCTCCGCCCGGCCTTCTTAAGGGCGCACAGTTTCCGAGGCTTAGACAAAGCTCTTGGGGATGTGGAGCCATTGAAATGTAAACTAAGCGGTGCAATTAAACAAACCGGCATGCCGAGTGGCCTGGGCGGGAGCCTGAATTGCTGGCTTGTGTTATTTCCCTGCACAGTGAGCCTCTGCACAGCTGTAGTTAGAGATGTTACTGTGTCCCCTGTGGTGACATCTTACCTGCAGCAGATGGCTCGGCCTGTGCTGAGGAATCCGCGTTCTTGGTGCTCGCTAATCGTTTTTGGAGGCACCATCCTCTGTGCAAGAGGTACTTTCCTAAGCAGAATACAGTATTGGTAGAGCTATTTGACAACCTCGGGGTTAAAGCGTCAAGTGCTTCTTATTGGAAAGCGCAGGCAGATGCAGCTTGTTGTGTTACCATGGTGACCTGGGCTCTAGTCTAGAGAAGTTACAAAGACGATTCAGATGTAATGGTAAAAACTAGTGATTTTCCTAAGCTGTGCCTTGTTTTGGAAGGAAATGCTGGCTCATGCAGAGCCGCGGGTGAGCTCATTGGCTCCCATCGCCGTCCTCCCTCTCAGTTCTCACTCTTTCTCTCGTTCACTCTCTTCAGAATGGCAACACGGCCTTGGCGATTGCTAAGCGGCTGGGCTACATCTCCGTGGTCGACACCCTGAAGGTTGTGACGGAGGAGGTCACCACCACCACCACGGTGAGTAAGAGGGACTGCTCTGCTCAGCTTCGGCTCCAGTGTGTGGGTTTTCAAGCCACATAGTTTTTCACTTACAAAATGTTTTGAGCTTTTAGTTTTGAACTTCTTTTGGTGAATATGTTGTAGAACATGCATAGAGGTATGCAGATGTAAATGCATTCACACAACTAATGCAGGGGTTTAGCTTCCTTTAGTCAACATAAATCCATATAAAATGTATGAGTGAAATTTTATAATGCTTGGTTCCTTTTTCTGTGACTGGCTTCTTTTTTTCTGGCTCCTCTGCGCTGTTGCTGTGGTTGGGTGTGACACTTGCTGCTGGCGGGTAGGAACACTCCACAGCAAACTTCTCACCTTAACCAGGAGCTCAGGCAGCCCCTGGAAAGACCCTGACCTCCGAACGCTATGCTCACACGGGGTCAGATGGGTCCCCGTGAGATCAGGTCATCCTTACTTTCTTCTTAGTTCTGATTATTATTTTTTATTCAAAAAGAAAACTGAATGTGTTTAGTAGGTAAACTCTATATCATGACAGTACATATTTAATTTTTTAAATTTTTTGCTGTTTTGAATACGATGCTGATTCTGTAGGAGAGAACAGTGATCATCATTGGCCTTTGCCAGAGAAACTCTAGAAGTGATAATAATGAGTGCTAATGCTCTTGCCACTCAGTTGGAGCAAAGCTTGAAAGAGGCCTCATGAGAGGGAGACTTCCAGTGGAAATGCCATCTCTTTGCATTTATGCGTTCATTAACTTTTCCCGTTAAGCTTGAACTCTAAGGACAACAGCTGTTTAATTTCCCTTTGTAAAGTAGGAAAGTGGAGCAACAGTAGAACATTAGATGTTCTTTAGAGACAATAAGATCATAAATCAACAAATCAATTCTGAATGAGGTTCTAGTAAATGCCCCATGCTGGGAATGATGCACATAGAGTTTTAGAACACTCAGTTCTTTTGGTAGATGTGAGGAAAAAGAGACAAATTTCATTCTTCAGGCTGACAGCAAATCCCTGTTGACATACATTGAGGTAAATGCAAGACAGTTGGTTTGATGTGAAGTTTTAAATAGAGTGGAGTATGATTTATTAATGAACTGCAGGACACAGACTGAATTTAGATGGGAGAGAACAGCACTGGTTGTTTTCTTCAGAACCTTTGGCCAGCGCACCAAAATGTTTTTAAAGTATAGCTTTAATAAATTATACAGGAAAAAAACAAGTCTTGTCACTACCTCGCACTATACTTCTGAGTCACTTGGTAAGGCTGAATCAATGGCTTTTTCTTACTCTATGATTTCTTATACCAGGAAAATCTTCATATTAGGGATCTATACATATATGTCTCTAATGTGGTGTCTTTGAAAGAATGTGTACGTCGCAGATAAGTGAAGCCGTTAGTGGCCAAGCACATCTGTTTTTAAAAGTCATGTCTTCTGTCAACTTTGTAACCTTGTCCATTCTCTGGTAATCATGTTTGTACATTTTTATCAAGTTACCACCAGATGGCAAGCTTGCATCTTTTTTGCCACCTTGACCCACTTTTCTTCCATTCATTTCATTAACTAATTCATTCCTTCAGTATTTACTAGATGTAAAATACGTGCTGGATTCTGTGCTGACTGCTGAAGAACATTACTCCTCCCCGCCAGCAACTTACATGTAGTGGGAGTGGAGAATAAGACTGACGTTTGGTACGAAAATAAATTCTTTTAACATCAACAAAACTATAGAACTTACACATCCAGTTTCAAAGAGATCTCAGGCTCACAGCTGTTACTTAAAGTGAATGACTTTAACTATACAGATCTATATTTTGAAAGAGGAGCAATTGGCTTTTTAAATACTATTGCTAAACAAGTTCAGAAATGAGGCATGTGGTCCTATGTCCACCACATCTACCTCTAGGGGGATTCAAAACCTCCTCTGAGAACTCTCTGCGAGATTTTTGCTTTTCTGGTACCTTGTTCTCTACGCTGTCTAGCTGAGCTGACTCCAACAAAAACCACTCTACTTAGAAATCAAGTTTCTAGGTGAAAAGCCAACAAACAAATATGAACATAGTAGCATGCCTGCGTTCAGTAGGGGTAATAAGAAATCATTGCCCATATTAACTAAACAAACACCCCTTTATCTAAATGGGTGGTCTTATTTATTTGTTGGTTACATGTTTTGGTGCTGCCCTATCTTTACTTTCTGCCTCTCTTAGGATTGGATCCTTTCCTTAGAATTATGAGTTTTATCGTTTTGTGAAACAGAATTTGGGGTTAAGAATTGGAAATAGGAACTTATTCCTGTCTGTTATGTGAGTCTTCTTACTTTGTAGTTCCTCTCTCTGGGAAGAGATTTTTATTTTTTTCCCCCACACATAATGGTGTTATTAAGGATATTAAAAACAATAATTAATATTTAGTAATTACAGATATGCCAGACATGAAGGGCCGATCCAGCATTCAAAGCTAGCTTGTCAGATCCCAAAGTCCGTGTTCTTAACCACTCTGACATAACTGCTCTTGGCTTTGCTACAAGCAGCTTAACTGGAATCATGTGAAAGAAATGTTTTCACCTAATTTTCAACTTAAAAAAAACTCCACTTAAATAATGTTCTTTATTGATTTTCTTGAAAGCATCCTATTCAATTTCGTTTTCTAAAGTCTACAGATTCACTAAAAATAATTTGGAACTAGTTGCTGGTGATAAGCAAGTAGCACAAGACCATTTAATAATTATGTAAAATTAGTAAAATTAAATTTAATGTTATTATCATTTCAGTGTAGTCGTTGAACTACAGCTGCACAACTAACGTGAATTTCACATCCTTGGCTTCATACAATGTGCCATTTGGGCAGCCAAGTGAGTTCTCTTTCATCAGAGAAAGTTTCCTTTGCTCTTGCTCCGTCCAGAGTTCTTTCTCTCAAAGTATGAATAAAGTCATTGTGTAGAGAGAAGGGTCGGGCAGCGGTTTGTAAAGGAAAAGTCACTGCCACAGAAATTTCTGAGACAGTTTGGAATTGTGGTTTGTTTCCTTAACCTCTGCCTTTCCGACGACTTTGAAAGACCCAGCAGGGGCTCTGAGACTGTGAGCCTTCCCCTGGGCTTACGGTCATTGTATACTTGCTGGAATGGACATCAAAGGGATAGGAACACATTTGTGGCAGCAGAAGCCAACAAGCTCAATCTCCTAATACAGTTTGGAAGAACTCTGAGATATGACTCATCCCTCTACTTATTGATCAGCTATCATCAATTATTTCTATGATTTGCATAATTTTAAAGTGATCATGTTTCATGTTGTGTATAATCATTGATATATAGAGCATAAATTACCAAATAAACTACTAAAATAAAAATATTATATTTATAGTATCATTTAAACCATTGGGGAATTTTTTGACAAGCAGTTAAGAAAATGTAAATATTCAAAGTCCTAAATCTTATCTGATGCCTTAAGTCAGTTAAAATGGGAATCCTAAAATGGCAATGCAATAAATACACATAAAGTCATTTGACACATTTTGAGGTGGAGTCAAGATCTTTTCTTTGAACATAGGTCCATTGACCAGAAGGCTAATTTGTCATTCTTGCATAAAGAACATTAGTAATACATACTATATTGTGTGTGTGTATGTATTTTATAACATCCATATCTATATAATATTCTGTGTATTATCTTAAAGAGACACTATACTGAGTGCAAAACCTTTTTAAACTTTTGGCACATTTTTTTCCAATCTGTTATCATTGTCTGAACACACCTAATTGAGTAGCAGTTATTTTTGGTGACCCACCTTTGTTGAGAATTTCCAAACCATTTACCTTAGTTTTTATAGAAAAATACTATTTATATACTATTTATTACAAAAATTATATTAACATGTACACTTGGTATAAATAGGTTTGGGTACAAAACCAAGTTTGGCCTGTCACTCCACCAATGGGAGCCAACGTGTGTGGGCATTAGAAGGTGGCATAGTAGCCAGGATCACTCATCATGCTTTGGTGGCTTGATGAGGATGTGGTACAAAGGAAGTGGTTGACCAAGGGGATGTAAACCATTCCTCAGTAAAGGTCAGTAAAGCAGACTTTTACTTTTGCATAGAACAGACCAGATATTGTCCATGATTTGTAGAACAGCATGTTAAAGGATGCTTTTTTTTCTACATCTTTCCCACATTGTGATAAATATTAAAAACCCGTTATTAACTCTTCCATCTAGCTTATCCTATTTGTTTGTTTGTATTATATGATTTAATTATATCCTGTTAAACTTGTGCATGGTGCAGGACTCATTTTAACTTTTAAAGTAGTTTCTAATCTTGACCACAGAATCTTAGATTCTATAGCAGAGGGAGATGCCCATGATCGTTTAATTATATCCTTATTTTCTGTATACTATTCAGATGGAGTTGCATAAAACCATATTTATCTTCTGATAATCAAGTTTTCAAAAGATACTTTATTTAAAAGGAAAACATATATTCATTTCTTGTAACATTACTAATGTGTAGGAAGACCTATTTGTTGTCCATTCAACAAATATTTATCGATGGCCTTCTAAAGGTCAAGCATGACGTCATGTACAAATGCATGCTATATTTACTACATTGCATATAGAGGGCATTTTTAATATCTACACAGAAAATGTCCATGACCAATATGATAACTGTGTGTTACTTTTCCTGTTGCCACCTATAGTTGCTGAGAATAACTTTGATAGTATTCAGAGACCAAACTAAGGCAGTTATTTCCACTCTCACAAGTTCAAAGAAAATATAGTCCCATTGTTAGCCTTTGAAAATAAAAAACTAAGAATGTCAGGCAATATAACTTAATCATTTAAAAAGTATTTCCATCAATTATTTTCAGTTGGAGGAGCATCCTCTTGTGGAAATGTTTCCTGTGGAGGGCAGATGCTCTGGAACAATTCTACAAAAATGGATTTTCTGGTAGAAATGGATTTTCTTGTAGATATCCTTTTGCATTTTTAAGTCATTTTATTTACACTTAGATACTTATTTTAAAAGTCAGAGTTTAATAGGATGTCATTGTTTAATAGGATGTCACTGTCTCTATCCTATATTTTAAATGCAAATCACTTTTCTATGATTTATGCACTTTCGTAATCCAGGGAAATGATTTGCAAATTGAGCTACACAATACACCCACCTGAGGAACTTTTTAAAAATACCTCTTGGGGCTGGCACCATGGCATAGTGGTTAAGTTCAACGCACTCTGCTTTGGCAGCTCAGGTTCACAGGTTCACATCCCAGGCACAGACCTACACCACTCATGAGCCATGCTGTGGCAGTATCCCACATATAAAATAGAGGAAGATTAGCACAGATGTTAGCTCATGGCTAATCTTCCTCAGCAAAAAAATATAAAAAATTAAAAAATCAAAATACCCATCGCTGGGCTTTGTCCTCAGGGATGCTGATTTAATTGGTCTGTGATGGGACCCAAGCAAGAATATTTTTTAAATTCCTCTAATAATTTTAATATGCAGTTTGAGTTGAGAACCTTTGATATAGAACATAGGTTGCAATTTATCTGTGTTAAATTTATAGATTAATATTAAAATAATAAAGTGGTGTATTGTAATTGTCTTTTTAAGTTTATTCATTCAACAAATATTTATTGACTGCCTATTATTCTCCAGAACTTTGGGTGGATGCTTTTGTCTTTCCTAGTTTGTTTTTGGTGAATAAGACATTATGGAATTATTTAAACACCATAAATAACATGTAGGGGAGCTGAATTTATTACTCTGGTCTTCAACAGTGCCTTAGTCTGGGTAACATGTGACTTTCTTGGCTTTGTCCTATTTTTCTTCCTATTCCTTCAGTGTGCTAGTACCCAAAAGAAAATCTGTTTAGTGATTATGTGAATTTTGCATAATTTTATCTCATTGATTTATTCGATATATATTTGAGAAGCACCTACTATGTTTCGAGTTCTGTGGAAACAATCTTACTCTTTAATGACTCACACATTCGGTTGTGTTTGATGTGGCATACACAAGCTGTAGGGTACACAGCAGCAGATAAACACAGTTAAACAAATAACTTCATCAGGGAGGATCAGGGAATGTTTCTCCAAGGAAGTTCCATCTGATATGAGCCAAGAAAAGAGGGGAAAGAATATTTCTAGTAAAGGAAAGAATATATGGAAAAACTCAGAGGCGTGAGAAAGCATGACCTGTGAAATGGTCGTAGCGTGGAGTGAGAGGTGAAGTTACCCTGGCTCTCCTTACTGCGTCACCAGGGGTCTTCTGTACCAGTTTATTTTGTTTTTTTCCTAAAGAAAATGGGGAGCCACTGAAAAGTAATGCATATCACATTATGATTGAATGAGTCCCTCTTAACACACAGATATTATACGTGTATATGTGTATATATTTTCAAACTAATCAGTTGAATTTCCCTGTGAATATATTTGAAGTTCTCTACTGCTTTTGGAAAGAAAGAAATTAGTGATGGGTCCTTGCAGCCATTCAGACAAGTCTGTAATATGTGTGTGGCAAAGCCTAAAAACCTACACAATGTGTTTGTTGTATTTCGGTGGCTTTAGCTGAAGATTTTACTCTTATTTTGAGACATTCATTTTTTAAAGTTCCCCTAACAATGCCAGCAGATGCACTTAACACATTTTCGGTGCAGAAACTAGAGATATGAATTGAGACTCAACTGTTTTTGGGTGACATTTAAAGTCATGAGATTTGGATTTTTATCTTTCTGTCGCGGTGGTATCCCTGGTGTCTAAAATCATGCCTGTCATGCAGTAAGCACTCAAAATGTCTCTTGAGTGGCTGAATAACTACAAAGCGCAGAGGCCCTTCATTTTTGAGATTAATTTAATATTGAATTACAATAGGGAGAATAGCTAATATTTATTGAATACTAACACATGCCAAGCACTGTTCTTAGAGCTCTTATATATATTATTTCATTTGATCTTCATAACAATTTTATGAAGTAGTAGTATTATCCCCCTTTTACAGCTGAGGAAGTTGAGGCATAGAGAAACAAGGGGACTTGCCAAGCCTCATAGCTAATACCTGCTGAAGGTAGGACTTGCACCCAGGCAGCCAGATTCCAAGAACCCGGTCCCTTAACCTCACGTCGAATATCAGGAATGGACAGCAGTGACTTGACAACTCTGCCGTGCTCTCCCGGAAGGCAAATAAGCAACACCCCGAGTTGCAGCCCAGTGAAACGCTGTCAGGATGATTGATTCTCTTGTCCCAGAAGAGATGCATTACATTTTCCACCCAAATAGTTTTTGTCTTTCACATTGTTTATAACTACTTCTCCAATGGCTTGGTTTTTAATAAATTGCATATGTTCATTGCTTCTTTTTAAAGCTTTTTTCTGGAGACATTACTTCGTTCATTTTAGGGAAGCCCTGAAAATAATTTGCTTTCTCAGTGTGACTAATTATTTTTGCCCTTGCTAAAGAATTTATTTTTCAAATGGGAACTCAAAATAATGAACTTTCGCTTGTACAACTTTACTGGAGTAAATGATCACTTATCTTCGGAGAGAACAAATGAATGTTCTTGAAAGAGAATAAGCTTCCAAAATAAACTTGAGGAAGAGATGGGATGCTCAGGGCCCTGCGGCTTGCTGATGCAAAGAGGAGGACTACCTCTGTGATTCTTTTGATCTTTTGTTTGATTTTGTTTTTAACTTGGGCATTAATGATTTTTTTCTCTCCAGACCATCACTGAAAAACACAAGCTAAATGTTCCTGAGACGATGACCGAGGTTCTGGATGTTTCTGATGAAGAAGGTAAGACTTTCATTCAAATTTCCGTGACATCTGCTGTGGTCTCACACAAGGGCAAGCCATTTTCTTTTTTCAGTGACTAGGCTGGTCAGTCGGTGAGAATGACAGCATCTTAACCTTTAAAGTCACTTTTTCACCTTTGTTTCAATAGATCTACTTTTGCCATTTGGGGGAGGGAGGATTTGAACAAGAATGTTTTCAACCGGTATTGTCTTGAATGTCTCACTAAATAGTAAGGCTGGGAAAAGGGGAAGAAACTGGAGATTGGCCATGTGTTAAAATTTCTACCTGATAATATGATTGTTAATAATATATGTTCTAATTATGTTAAATACATTTTTTATTAAATGCCCTAAAGTGTGCCTTAAAGTATCTGTGGTATATTGAGAAATGTCTGCTTTCTGACTGCTTCAGATGTACAGAATATATTTTACATCCAGAGGATAAGAGCCATAGAGAAAGTTAAAAATAGCATGGCAGTAAGTCATACAAATTCAACATAAGAATTTGGTTCTTTAAGTCAGAAAATATGCCCCCTGTAGTTTTAGAATTGATAAAACTTTTCTAAGGCATTGAGTGGATTTCTAAGTCCTGAGAAGCCTGTTGCTCTGGGGCTGACCTGGGGGGAGGGGCAAGGGAGACGGAACATTGTGTTAGACGTCCCCCTAGCAGGGTTTCTGGCTCCCTACCTCTACTTCAACTAGAGTAGTTGACTTTTCTTTTTTTATTTGAGGTTTAATTGACATTTAACGTTATGTTAGTTTCAGGTATACAACGTAATGATTTGGTATTTTTGTACACTGCAAAATGATCACCACTATAAGTCTAGTTACCATCCAGTAGTTGACTCTTCTTGACCAAAGAAATCTGCTGCTAAAAAATCATGAATGCAGCACATAAAGTATGCAACCAAATTTCGATAGTACAGCTCTCAGTTAAGTCTATATATTTGAAAAATTATTGCCATAAAAGATGGTACTGGGCCCAATGCTAATTACTTTTGTGGAGAATTAGTAAAGGTATTTCTTTAGGTTCTTCCAGATATAATCATAAGGAAAAACTTTACACTGAGATGTCCTTATTTGGAACCAGTTTGTTAAATCAACTGTTGGTAAAGGCGTTGCATTATCTCAGCTTTTAAAAGAGCTTATGACAAGAATGAACAAATGTTGGGTCAAGTGTATGATTTTGAGTAAATTAAAAGGTATTGCCAAAGCCAGAAGTTTCAAGTATTTATTATAATAATTTTGTGTTCCATCCTAATACTTGCCAGCTAGTTTCAGCATTCATATGTGCATACTACATTTTGTTTCATGGGCTCATCTTTCTTATCTTCACTTGTATGTCGAACAGCTTTAAAACAGTTTGGTGACCAGTTTATTGATGGGGAAGTGCTTAGCGATTCAGGTACCTTTAGAGGAAATTGTTGGAGTGAGAACTTTTGTTTGCTTTTAGTTTTTCTTAACTGGGGAAAAGCAACTTGCTTAATACTAATCTGTTTCTTTTGAAATAGCATGTGTAATGTGGGTGGAAATATGTATGTGTGCATTTAAGTGTGTGGATTCTATTAACCTAGAAGCTTAAAGCCGTGAATTGCTTATGCTCTTAATGAAACCTATTAACACAATTAAATTATCTGATGACAGCTTGAAATGAATGCAGTTAACATCATTCTTGGGTGAAGGTATATTTTAGGTGTGGTAAAAAAATATATTAAATTAGTAGTTATAATGTGATTTTTTTAAGGTAGCTAGGAATAGACATAAAGTAACCTTTAAAAATTATTTAAAAATTATTCCCTATATGATGAAAAAGAATTTTGTCATATAGGGAAAATGGATAATACAAAATATTCTATCTAGCAAGTAGGTTCCAATGTACATGTGGTATGACTTTAAGCAAACTTGTTACATGAAAATCTGAATTTATAAATCAGATAAATTAGATAGTGATTATTTAACTAAAAAATAATTTTTTATTTCCAAAATAATTGTTAAAGGATTCCAATAGCTAATGCATTCAAAGTATTTACTGGGTTTATAGAAATTCCATTTATATAAAACAGCCTCTTGGACCTGCCCGTTGCATAATATAAGATCTATCTATAACATTCTGTACACTTTTATTAAAACTGTTACATATTAAAAGTTGTTAGTGATAAGAACTCTTGATTTGAGAAGAATACTGGCTAATGATCAAGAATTTTGTGGTGAGAGAAGAAAATTTCCATTTTTAGATATAGCCAAAAACTTAACATTTTTTTTCCCAGAAATAAATTCAAGTTGAATAATTTTTATGTAAAGGATATATTTGAATATTGTGAAGCAACTTTTTAGTGCAAAGAATTAGTATAAAGGGATTTGGCTGGTTGTCATTGCCAACCCTTTAATGTTTTGTGCCATTAAAATGTTTTCATGGAAACTACTGTCACTCATATGGACAGAGTGCAGCCGCATGTGTTTGGAAGGTATTAGCCAATCCCTGTTTTCTTTATAGGTCTACTATTTTAATGATAGTGTGTGTATCAATACTCAAAATAGCATTGAAGCCAAGTATAGATATCCTTTCAGGCTAACTTGCTTATCTTGGTTTATTCCCATGCTCTTGAGATCTGTGTCCTACAGAGGCTGGTCATAGCTAAACGTGCCACTATCATTGAGGAATCTTGTAGTTTCCAGATATCAAAATATGAACTTTACTTAAAAAGCCAGTAATACACCATCACTATACAGTTAGTAGGAACGATTTTTCACAGAATTGGAATAATTGGAGAATACAACAAAAAAAAGTTAAGTCCTAAAACCTGGGAGTCAGAACTCTATTAAGTGAATATATAGGTAATGACAGAGAAGGGGTTGTTCCAAGTATAAGATACAATAAGGAAGTTCCTTTTAGGTTTGTTATGATGCAAGAAAACAGGGTTTGCCTTTTGTTCATTTGTTTTACATCAAATAAGTAAGTTGATATAAGGAAGTATGTTAGGGGCCAGCCCAGTGATGCAGAGGTTAAGTGCACACATTCTGCTTTGGTGGCCCGGGGTTCGCCGGTTCAGATCCCGGGTGTGGACATGGCACCGCTTGGCAAGCCATGCTGTGGTAGGCATCCCACATATAAAGGAGAGGAAGATGGGCATGGATGTTAACTCAGGGCCAGTCTTCCTCAGCAAAAAGAGGAGGATTGGTGGCAGATGTTAGCTCAGGGCTAATCTTCCTAAAAAAAAAAACGTATGTTAGAGTATAACCATTCTTCCACAAGCTCTCTGAGTTGTGCAGAATTCTTTCCAAGTCTCATAGAACTCACCTCAAACAAATAAGAGCTAAAAATCTTAATCCAACATCGTATTTTAAAGGAGAGCTTCCTTCCTCCCTCTTTCCTCATTGGCTTGGGTAGGGCAGCGGTTGTACTATTTGCTCATATAGGGAATTTGCAGAGAGAAGCAGATGGGCAGAGGGTGAGGTGGGAAAAGAAGATGAGTCTTGTTTTGGATATGCTACATCTGAGATGATTATAAGAAATCCACGAAGCAATTGAATCCAGGATGTGGAGAAGTCCAGGAGGCAATTAAAATACAAATGGGGAGTTTTTTGAGAGAGGTCTGGGATGGATACAGATTTGTGTATAGTCAGTATATCGGTGGTCCTTGAAGTCTTAAAAACACGTGCTAATATGTCAAATAAGAAGAAAGGTCACTTGGGAAATATCAACATTTAAGGAGAGTGGAGACTGGGAGGAAAGACTCCAGAAATAGAGGGAAGGTCAAGAGAGATTTGTGTCAGAGAAATTCAGGAGGGTCGTTTTCCAAAGAAGAAATCACCTCTTGGCCACTGGTTAATTTGTAAAATTAGCAAGCATCTGTTTAGTAGGTTTGACAATGAAAGGAAGAGGAGTCAGTGTGAAATAAAGAAGGACTAAGAGTTGGGGGAAGAAGTTATTGTATTTCAAAGATGGCAGAAAGATGGATGTTTTATCTGTGGAAGAGAAAGGGCTGACAGAGAGGGGAGGTTGAAAATGAAGGGCCTACCAGACAAGGTATCTAGGAAGATGGGAGAAGAAGAGGATCCAAAGGCAAGAGTGGGCTAGCCTTGGACTGGGAGAAATCACCTCGCCTACCAAGATGGGAGGCAAGGATATGATTGTCTTATTTTGGGGGCACATTAAAAACATTTAAAACTTTGAGCTGTATGCAGAATTTCCTAGTTATGGACCAACTTGGGCAATTTTATTTTTTCCCCAAACTGATTTTATATTCTAGTAATTTCTGCAGGCATTTCTGTTTTCCACCTCACACTGCTGATGTGAACTACTGAATAGCATGTTTTATACACAAGTGCCCTGGGAGGGAAATTTTACGGTAGCACCAGCAATATTAGTACCCAAACATGTGCCTTTCCAGCTAAATCTAACATTGAGTTGGGATCTGGCCCCTGATACCAGCGTTTAGGGACTTTGCTTCTTTGGGCCATTTCTCTCTCAGACGTAATCAAGACACCAGGATACAGTCATACATCGCTTAAAACAGGGGTACATTCTGAGGAATGCATCGTTAGGCGATTTCGTCATTCTGGGAACATCATAGAGTGTAGTCACACAAACCTAGATGGTGTAGCCTACTACACACCTAGGCTATATGGTACTAATCTTATGGGAGCACCGTTGTATATGTGGTCCATTGTTGACCAAAATATCATTATGCAGCGTGGCTGTCTATACCTAAGGCCCTCACAGGTGTCTATGAAACCCTGAACTTCACATTTAGTAACATTGAACCAGGAGAGGATTTTTTATGTAGCAGCTGTCTTAGATAACATTGTCACAAAACCATCAAAATGCAGAAAATGAGGAAGACTGTAAATACGGGCATCCCCTATCTCATGATCTCAGCGTAAGCAGAGGTTTTTAAATTGTGCCTTGACTCATCACCAGTTGCAAAATTTGATACATGTGATGAAAATTTGCTCTTCAGATTGCTTTCTTTCTGTCTTCTAATAAGATTCCATATACGCGAGAGGGGCAAGGCTGAGTTCTGGTGGTTCATCTGTGTGTTCTACAAGATGCAGCTGCGACACTGGCCTTGTCTTCAGCCTTAGAGTCATTCCAGCGAGGCTTCCTTCCTTTCTTTTTTCTCCACTCTTTCCTTCTCTCTTATAAACCTTCTCTCTACCGAGGGATGACAAGAGGGGAAATTGAGAGGAATAAAACAGAAAACTTGTAATGTAGGCCCTATTTTATTAAGGAGTTTTAAGAACCAAGAAATTGAAGCTTATTTTGAGTTACGTTTGTTCCTTGTGACCCTCTTGGCTGCTAGGAGACTGTGATGGGAACTGGCAGATTAGGAGAAGCAAGATGAAGGGCAAAAGCAAATTGACTCTGAGGAGGGACAGGATGCCCTAATCTGAGTGGAATTAGGAATTTGATGCCAGAAAGCAGCTACATTGAATTCTTGCAGGTTGGGGTAGGACAGTGGAGGATAGGGAAAGAGGATATTCAAGCAGACTTTTGAGTTTTAAATAATCTTTTTGGCCTCTTGCTCAAGGGATCCATGAAGTATAGCTTATATTATATATCAGATCCTGCATTTAACTAGTCCCTTCACTTTTTAATAAATTAGAATAGACTTAGTCTTCCCAACTGTTAACAAAACTCATGTATTTTTTTCTGAAAATCATTTAGGCTTATATCCAAACTAGATAGTGCCTGTGTCTTGGTAAACCAATTCTTAGAATTGATCTTAGAATTTTTTTTCTCCCAGAAATAAACAAAGGGGATCCTAACATTTGACTCTTACAAACACTCTTATGTGAAGATATACCAATTAAACAAGAGGTGGAAATGGTGGAACAAAAGTAAAAATAAGTACTACAAGGCCTATGTTATACTGTCTGAGCTTCTTGATCTTCTTGCTATGTTCAGACACCAGCTTTCTCCCCGCACTTTCTGCCATTGCTCACCAACATGAACATTTACTATTGCCAAGCGATTCCACTTAGTGTTCTCTAAATAAGTATCGCATAGCACTCTTTCATTCACGCTATTTTTACTGCTCTCCATGACCCCTTACAGACCAGCCTCTTGCCTGAAATACCATCATCTCTGCCCATTAAAACTGCATCCAAACAAATGACCAGCTCCAATTCCTTCTTCAGTGATTCCTTCTCCAGCTTCACTGGAATTTCCTAGGGCTACCACAACAAATTACCACAACCTTGGTGGCTTAAATTTATTCTCTCACGGTCCTGGAGGTTAGAAGTGGGTCCATGCTAACCTCTATTGGCTCTGGGCAAGAATCCTTTCTTGCCTCTTCCAGCTCCTAGTGGCTGTCAGCAATCCTTGGTGTTCCTTGGGTTGTAGATACATCACTCCAACCTCTGCCTTCACATGGCATTCTCCTCTGTGTCCTTCTCTGTCTCTTAGAAAAACATGATAATTGGATTTATTTAGTATTTTTCTTATCTCAATCCTTACCTTAATTATATCCTTACCTTTATTATTGGAGTCCCTATCTCCAAATAAGGTCACATCGTGAGTGGACATGAAATTTGGGGGGACACTACTCAACCCAGTATATCATCTAAAGTGATCTCTCCCCCCTCTGAACCTTTTTGGTTTTTCAAGTTGACCAACACCCTGCATTTTGTGTTTGACTATATTGTTATGTATCTATAGGATGCTATTGTTGTTGTATCTTGCTTTCTGAGGGAACACTTTGAAGAAGAGAATGTACACAAGGGCAGGGAGAACCACTTTAACAAACTTAATTTTAAAAAATTTACTCATGTTTTCATTAGCGGTATTAGATTTATGAAATATTTCAGTGGATTAAAATTATATTTATTTCTTTTTAATATATACATTTTTTCAAAAAATATTTTTTGCGTAAATGAAATTTAGCTCGTGTTTCGTTGGTGTGTCAACACTTTGACCATTTTATATTAATAAAAATAATAGCTAGCAGTTAGGAATTCCAGCACTCTGTTACACATTCTCTATGTTATTTAATTCGTGTAATCAGTGCAAGGTCAATTATTAGTATCATCCCCATTTTTCAGTTGTGGAAACTGAGGCTCAGGAAGATTAACTGGCAAGTAAGTAGCAGAATTAGAATTTGAACCCAAGTCTATCCAATTCTAAAGGCTCAACTTGTAATTGCTATTCTGTGTAGCCTAATTCAGCCAAAACTAAATAAAAATCTAATGATGTCCCTGAAGGAACTATAAAATTAATTTTAATCGTGAGACCCTATAACTGTGAAATATTAAATGCATTGATTTTGAGACAAAAATCTAATGGTGGGTAAATTGCGTCTCTGTTTCCTGAATGGTCTTTTGTTCATTCTGCCTTTAGCTTTAAGTAATTTAGAGCACTAATAATCTTTTGATATATATCTAGGCTCTTAGCATCATATGTACAGGGAAGCAATGAAATGTTTAAGACGTATCCCTCTCAGGCTGTATCTTTGTAAATAAATTAGTGTTGATTGAGAGGAATTATTGTAAGCAAATGAGATTAAAATACATGATATTTACCTTCCTTATAGAAATGAAGCACATTCCTTCGGGCTTTTCCTTATAGAGGTTATCAGGCTTACAGTGTGTGGTTAACGCTCCTAACAAGTCATCAAAAACAGTTTCTCTCAGCTGTGTTATTCCTCCGTTCCAGCATGCTAATGGTATATAGGGCATGCCTGTGAATAAGATATTATTTATTGAATTACCTGAAATCTGTTATTTTGAAAGTGAGCTATTCCAGTTCTAGGGCAGAGAACGTCCCCTTACCATTTGGACTTCCAGATGTGAGCTACAGCATTCGTCATCTCTGCCTGCCACTGCTTAGTTACCTAATTCACTTTTTTCGATGTACTTCACCTTTGGGGAGCCATCTAGTTTCCAAGAAAACATTCTTTTTATGTTCTGTAATGTTTAAAAATTAAGTTCCAGTTTGTTTATTAAAATGTCACAATCTGCTCACTTTGTTCCAGTGTTCTTGCCCTAATGTGCATATTTTGTTAATCTTATAAATCGTATTACTCCATTTAACATTCCTCCTATTTGTTTTAGAGTGGTAGACATTTCTTAGAATATTGCCAATTACATGAAGAGACTGTTGATGCTTGACATTAGGTACAAAGTTGTTGACACTACATATAGAAGCAAGTAGTCTGCCTGTCATACTAATTAAGTTAAATAATATAAGCTATAAACCAGCTATCATGGTAAAGAAATGAGTGAAGAAAATTGACTGATATTGAAAGAATTACAATTCAGGTAATTATTTCTTCTTGATAAGCAATAGGAAAATTAGTCAAACATTGTTTCTCCTAAGTTTTAGCACTTTTTAATTGCGTGTGTTGTGTTTTCTAGCGTGCAGTGTTTCAGTGACGTCAGTGTTATGATGCTGATGTTTTTCACCATCAGTCATTTTGTAGCAGATAATACAGCCAACAAACAACTCTTTCTCCATCTTCCTCTGATTGTTTCAAGGTGATGACACAATGACGGGTGACGGGGGAGAATACCTTCGGCCTGAGGATCTGAAGGAACTGGGTGACGACTCTCTCCCCAGCAGTCAGTTCCTGGATGGCATGAACTACCTGCGGTACAGCTTAGAGGGAGGACGCTCTGACAGGTATTCACACGAAACTGACGTTTGTTACCAGCCGGAAGTGGGTGCAACGCATTTTTATGATGATGATAAAAAAAGTAGCCATATTTATTAACACTTCATAAGTACCTCACTACTCTCAGCACTTGGCATGTTACCTTACTGCATCTCTAACAACTTTAAGTGCCCATTTTAAAGAACAGGAAACTGAGGCCTAGAGAGATTAAATAACGATAAAAATCAAACAACTAGGAAGAAGCAGAGCCATGATAAATAAAGAGCTCTCTACTTTTAAATATGACGTTTTTAATCATTTGCCACATTGTTCTCTAAGCAAATAAAAAGGACAGTTTTGCCTTATGGGCGGTCTTATAAAGTGGCAATTATAGACACTTCCAATCCCTTTGGGGTTTTTGTTAGTGCCATAATGTATGTGAATAAAAGGATGCTGTGAAGAGGGATTAAAAAGAAAAATTCAGAAGGAAGCTATGTTGGAACTGACTTTTTCATGAAAAAGAATCAAAACTGAATCGCACAAGAGCCTGGACATAAAGGCAATCTGAGAAAAATCTGCAGGAGCCCAGGTTTTATCGACAACTCTGGGGAGGTTTCTATAATATTCTGAAACGAAACATCCATGTTATTTTTTGGTTATTACTAACTAGCAGGACTGGCGTTATTTTTTTGAGGCAAGCTGAATAAGAACATTCCATGGTACCTCATGAAAAGTATGACTGCTAATTTAGGTTAAGCATGTAGTTGTCCATATAGTGTCACGTCTTTCACTAATCAATAATCTCAAATTTAGAGTTTTAGTCTTGGCTCTATTCTGAGCTGTATCCAGCTTATTTGGAGTCTAAGAAATAAACACTTTAAAGAGTAGTCAATTCAGGGCCGGCTCAGTGGCGTAATGGTTAAGTGCACACATCCACTCTGGCAGCCCACTTTTTGCTTGTTCCTCAAGCAAACAGAGGAAGATTGTCAACAGATGTTAGTTCAGGGCCAATAACCCCCCTGCCCCCCCCCCCCCAAAAAGAGTAGTCAATTCTAAATGGGTAATTAGCAAAAACCAGCTTTTCTTGGTATTTTTCATTGAGCACCAGTGCCCCCTCGCCTACCTTGTTTTTCTTTTAAACAATTGAATATGCATGTAATAAGTACCTTTTTAGGCTGGCTTTGTGGTAGATGCTGGAGTTACAAATATGACTAAGACATGATTGCTAAATTTTTAGTCTATCGAGGTGGGAGAGACACAAGGCTGGTGGTACCCACAGAGTACAGCTAGAACCCTGAGGCTCAGGCTCCTGGAGAAGTTGAGCCCAAACTGAGATGGAATGATGAGTAACGATGGTGAGGGAAGACGGGGAGGGCGTTTGAAGCCTTAATAAGATCACGAGCAGAGGTTCATGGTGTGTGTGAGAAAGAGACTAGTGAGTGCTGCTGGAGGGTAACTATGACTGCTGTGGGATCATATTTGCATTTTGGATGGATCCCTCTGACAGTGAGTTAGAGGAAGAACTTGAGAGGAGAGTTGTCAAAGGGCTGATCCTGGCAGTTGCCACCGTCTGAGAAATTATTGCGCTAATATTAGCTGAAGTTGTTAGGAGAAGACTCGAACTACAGCCTTGGTGGTAGCAGTCATGGGACAACTTGAGAAATGAAAAAATCGAGAGCATATCTGCAAGGTAAAACTGGCCAGATTTGGCACTGGATTTCATAGGGTGAGTGAAGGAGAGGAAGAAGATTGGCTGGGCTCCTGGGCTTCAATGACTTAGATGGAGGGTGGTTCTTGGGATCAGGGTACGGAAGGAAGAGCCGCTCAGGTGGGTGAAAGAAGGGGGTGAGTTTTGACACACTGATAGATTTGGACCTCACAGTCTGAGATTCTTAAAAGACTTCAAATTTCACTAAAATGAAATATTTGTGGCTTTGTATGAATTCATAATAATGTATGAATAATCATATTACTGTCAGCCGAAAAGCCTTTATTTTCAGCGTGGTCTCTCTTAAGAATAAGTGCTTGATTTGGTCCTTTTTCCTTCTTTGAAAGTACTTAGGTTGAGAAAGAATTTAGAATAATACTTTCTATAAAGCAGGGTTCTATGGTCTGATGATTGTACTTGAACCGAATACTTATCAGCATGTCAGCACGGGGGGTATGAAACTAAGAAGACATGGTTGGTTCTCCAGGTCCACACTTGCGTTTCTAGAACACTAGATATATTCGTGATCTCCATGATAGAATTATAGGCAGTCTTTCATTTTCATGGTTTTTTTGTTTATTTATTTTGCTTAGACATTTCAATATGTTACCTATTTTCGGTAACCATTTTTCCTTCTCATTATTTCTTTATTTGGTATGCTTTCAATAGTACCATGCCCAGGTAGGTATTATATAGTATGAAACCATGACCTTCCTGGATGCAGCCACATTTCTCTGCTCACTGCTCAATGTGTGTGTGTGTGTGTATGTGTGTGAGTTGGCAGGGAGTGCTCATATTCTAGAATTATGGATTTATTCTCAAATTAGGATTTTTATGTATTAAATTAAATAGCTTTTGAGCTAAAAGGGTGCATATATTACTAAAATGAAAGTCTGTGACATGCCCCAGGCATGACTTTGTCTTAATGGTCACAGTTTCACCTTGTTGTTGATAAAACATTAGCAAGCTTCCCCATGAGGAACCTAATTAGCTGATGTATAGTTGGGAATGATAGAGAAATGATTCTGATGCCTAACATGTACATGGATGCAGAAGGAAAAAAGTAGGGGCAATATAGGATACATTGAATAAAAACACAACCAAGTTCTGATGAGTTGGATTTTGTGTCCATTTTATTTTGTTATTGCTTACAAATTAAAAATGCTATCCAAATTCTATGTAAAACACTAAATAACAGCGAACCACAGATGCTTCTCCATGTATCAAAGTCAATACATTGAAAATTTTGGATATTTACTTGTCCAGTAGGGTTTGAAAACTCCATTAATTGAATGTCTATTAAATATTACAGGTTACTAAGATAGTAATTATTATGCTTTCCAGTGAAATTACAGACTTTGATAGTAACTCCTATGTGTCCATAAAGCAGTTGTACCATAGTGAAAAAAGTATAAATTTAAGACCATAATGAAACTTTTGGCACATCCCTTAGCTGAAATTTGTAAGTAAAAATTTACACTTCTATGGACAGTGTTATTGTAAATTTATTGAATTAAATGACTTCTGAATTAATTTGAAAAATGGCAACTCCATTGTAAAGTACTTAAATGTGTTTGTGATATTTTATATCAGGATGGACATTTCTGATGCAAGGACTTGAATTATTGCACACCTTTATGCCGTTCACTATTCCTTCAGAGAGAATAATTTGCTGCTGGGATATTCTACCTTTATTTCATTTAAGTAGAGTGTATGACATCATAGAAAAAAGAGCAATTAGAAATTATAAGCATTGATGAAATAACCAATTTGCCTTTTAGCAGTCAGTAAACAGTGAGCTAGAATAAAATCATAGAGGACAGAGGTATTTAGACACATGGTTCCAACTTACTCATTCTCCTTGTCTCTCCAACTTTTCCTACTCTCTGTCTCCATATCCTAATATGTTTCTTTCTCTCCCCTAATCTGCTTTTTGTGGTTGTAAGTCACTTTGTCTCTTTCTTTCCTTCTTCTTCCTCTGTATTTCTTTTCTGTTGGTGCTTTAGGAAAGATAAAAAAATAACACCGAAGCCCTTCTGCCCTCTTGGTTCAAAACCAATTAAGAGATAGACCCAGGGAAAAGGGAGATGGAGATCAAAAATCCACCTTTATTACTCAGGCATTGATTGCAAAATGTGGCTTTATATTTGCAGCCAAATGAGCTCCTTCAAGTCTAATTCCTAGAATAGACAGACATCCACTCACCTGTGGTATCTCCCTGAGAGTGGAAATTGAGACTCGGCTGCCTTCTTTCAAAGTTTAGACATTTACAATGGTGGCAACCACATCACTAGGTCTTATTTAAAGAACCATTATTTACCATTCGGTTTGTTCCCATCCAAGCTAAATTTCCATTTCCCTTTGAAACCTGTGTGCCTGCTATCCCAGTGCTACATTTAAAGGTCTACCTGGTGACAGAGTCCCCACTTGCTTTTATGAGCAGGCATTTCTAGTCTTGTATCCCAATGCCTCTTGCTCCTTTTGTACTGTTCATTCTTATAGATCTAGCACCTTTAAATGTGTGATGTTATAATCTGGATCTTTGAATTCTAAAGCCATGGATAGAGATTATGTAATTAACAAATCTCAGCCCAGTAGAACTTGATGGGGCAAGATGGTTGAGCCCATAGATGGACATATCATTTCCAGAGGTTGACCCTTCTACTATTTTCCCTCCCGTGGACCAATTCAAAACAAAATCAAGGAGAATAGAATTTAAGAGCTGGCAATCTAGTGCTGCCTGGTACAAAACACACACAAGTGAATCTTAACTCTCTTTGTGGTTTAAAGCAGGAAAAAAATAGTTCAGTCCCTCAGTTGAGGCAAGCTTTTGCTAAGATTAAAAACCCTTTTCCCCAGTAATTTAATCCATTTCTAATCCTCAAATTCAAGGTCAGGCCGAGGTTAGTCACAGCAGCCCACAGCCTGTTTATGAAGTGTACCATCAAAACCCAGCTGTGCAACTGTAAAATCAGCCATAATACAGGCTGGCTCCAACGGCCAGGATTAACATGCCTGTGGACGGGTTTACTAAGGGATCCAGGATGCTCCTGACTTGGCCCTGTCAGGAGCCTCTATCATCTCCAAAAGCCTGTATAACATGAAATAGCGAATTCCCAAATTATATGTAGATTTCATTTCAACACCCAGATTTATATAGTGTAAACACATAGGATCAGAGAGTCATCTCCGTTGATTCATGTCACTTACCCTCTAATAGTCAGGGTCTAGTTTTTAGGCATAAAACCTACAACAGAATAGGAGGGAGAAAGCGCTAAATTACTATGAATTATCTACCAAGTGATGTTTCCTCAAAGATCATTGAAGTTGGCTATATTGACACCTCATAAAGATGACAGTATATGGTTTACAAAATTAGGTATATTTGAAAGATGAAAATAGTTCCTGCTAATAAATACACTAACTTGACATTTAGTCCATAATTCTACAATGCTTCACTAGCCAAATACTGACTAGCTAAAGTAAATCAAACTTTGCCTCTATAAATGTTGCGAAAGCTTGCAGAGTTCTTTATTTTCCCCTATGGGCTTTGGGCTAATATTTTGAATACAGATCTTTAATTCTTGGACTAACGTGTACAAAATATAGTTTATTTAAGATATCAACCTATTTGTCATTTGATTGTACAAATTGATTAGGAAGGAATGAAATTTCATCTTTGTAAATGTCACATTTACCCATCTGAGTATATAATTTAGAACTTTGAAATCAGATTTATCAAAAATGTAAAACATTGATTGTCAAGGCCTAAATCCCATTTTTAAGCCAAACCTTGTTTTTGGTTAGTGTGCACTGGCAGTTTATTTTTGTGCTGGCAGATGTGTCTGTGTTCTTGGTTGGTGCTTAGAAACAGCTTCTTGTGCTCTTGCATCTCATTGCCAGCACCTTTTGGTGCTTCACTCACCACGTACAGGACATGCAAAGGGAACAGTGCTGTCCTTTGAAATAGCATTGTTGGAGACACCAGAGACAAACAAGAGGAACTCCACTTCCGCAGGAAGCATGCATCTGGCCACAGTTCATTTCACTCTGTAGCTTCCAGGGGAAGGCACCAACATCCAGTCATTCACACTTGGGGAGGAGGAGAAAGAAGCATGGAGAGAATGGAAAATGAGTGAAAGTGAAACCTGTGCTTTCATTTTGTTCTCTCTGAAGACTATTTTCCCCCTAATATTTTTCTTAGTTTCAGGGGGATTAACGTTTAACTCAGATTTAAGCAATCTATCCTGGAATTATTTCCAGTGTGAATTTCTTATACTGGCAGTAAGTAAACCACAGTTGCTGGTTTCAGACATTTCTGGGAAGAAAATGAATCAGATTAGGAGTATCAAATTTTAACTTCTGGATTCCCTTGTGTCCTTGCCATTGAGTGGTAGGAACCAGTCAAAAGGTGTGTTAGTTTAGTTGTTGGACAGAGAGGTAGGACGACACAGAGACCTGTGTTTTCTTCTCCCACGGTTGTGATTTATGTTCCCCTGGAAGTTGCACTGTTAGCTAATAGCACGCTTTTTTCACTCTCCTGCTCTGCTCTTCATTTCATCCGCCCAACCCTACCTGCTGTTGGTATATGACCATGGCCTCCTGCCAACCTACCAGCCTTCGATCCTTCAGTTCCGACAGGTCTCACACCCTGAGCCATGCCTCCTACCTGAGGGACAGTGCTATGATTGACGACACGGTTGTGATCCCCAGTCACCAGGTATGTGACTTTTTACCTTCGCGTTTCTGCTTTCTGGAGAGATTTTTAATCTTACCTGATGCTGGAAATGTCCAGAGAAAGATTTTTACACTAAAAAAAAAAGATTATCATAATTCTGTTGACAAACTATGATAAGAGATTTGAGGGTTTTCGTACAACTTGAAAACTGTTCAGTAGATTTTAAAATGAGCAAAGTTTTTCTAAAGTAACACACTGCTTCTTTCTTCAGTTATTCTGAATTCTTCTGTGGATGTTATATATAAAAATCTGTTTCTTTATAACGTCCCTAATAAAGAAAAAAGCGAAGTAGGATGCCTTCAAGGTGTAAGATGAGTGGTACAAGTTAAAAAACATCTTAATGTTTACAATTGTTATTGATGTAAAATTTATTATGAAATATTTTAATTTTAGGACTGATTTTATCTGTTTTGGCTGATTGGATATAGGGAAATAGATGAACCCCTGCTCTCCTCAAAGGCAATGACACAAACGTGATCTTATATCAATAACATAATTGAAATAGGGATGTATTATAAGAGATTCCTTTTTAATGCATTGGTCTTATATTTTTAAATGAAAGTTTTTCCAGGTAATAACACCTTCCTGTGGTACCACTTTTTGCAGTTCATTATATTTTGCTTCAATGGAAGGAAAGTCTTGTTATTAAATTCAGTGTTCTTTGTGTTTAGGTGTCAGCGCTAGCCAAGGAGGCAGAAAGGAATTCTTATCGTCTCAGCTGGGGCACTGAGAACTTAGACAACGTGGCTCTTTCTTCCAGCCCTATTCATTCAGGGTGAGTAAATCAATATTATGTATCCAGATCAAGAGGTAAAAAGAGATGAGAGTGAAAATAACAGCCTTGTCCAGTAGCTTTAGCTGATGGCTCGCTTACAGGGGAAGTGACCTTTGTTTAAACTTGTAAATAACATTGCTTTATCCAACGTGGACTCTATCTCCAAAAACAAACCAGCAAAAAGGGTTGAATTGAGCATAGAAAAACTGATGATTGTTTTAAAATTCCTAGTAGAATTCCGTCGAACAGCTTGCTAACTAACCAGAATATATCCATGACCTCCTTACTGTTCACATTTTGTCTTTAAGACATCTTAAAAAGAGGTGCAGGATCATTTGCTTTCTAGAAAGTTCTATTTACTAAGATTAACTGACTAGTTTAATAAATGCCTTTCCTCACATGGTAATGCAATTAAAATAATGTTTTCAGGAGTTTGAGTCACACAGTTAGGGAGAAGAGTTCATATGCCATTTGAAGTAGGGATATGCTGCAAAGGCAAATTTGAATGCAACAAGTCAGGTTCTCAATCATCTTTAAAAGCCATCCAGGTAATATATATGCCACTGCTACGTAGGGCATGCTGCCTGTTTGTCTTAACTCAGTAAAAAGTGGAACTTTGAGTAAATAATTTTAAACATACTTAAAGATGTTCTTAAGGTATAAGAATTTAATTATGTGGAATATAAATTCCTTAAAGAGTTTCAAATTGTAACACTCTTGAAAATTGGCTTTTCCCTTACATTTTAGTTTCAAGTTATATAGTAATTTCATAATTATGTGTAAACCTTAAAATACTTTTTCATTTAATCACTTTTAAAGCCCTACCCATATTTTATCTAACTAAATGTGATACTTTGGTTTAAATTATTATCCCAAACTCTTTATCCATAATCCTCAGAACTATTTTGAGGAGTGGATCCTTTCTTGTTTTTATTATTCTAAAATATTCTCCTTTCAGGAAAGCATTCTAAGATAGTATAGTTAAAAATTTTGGACCTCAGGGCCGGCCCCGTGGCGGAGTGTTTAAGTTTGCGTGCTCCACTTTGGTGGCCCGGGGTTTCATCGGTTCGGATCCTGGGCACGGACATGGCACCACTCATCAGGCCACGTTGAGGTGGCGTCCCACATGCCACAACTAGAAGGACCCACAATTAAAATATACAACTATGTACTGGGGAGATTGGGGGAGAAAAAGCAGAAAAGCAGAAAGAAAAGAAAAAGATTGGCAACAGTTGTTAGCTCAGGTGCCAATCTTTAAAAAAAAAAAATTTCTTTGGACCTCTTAGTCTAATCTTTCACTAAAGTCTCATAGGATATAAAATGTTATATAGATATTGAAAATAATCATAATGCTCTTTTCCTTGTTATATAAGTGAAAGTTAATTCTTGATACAAGAGTTATTGAAGGGAATAGAAACCAAATTAAACCTCATCCAACTTTACTTTGATATTTTTAAGTATAAAATGAGATAAATAAAATCTGACAACTATCAATTATTCAAAAAACATACCATTTCAATCTGCTACTAAATTTCTCAATGATGAGAAGAAGGAAAAGAGGCTTGGACTAGAGTGTTGAAGGATGATAGATCAGAATCTGGAAACCATAATAAAGTCTATGAAGTCTGTATCCAGCCTACAAAGTGACAAGATTATTTTAAGCAAAATGTGATCAACTATTAATAGCTGAATTTATAAAAGAGTCAAAGTGTTGTGGTAATACTTCAGTTTTCAAAATAATTTGTTTTAAAGAAGGAATTTCTTAAAAAAGTCTTTTAACTACTGAAGGTCAGTAAAATGCAGTCACTAAGTACATCCATATACATACCAATTGTATAAAACTAGATACATATATAAGTACTTATAGTTATTTGCTTATGATGAACCATGACGAACCAAGAGCATCCAGTGGCTAAAGATTAATTGCTTATTAAGATAAGGATCTTTAAAATCTTGGTCTCTAATAAGCCAATTTTTCTGTGAACTTCAAACATGATCACTGACTCTAAATAATTCTCAACTCTGGCTGTATAGTAGAATCTCCTGGGAGCTTTAAAAAATACTGATGCCCAGGTCTCAACTCACATCAATTACATCAGAGTCTCTGTTGTTGGGGCCTTGGCGTTGGTATTTTCCGCAAGTGTCAATAATCCAAATATATGAATTTGATATACACTGTTAGAAAGAAAGATCTTTGCCTAATAAAACTTTGATTATTAGAGAGACCTGGGTAATTAACGTATACCTAGTTCTCTCAAACATTTTTTCTCTCTTCCATTCACTTGGGTATTCATTTTTCACATATTGTTGAATTCTACAAAGTACCAATCCTTGTGCCAGGCACTAAGGAAAATAGATAAGTAAGACCTACCCTTACCTTTAAGAAATGCATCTATATGTTGTTATTTGAAGTTGAAAGACAATCTTTAGAAGAAAGATAACATGATGGTTAAGAGCTTGCTTTGGAGTCTGACCAATCAGAATTCCAGTTCTGGCCCTGACACACAATATAGGACACTGGGCAAGTTATGTAAAATCTCTGAGTTTCAGTTTACTTATCTGTAGGACGAATGTTATATTATGGATCCCATATGAGAGCTTGCGGGATAAAATGCTTATATAAGTAGCATTTTGCTTAGAAAGAATAAGTACTCAATAAATCATAGCCATTACGTTTATAATTTATTTATAATTTATACAATCCTCATACATCTTCCAGATCTTTCATAAATTCCAAATCAGTTCAGCAAAATGTATTCTGAATCCTCAAATACCAGTACCAATGTGGTACAATTCATAATGGCAGTGTTTGATTTATTGTTATCTTTATCAGATAGTCTATCATCTAGTAATGTCTCTACTATAGTATTGAACAAACAGTGCAACAGATGACTCTAATAAGATGGGTAATTACCATTGAAAACTCAATGGTTCTGAGTGTATTTGAAAGCCACCGTGATATTAATGTATATGAATAACGTTCATAATATCCTATCATGTAACAATGATTTCTTGTAGTTTTATTCGTTATACGGTAGGTTCCTGAGTAGTAGTTTTTATATATTTTTCAAGGAACTAAGTTTCTCTTTAATTAACTGGGTGAATTCGTAAGCCACTTCAAAATCTGCCCAAAATGTAAGAAAAAAGTGGTTTTTGATAGAAGAGATAGTAAAGTTAGCTTTTTTATGCACATGTCGCAATTTTGTGTATAATGTTCATTAGATTCTATAAAGGGACCTTAGATTAATAGAAGACATAGCTTCTACCAAGAAGTAGTATTAGTGTTTGCTTTCACCTCTCCTCTAAGTTTCCAATGACTAATGTCCATGACTACAGGAGAATAGGTATTGGTGATTAAAAAACCTGTTCTGCCCAGTAGACACAGCCAATGTCTGGCAAAAGAAAGGCTGATAGTAGTATTTTCGTTGTTGTTCTTTAAGAGGTTGCATTATTGATTCACAGTCTAACCAACAGTTATTTCTAGCATCCCAATTATAAATATACCAACATAGCTTGGGTAAGAATTTGAATTTTACGGTTCTTCTCCAATTCATAAGTGCATAATGAATTAGCAGATGTAAGGTACAGTTCCCAGTAATAGCTAGTTTTGTGATTCATTTTAAATATTATTATTCCAAAGGTCTTTATTTTTATGTTTTTTTAATGATAGCCAAATACCAAAAATTAAATGAAAATTCATGATGTTATGCTACAAGATATTATAGTAACTAGAAGTCCATAAGAAAGTGATGTTTTAGAGGACATATTTTTCATAAAAACATGTTGAAGGCAGTTTTGCTGTGAAGCTAAAGCTACTCTAAAACATCAAGTCTATTTTTAAAAAACATGCGAAGATATTAGCTCAAATAGTGGAAGTTGATATTTGAAATGCAAGGAAGTCAAAGCATTTTCTCATTTGACAACATTAATATTTGTCTAAATACCTATAGCAGTTAATTTAGTTCTTCAAGTATTTCAAACACCCTAGGTCTTTTTAAGGTACATGAAGGTAAATTTTTTGGATGAAGAAAGTTATTTTATAAGTGGCAAAACAAGTTTAGTAAGGTCGGATTTCTGGTCCATTAAACGTGTCCTTTCGTATATCATCAGGTGTTGAAAACACAAGAGAACTGTATGAAAACTTATGGAGGGTTTTGAGGAAGAGCAGACTCAGGTGGAAGAGGAATGAAAGGCAAGCCTATAAAGGGGATTAGTCAGTGTGACCAGTGAGGAAGACAGCAATTCCCAAAGCAGAGAGCGAACATCTTGAAGAAAGCACTCAGACTGTTCGCATAGTGTTTTGTTACCTACTAGTAGGTAATTAATGTTACCTACTTTGCCTCATAGTTTACGCTACTGTTTGTCATTGAAGCTATTCTTTAAATTGTGCCTTTTCTGTGTGCATTTCTTCTGTAGTAGCCCAAAAGGGCATTGCCATTATTGTGAACATATTAAAAGCATGAATGAAAAGCTTTGGAGACAGACTATGTCCATCAAATCAAAGACTTTGTAACTTTCATTAGAATGCCCCTTGAGCTTTGGTAACTTCTTGGGCACTTAGACTTTAAGTGTCCCCACAAGCCAGTATTGAATTGGGCTACAAATCCATATCCATTGATTTTATAACATCCCCAGTTCCCTAAACTGGGAGTCACCACAGAGCCCTCCTCCCTTGCTCTTCTCTCAGCATTTGCATAGAGCTATATCTCATTTATATTTCCATCTTTTTTTCAATGAATACTGTATTGGTATATAAGCAATATATTTCTGTTGAAAGTCACCTCTGATTTCCTTCTTTATATTTCACTTTATCCATTCTTTCTCTGTGCTAAAGTATCTATTCTGTTGCAGCCGCACCTCTCCATGTCTTGATCGTGACAACAGCAGGTGAACTTCTGCATAATTCCTTCTCTGAACATGTTGCCTATTCCTCTCCCCTTTTACCATCTCCTTCTGCATAAACCTGCCTCAGGATGCTTTAGTGTGAAGATACCTAGCCAGAGAGAGAGAGCGCTTTATATTCTCCAGATTGTGGCCATTGCTGAATTCCCCTTTCTCTATGGTGAAGAGAAATTTTGTGCCAAAATTAATGTAGACTTACTCTGTGAGCACCTATCTTGGTCATGGGTCTCCACTTAGCTTCTTTTGTGAGAAAAAGTGCTACATGGAGCTGAAAAATTTTATTCCCAGCAATTGTGCAAATCGGTTGAGCTACTTTAAAGTTGTTTTAAAGGTTATGATTTTAAATGTCACTTAGCAGAGGCTTTTTAAACTATATTCTAGGTGAACCAAAGGCTGAAAGTTTATTAATAGTGCATTTCCTTGCTACTGCTGCTTTTAATGCAAACTTTTCATATTTTGGAAATTGTCTAGATATTTTGGAAATTGTTTTGATATCTTTTTCATATTTTGGAAATTGTTTAATATTTTGGAACATTGACTAGAATCATTCAACTGGGTGTCGAATGATTCTGGTCAATGTTCTAAAACATCCATTTTTCTATGTTACTTTGATAAAGTTATTTTTAAAGCTTCTTATTAGACTGCTGATGATAGTAATTTTATTACACAGTCCTCTCTCATGACACTACCAATTGTCTACAAATAAGACAATTTTATATTTCCAATTTTGAAAATTTTCTATCCATCCTTTTATTTTTTCTGAAACACACACTAAATATTATGTTTCTACACATGAACATAGTGAGTGGTAAATAATTATTTGGTGATTTTAATAAACTTGAGCCACTTTTTTCAAAGCCATTTTCTATCTGTTTTTCAGTTTATGGAATTTGAAGGGTTAGGAAGGAATTAAAGGAATTATAGAGGAAAAAGAGTTCATGATGTGGTTTTCTCACAGTACCCCAGGAATCAGATTTCATGGAAAGCCCTCTTGCTATGTATGTGTGGATCACTGAAGCACCCTGATGACTTTATTTTTTCCTGTTTTCACCCAAGAACTAACTCTGAATGCTGCAATCTCCTTCCCATCCCACCCCATGGTCCTGGATGAATTAAGAGTAAACCTAAGGATGAGTAACTTTTGGGGTGGAGGATGTAGTCCTCAAAAAACCAGAACCATTGTTTTCTGCCCCTCCTCTGAAGCATGTACCTGTTTAGCTAATCAAACTGTGAATCTGTAGGCAAGTCATCTGCATAATAATGGTGGATCGCTTTTGCTTTTATCCTTTTTAAATTGTGATAACATTGTATCTCACAATTTAGAAAACTTCAACAAGAATTTCTACTTTGCATGATTGCTGAGTTTCATTTGGAGAGTAAGATATGCAATTAAAGCCGAGTATGTTATGTAGTATTTTTTGTCTGCACAGTCTGAAGTCAATGTTTAGTGCAGTGTGTGTATACATTTTCTGCAAAACTACTCGTTGACTGTTTTAACCATAACAAATCATAACCATAGCAAAAATAATATACGTTTCTTGGAGTGGTAGCAGTTTATTTTCCAAATAGGCATTCTTCTAGAGCATCTGAAATGGAACATTTCAGTAGGCTTCCTAACCTAGTTAACAAGTAAATGGTACTGAGAATTTTAACACCAGCAGACCATCTTGGAGTTTATTTCGTCACAGTCTCTCATTTTATGGAGGAGAAAACTGAAACCTAATGATGTTAAGCGACTTGCCCAAGGTTAGAGCAATAACTCAAGACAGAGATAGATCCAGGAAGGAGCATGGTACTTACTGCATTGTCTTGTGCTCTGTGATAGTAGTATTGTTATATCTTATTTAAATAGTTAGGTTCATAAACTAATAAAGACTCCATGTATATTAAATTGCTTTAGCAAAGTTCCAAGTTCACTGTAGGTATTGAATAAATGTTAGCTTCTCCATTTATTTTTTAGGCATTGCATGATATTGTACTATTATGTTTAAGACATTCAGAGTATAAAAAATCATATGGGTACAGGGAAAGAGAACGAGCATTTATTGAATTCTATAGGCTTTACCCACCTGTGATTTAATCCTCACTGTACCCGTAAGTGGTGACGTGATTATCCCTCATTGACAGATGATGCTTCAGTCTTCCAACTCATGAACAACAGAGCTGAGCTTCAATCCATATCCCATCTCCTCTGTACCTATTTAATTACATGTTTTTACTTCAATTCCTTTCATCTCCAAATGTTTGCAGGCATTATCTTGTCCCATTTTTAATCCCCTGAAATGGTGAGAAAGTCATATTTATTTAATCAACTCTAGTATGTGAACTGATTCATCTCATGACTCATGCCTTCCAACCTTTCACTTTTTCCTATGGTACAAAAAAGTACATGGTCTCTTACCATCTGCTTTTTGCTGTTTGAAATTGTTTGATACATTGCAGAATAACTGTACACTAATCTACTACCAATCCAAATAATGACAGCTTTCGATAGTCTGATATTTTTAATGAAAATGTGTACCCAATTTTGTATTACGAACTATTGGGATTAACTGATTAGCATGTTAACTGATTAGCATATTAGTTAACTTTTATCTAAAAGAATTTTCATCAGTACCTAGATATAAACTTGAATCATTATTTCTCTTATTCCCTCTTATTTGAAGACAAGACTTCTTTTAGCATACAATTTTACGTATTTGGCTTTTTTATTAGGTGTTTATTCTACAATTACATTATTTGAGTCTAATTTGTTTAGAGTATTTTCTTGCTAAATTTACAGACATTTTTATTCATTATGACTATTATTTAATTCTTCCATGTCTTCCAATCCTCTTGTTTCTTTCTTGACATCTTTTTGTTTCGCTTTATTCTCAATCTCTTTCTCTCTCTCTTGCTGAAGAAAATCCCCTCGCTAGAGCATCACTGTTTGTAGTCTGTGCTGATTTCTTTGGTTATTTGATAAAGAAGCAAAGGCTTATTTTCTTTGGAGATTTAATTTTTCTTTTCTCTGAATTATGCATATTTGCACCTTAATTTTTCCAGTTTGCTTTGTGTTCTGATGCAGTACTTAGGGATTACTTTCCAGATCTATAATGACACAAAGACACTTAGAGTTAAATTTATTTACTTGCAGCTTCAGTCTTTAAGTTCTTTTATTTTGATTTCCCAATCTTTGGTCTGTCTTCATGTAATTTCACTCATAAGAAAATGGTTTACTTTGGTCTATTCAAATGATTTTTGCTTACTTTCATTTCTTACTAGTCCTCTATCAAGAGAAATAAATTTATTGGTTCTCTCATTTTGGAGCAGGAAAAGGCCTGTAGAAGAATATTTCATATTAAGGATACTCCTTCCCAACTATTTTGCTGTTTTATGAGCTGAAACATGTGAGTGTAGTAATTTGAATGAGTTCTAACTGGATCGGTTGTGCAGAGACCAAATGAAATTGCCTTCTACTTTAGCCTTCTTCTCTCTTTGTTAGACAGAAATATATACAACTTCTTACAACTTGCCCTTTTCAGTCTTCCATTCATTCACTTATTCAACAATTATTTATCAACTACCTATTATGTGCTCCATCCACATTGTGCTGGGCCTTGGGGGAACACAGGAAGAAATATGGAGAACAAGGCCGCTGCCGTTATGGCATGTATATGACTCTTGTATTTGGTTATAATTCATTTTTCATTGACCAGGAAAGTAAGTGATTCTGAGTAAGCGATACCATCGTGTGACATCTGGGGCTTAGACTATGACCATCTTGGCAGCAGCAATTATGTCTTTTCTGTGTTCTCAGTTCCTAGCAGGGCACCTGACACTTTAGGGTAACAAACATTGCACGGGGAGCATGGAAATGGAAATTATGGAGTAAATGAGAACAAAAGAGAATTTCAAAAGGAACAGTCAATGATACAAACTCAGAGAAAGTAATTAAACATATAGTTACTCAAACATTGTTACAGCCAAGAACATAGCGACTTCAATTAATGCACCTCTAGAGGATGCCCTATATGCTCTTCTAGGTGGAGGCATTGTATAAGCTATAAGCCGTCCCCGGAATGGATATAGTGGAAATATAATAGCACGTAGCATGAGTATGGAAACTCCCTAAATGCCTTCAAAAGATACAAATAGTATTGAAGATTGATAATATTAAGCAGATGTATTGTAATAATTCCTTACTAGTCTGAGTCCCTGTTCTGCTCACCAATGGTGATAGTAACCAAAAGATAAAAAAAAAATTAGAGAAAGTCAGAAATATTGCAATGAGTTTGGAACAGCACTGGTTAAAACTTAAGTAGCTTTTTTCTAGTGTTTATAAAAATACTAGTCAAAAATAATACAATGGCATGGAAACTTTTATATTCATGGAGAAGTTTTACCAGTTCTTCCAATCTTTTGAGCAATGTTACATTTTAAAAAACAAATAGGAAAGAATTTTTTTTAATAATTCATACTTAAAGACTAGTTAGTAGTAGGAAAGCAGCCAACATTTTCTCATTGTGTTTTGATAAAGACCAGAAACATCCACACCTCAGTACTGGACTGTTGGTTACATAGGGCGGGGCATGAATGGCCCGTCTAGGCTGGCTCCTGCATGTGGGAAGGACTCTGATGCCTCTTCTTGTGGTCTCGTCCTGCATGGTGTGCTTCAGACAGGGACTCTGGGCTCCTTCGCATCCGTTTTTGATACTAGCAACAGGATTTCTGTTTAATCGCATGCTTAATAATGCGCTCTGTGTTCTGCTGTGAAGAGGATGCTAAGATATTTTTTCTTCACTTGTCTAAAAATAACATAAATGTATTGTGTTTCTATCCCATAACTTACTTTGATGAAATTGCTTTAAATGTTTTAAATGTTGTCATGGATGCAGTATCTAGGTGTGGTGAATCTGGTATAGTTCTGCGCTGGTGAAGCTATAAGTAGATCCATAATACACCTATATGGTGCTTTCCTCTTTCTGTTTTGGTCTAAAAATCTTACAAATACAATGAAAACTGGGAAAGACAGTAATGTAGTTTGTGTAAGGGCGTACACACTGTTTGTTTGTGTCCTTGTGTATATGTGCACAACAGTCAGATTGCCTGGTTTAATTTTTGCTCCTTGACAAAGTGAGTGCCTCCAACACATTAATGAGTGTTATGACTAACAAAGTGACAGGAACTGACACAAAGCTGCATCAGGATCTGTTAAGATTGTCCCAAAGGAAACAACTTCAAAGTAAATCAAACCTTTCCTCTTGGTACATTTGAAATAAACAGGCTGAGTCACCTTGGATCCATGAACAGTTAGCTTGGGAAAAATAATAGAGATCCCTTTACATTTCTAAATTATTAGCTATGATTTCCCACTGTTATAGTTCAATTTACTATAATTTGGGGAAAATCTTGATGCACAGATATCCTCCATCAACATGAGCCCAGGGTTTCCCACTTCAAAACACAGTAGAAGGTGTTTATAATCTTGTTTCCTGTCCACCCCATCTTTGTTTCAGTTAGCATGGCACGACAGGGAGATTCCTACTTAAGAAGTGAAAAAGTGCTTTTCAGCCAGTAAATTGGTTCTATCTAAAACATTTAATTATTTTGCTTTTCCTCTTCTTTGAAATGTAATCAGTTACAAACCTGCATCCTGGGTAAGATGTTGGAGCAGGATGCATGTACACAGGTTAGATCTTGGGAGAAGGCCTGGGAATCTTTTTTTTTCCTAAGTCATAGAATTGTATTAAAATGAGCTAGACAAGATGGAATTTAGAAAAGTCGAGTTAACTTAGATAAACTGCAGCTTGGTCGTTCCTCTCTGCTCTATCCTTATGTTGTTTCAATATGGGGATTTTTCAGGACACACTTAGAAGGAAGCAGGAGCCTTTGCATTTGTAACAAAAGAAGACTCCTCAATGTTCTTAATTTAATTTCATTCCACTTTCTTTCTAAGTCAATTGGGCATATTATTAATTTACAGTTTATGTTTAATATCACTATTGTTAACAAGAATTAGCAGACTTCTTTAGTTCTAGTTCAAAATAATACAAAAATTGAAACAATAATGAAACAGAAATAAAGGCATTGTTATAAAGTAAAATAACTTTTAAGGACAAAGTTTTTGCTACTATGCATATAAATAGAAAAGAGGTGTTTGGGGAACATAGCATTATGGAAAAAAATTAACTTGACAAAGCTTATCTCTCTGCCTCTGATATTTCACAACACATCTAATCTTCTATTTTAATTTTTAGTTTCCTGGTTAGTTTTATGGTGGATGCCCGAGGTGGTGCTATGCGAGGATGCAGACACAATGGGCTCCGTATCATTATTCCCCCTCGGAAATGTACTGCCCCGACACGAGTCACCTGCCGACTGGTCAAACGCCATAGGCTGGCAACAATGCCTCCAATGGTGGAAGGAGAAGGCCTGGCCAGTCGCCTGATCGAAGTTGGACCTTCTGGTGCTCAGTTCCTTGGGTAAGGGTTTCTGATAAACCTCCCACTTAGTCACCGGTGAGCTTGTGTCCTCTACATGAAATCACTAGGATGGAGTGGAAAAAGGTACGTCAAAACGTTTTGAAAGAAGATTGGCCCCTATGAAATTGTGTAAAACTTGGAAGTAGCACCTCAATGCTTGACTACACTTACATGCCTCTCTTTGAAGGCATTAATGAGTTAAACATTCAGGTTAATTATTATTCTTTCTCTTTGGATGTGATAATAGCTGCTAGACTCCCAATGTGAATAATCATGTTTTAGCTCATGGTAGGTATTTTTTATTTCATCTGAGACTTAAGTGGTAAAGTCATAAAGAAAAAATACTACTCTATTCTAAACATAAATTTAAAGCCTCATGTCATTATGAAACAGAGTCACTATCTTCACTTTGGAAAGCAGTGTTGCCTTTATAGAAGATCCAAAAATTTAGTCTATGTGATTGTCTTTTCTGTTATCAAAATTGCTACCTTGAGTCTTAAAATTACACCGGGAGTCTATTTAGTCGTAATTTTCATGAAGACAACAAAATCCAGACTAACTTCCGCCATGCTCTTTTTAGCAATTTTGAGCAGAAATTAGCATTTCTTCTTTCTTCTGTTGTTTGTATGGCTGCTATTATGTTAAGTGGTATCTCAATATCCCAAGAAATGAATGGCTACCGCTGAAAAGTGACGAAAGGATGAAGTTTTGGACGGGGACGAGTTTCAAAATACTTTGAAACAAATCAATTGTATTTAAGTCTTGTCATATCGAGTCTTTGTGCTTAAAAACTGGGAGAAAATCCTAGGAATCATGAACTCTTTTGCTTTTCCAATGTCATACTGGGGAGAGGATTTCTTGCTTTAGAATTCAGAAAATGTTCTAAAGCTATGTAATTTGGAGCAAACTCTTAACTGGTTGCTCCAAATTATGTTCACACCTGAAAAGGGGTGTGTCTGTATTTCCCAACTAAGGAAACCCCCTCCCGTGTCCTCTTATCAGACAGACCAGGGATCTAGAAGGAGCCTGCGAAGTTCTGGGTTGCATCAGAAAATGCCGTTATGGTTGGAGCACTTCCCCTACAAGTCCTTCTGTGCTCTGGACCAGGCCCTTTTCCCTCCCTCGTGCTCAGGCTTTTAGGCTTTTTAGTAATCTTCAGATCTGTCAAGGAATATCCATGAAAACATCTGGCCTCTCTACCGAGTCAGAGTTTTTATTGTATTCCCAACAGCTTGGTCTTTCTTGTGGAGCATATTACTTTTCTTTCTTGGCTCATGCCCTGGCAGTGAACCTAAATGGGGACAGATCCAGCCCCCAAGTGCTCTCCTTCCACACACCTCCATTGTACACTCTGGGTCTCGGTTCCTTGCTCTTTGTGACCAATGGAGGGGCAGAACCAAACGCAGTGTGAAACCACACTTCACCCTGTTGCTCAGCTGGAGACGCTGGGGTTCTGTGGGAAACAACGCCTGAAGCTGACCTATGTTCTTTCTTTTACTGCTGCTTGGATGTGCTCAGTAAACTTCACCTGCCCACGGCTCCTCCCCCACTTAATGAGGGAGAAAGTTTGGTCAGCCGCATCCTTCAGCTGGGGCCTCCTGGAACCAAATTCCTTGGGTAGGAGTGACTTAAAACAAATTGATGGCTGCTGGCCCCCATTCTTCTCCTTCTTCTGCAATATGATTTCTCTTTTTGTCATTGTGCCCATGACATGTCCCTCTCTATGATTTAAATTCTGTATAAGCTATCTTTAGTAGACCATTTCTGACCCTTGTGGTATGTGACTTTTATTTTTGAGTGATGTTTTTGTATCTTTTCCCTTAAAGTGCTGTGACCTTCATTTTCGTTTAAAGCATGAGATCTGCCTAGTTGTACTATGTGCTAGTTATGATGTTGTTATGATAAATTCGGAGTCTGTATCAAAGCAACCTGGACTGAAAAATCAAAAGCCTCTGTACATTCTGAGAGTGAATGCAACCTGACAATAGTGGGGTGGCGCATGTTCTGGATCCTGAATATAATAGGCATTGCACACAATTGGGCTGTCTGCTGAGGTGCTCGATTCAAGCCACATGTGTGCACATGCCTATTGTTACCCCGAATGAAGAAAATATAAACAAAAACCATGAGTGCATGACTCTTTAGTTCCCAAGTCTTCAACTTTTCTGACATCTCCTCATTTACAACACATCAAACTGTGCAACACGTGAGCCATTTTCCCTCTTAAACCATTTTGTCATTTTGCACCTTGTAGAAAACATTTCAGGAGGTTGGCACACATCCCAGATATGCATGTACATTTCTTTTGGTTAAATGTGTTCTACTTACATTTATCAAAGGAGAAGTTCCAGAATGCCACATGCACTCACAGGGAAACATCATTTGGCTTAAGGTAGCAGCATGACCCTGAGGATTGGTGCCCCTGAGGTGGAGTGCTACTGTGCAACCATCTGCTAGCCGACAGCTCCAGAGGACAGCCCACTCTGTCTCTGTCCCCAGAAAGAGAAGAATTCCAGGTCACTTTGCGACAGACAGAGTCAAGGTGCTTGTCTTGCTGTTGGTTAGCTCCTGTCCACACTAAACCTTCTGCCTTACCATGACAGGCCTGTGATCGTGGAGATCCCTCATTTTGCTGCCCTTCGAGGAAAGGAGAGGGAACTGGTGGTCCTGCGCAGTGAGAACGGGGACAGCTGGAAAGAGCATTACTGTGAATACACTGAAGACGAATTGAATGAAATCCTTAATGGCATGGATGAAGGTACTTCATACTGAGGGTTTTCAAAGAACTCTAAAGTGGAGGCATGAAAACAGTGCACTTCATTATGACCTAGGGGAATCTGGCATGTTCCAGTGATGCTGAGATGGAAGGCACAATTTATTTACCTAGTCTTACTTCTCTTGCATGCAGGAAAAAAAAATCCTTTAAATAGCAAATATCTCATTTTAGTAGCGAGACACACTATGTCTCCATCTTTAGTGTAGACTTTTTCAAAACTAAGACACAAGATAGAATAGATATTATTGTTTTGTAACAAAATAAGCTGATACTGGATAATAAATCTGTGACTTTAAAAAATGCCTCACTTGAAAATTTAGATATTTAAGACACTGGTAAAAAGTGCTCAGCTTTTCTATTGAAAAACTTACATATCCCATAACTAGTGCATCATGGGATAATATAATTTCTTTTTAACTTTCGATTATTAAGGATTCAAACGTCCACATACAATTCACACAGGAAGTTAGCCAGGGTCGAATTTCATAGACACACGTACACATATAGTTAAGGAACTTATTTTTTCATTATGTCTTTAGACTCTGTAAATCCCAAATCCAGCTTGGGCCATTTTACCACAGGTTGAAATATCTGTTTGACTAGAAGGAAGTGGCTCATTCTTGGGCTCGTTAGGTTGCACAGAGACAAGGTCCAGTCCTAATACCAGGAGACCTGTTCTACTTTAAGTAACTACACAAATAGGGCAAGGTCTTTGCCTAAATGCCAAGAGCATGCCAAATGTTGTATAGCGCTGGACACACAGCTGCACAGCTGTTGTCATGTCTCTCTGTCTTCTGGGATTGCTGCAGTAGCTTCAGGTGTGGCTCGTGGATAGTAGACCAACAGCTGATGCTTTCATATTTCTTTCTGCATCCTGCTGAAATTGAATAAGATTAGAGACCAGGCTTCCACTATCCACAGGGTGGGTGGAAGAAGAAAGTATGCCCTCTAGATGTATAGGTCAGTATCTTCCAAGCAAGATACAAAGATCAGGAATCTTACTGATAAAGCCTGTTCCATGCAATATTTAGCTGCTCTGCTTCTTGGAACCATTTCTTTTGCCCACGTTTAGTTTTAGGATGTTTTCCTCTGAGATATTTATCTGACATTGACACTGCCATGAGCATTGGCATCTTGTCCTCGGACGGGGGCCTGCTGTTGTTACTTTCTACATAGGTAAAAAGCTCGTTTTAAAACAAAGATTCAGATTTGTGTATTTTCACAGTCATTATGTTTGGAAATGCATTCTTGTGTAAGCGTATGCTAGTGTTTACCAGAGCATCAGTGATGCACGATCAGATTCCAGGACTTCTGGCTTTTGGTACCTAGTTATACTCAATAGTCAAAAACACCACATAGTTGCTATTCCTGACTCTGTAATGAATTGTAAATGATTTCTAAAAATGAAAAACTTTCCATAATCTCTTAATAAATTCAGTAATCCACTTAGTTCAAATTTTCTACATTTTAAACCAGTCTGATTTTTTGTATTGCCCTACATATCTGCACTAATGCCCATGGTCCTGTCCTCCTGATGCTGGACGATAAGTTTGATAAGTTAATGGTTTCCAGGGAATATTGAAACCCTGGATTCATAATTACTGACCGTTTTTTATATCCACAGTGACTATCTCAAAAAACTGTCCTACTGGAGTAAACACACAAACACAAACCTTGCCCTTCAAGACAGGTTTTATTCCTGCCTATTCCCTTGAGAACTGAAAGGGCTTTATTACTTTTTAAAACCACAGTAACTAGTTTTTGAGCTAATTTTGAAATTGCAAAGAAAGGGAGTTCATAAAGAGTTTCCTCCCTATCACATGAACCAAGAATAGAATAGGTTCATTTTCATCCCAGGTTTGCCCTCAAACCCCCTCCTTTACAAGGCAGCTCTGCAATACTGCATCTCAAACTAGATGTTTTTCTTTCACGGCGCCCTGGAAAAACCTAGTTTGCACAAAAAAAAAATAAGACATGCAAAATAAATACTAACGGGTCTTGAAAGATTGCAAATTTTTTTTCTGGTATTGTTAGGATAGCCTTGTTTTTAAAATTTTCCTATTATTTAAAAAGAAAAAAGTGCTTTGCTGCCACGTCTGTTCACTCTTAGCCATGCCAGTGAGTTTGCTAGAATGCTTTCAGAAGGAAGCCCTTGCTGTATGAAGATGGGTCATTTCTTGCCGCAGTGCTGGATAGCCCGGAAGACCTAGAAAAGAAACGCATCTGCCGCATCGTCACCCGCGACTTCCCACAGTACTTTGCAGTGGTGTCTCGCATCAAACAGGACAGCAACCTGATTGGCCCAGAGGGAGGCGTGCTGAGCAGCACGGTGGTGCCCCAGGTGCAGGCCGTCTTCCCAGAGGGGGCCCTGACCAAGCGGATCCGCGTAGGCCTGCAGGTATGCCCGTGTTAAGACTCAAGGTCACCCAACATGGATTTCATTCTGGTGATTAAAAAATCACCTTTTCAAATCAGCTTTTCAAATGGGAAATAAATGGTTAAAGAATCTACTTATCCCTGGGTGAGCAAAAGCTGTCATTATAAAGTTTTAGAGGAGTGCTTAGAAACAGTACTAAACTCACAGTTATCTTACTTGAAGCCCCCAAACTGATTTACGAGATAAAAAGCAATGCGTTGAGTAAGAAATTTGACATGAAATATAATGATGTGTTGTTATTTTTAATACTTTTCTTTTCCTCACAAAGGCTCAACCTATGCACAGCGAGCTGGTTAAGAAGATCCTAGGCAACAAAGCTACCTTCAGCCCTATTGTCACTTTGGAACCTAGAAGGAGAAAATTTCACAAGCCAATTACCATGACCATTCCTGTCCCCAAAGCTTCAAGTGATGTCATGTTGAATGGTTTTGGGGGAGATGCCCCAACATTAAGATTACTATGCAGCATAACAGGTGAGTCACGTAGGACTGTGTTAGTAAATGTTCTGAAAGAAGAAACTTAGATCGTTGCAAATGTTAAATTACCTTTGTCATAAGATGCCTACAGGGTTATATGCATTGATTCAGAAAAACATTCTAATTAACTCGGGAAGTGAAGGGTGGTGGGAAATGAGCTAATATTTCTAAATAAAGCCTGTGTGCCAAACTATTAGACACATCATTTGCATTGTCATTTTAATCTTCACATTAGTCCTATGAGGAAACTTTAACCCCATTTTACTGAAAAGGAAATCAAGTTTGAGAAAAGTTGTATAACTTGCCTGAGATTATACCCTAAATATTTGGCAGAGTTGGGATTCCAGTCCAAGCCCTTATACCTCAGAGGCCAAACTTTAAGCTTTCATTGAAGACATCATCTTGTAGCTTTTGAAAAATAAATAGCGTCTTGAATAATTATACCCAGTAGTTCAAACCAAACTTTTCTAAGAATTGGTTATGTGTTTCTCATTGATCTATTGAACTAACTTTGGAAAAACAAAGTAAAGATTTTTGACATTTAACTGAATTTTGGTCTTTTCAACTGGAAGTTGTAATACCTTTCAGACAACTACCAAACTCCAGAAGGACATTCCCAGAACATTGGTTGTCTCTGCCCAATAATACCATCACAAATGGTGTCAGGTGAAAAATCCATATAAGCAACCTATGCTCAAGCTACACAACTTGACTGATAATTTCCCTATTGAACAGTAACTACATGGTACTGGCATTCAGTAAAAATTTTGTTTTTGGGTAGGAATAATAACCATCCCTGGTTGTTTAGGTATTGTTAGAATTTTTTTTGTTGTTTCTCCTTCATATTGGCAGGAATGTTCACCCTTATTTTAGTATTAATTAATTATTATTAGTAGTATTTTTATTATTAGTAGTAGTATTTTTTCTTATTAGTATTTTTTCCATGCTTATGATAGCAAGTTGTTGAGACTTTACCCCATAGGTTTATCAATATGACAAAATTTTCAAATATATGGATTAAAGTGAGTGTGGGGGGAAATCACATGCTTCACCTATGATCTCTTGCCTGGTTGCTCATTTTTCGTTATTACCTAGTGTTCCTGGGTGTCTTTCCCATACTTTTTGGTCCATGTATATACGATTAACTTTTCTATGATGCTCAACATAATAGCATGGAAGCAAAACAAGATTGAAAAGAGTCTGTGGCACATCTTGCCCTTGTAGATGGTCAAGTGGGTACCAGGTGGGCCTAGATGCTATCTAATCTAGTCACTCTAGCTGTCTGTCTTCAGATGGGCTTGCACCAAACGATTTCTTAAATTTATTTATTAAGTTTAAAAAAACATGCTTAACCTATGTGTTTGGATTTTTGTGTTTTGCTATGTTATATTATACAGTTCTGCTAAGAATTTTTATTTTAAAGGCCTATTAGAATAAGTTTCCATGACCTTTCTTTGATAACCCGTTTCTTTCTTTAAGAAACTTTAGAGTCAAAATTTGTCTTCATCTCAATTGTATATTCCTCCTGTGCTGTTAAATCTACACCAGCTTAATTTTTCAGTGGAAATGAAAGTGGGCATCAGCCTTTGTGGTGATTTTCCTATGTGCAGAGGCCAGCCTCTGGCATTCATTCATTTGTTCATTCACCCTGCAGGACTTATTGAGCTCTTAATATTTTCCAAGCATCTCTTTTTTGCCAACCTTCAGTTGTAAACTGAGAGGAAACTTTGTTTCTTGAAAATAAGTTCATGGGGCTGGCCTGGTGGCATAGTGCTTAAGTTTACACACTCCGCTTTGGCAGCCAGGGGTTTGTGGGCTCAGATTCCGGGCACAGACCCACATACTGCTCTTCAAGCCATGCTGTGACAGCATCCCACATACAAAGTGGAGGAGGATTGGCACAGATGTTAGCTCAGAGACTATCTTTCTTAAGGTAAAAGAGGAAGATTGACAATGGATGTTACCTCAGGCCCAATCTTCCTCACCAAAAAAATAAATAAATAAGAGAATAATTGCATAAAATATGAAGTTCAGGAACAAAAGAATTTTTGTACTTTTCATTAATTTAGCAAAGTATTCAGCTCCTTGGTTGGTCAAAGGATCTTTTAAAATAATCAACTGTATACAGTTCAAAATTATCTTAACAGCCTAGCAGTTACAATAAAAGCTTCAGAATGTCAGGCAGAGAATAGAACACCTAGTAATTTGAAGCAGTTATTCAAATAACCTCCCTTAAATTTAGTTCCTTGGAAGGTGGTGTCTGCTGTTTATTTTCAATGTGTCATTTTTTTAGCACATAGTTTTTAGTTATTTTGTTTCCAGTGTGTCATTTTGAGGGGTGGATGGGATATGCTGGTGAACACAGCCAGAACCACAGAGATTTTATTTTACAATCCAGAGTCTGGAGTTTTGCCTGATTTTTTTCAACAATTGTATTATTTCAGGTGGAACCACCCCTGCTCAGTGGGAAGATATTACAGGAACTACGCCATTAACATTTGTCAATGAATGTGTTTCCTTTACAACCAATGTGTCTGCCAGGTATGGTTATGCAGCACAGAGAAGCCACTATGATATTGTCCCCTCCCCCTAAACTGTCTTTTGTTTTGTTTTCTTTTGTTTCTTACATTCTTTAAAAGTGAATTTTTTTTATTTGGTTTTAAATATGGTCTGCATTTACTTTCATGTTTTAAACTAGACCTGCCAGCAAATGTAATAATGATGATACAGTAATAAAGTCCAACGAGTCAGGTTAAAATCTAAGGAAAATCAGTGATTGTCGGCTTTGACTGTGTGACCCCGTGTCTGGTTTTAGCAGCCAGCGCTTTTTCCAGCCCCGAAGGTCTTACGAATGACCAGTTTCCTGCTGTCAACAAAATGGCCTGAACTACTTTTTCCAACAGAACGAACGATAACAGAAGCACAAAGCCCACTGTGGTTTGCTTAAATGGTTCGGAGGTTTCAGTGACTCTTCGGTGTCCTAACACATTTACACATTACCCATTTAAATATCACACATCTTTAAAAAGCTGAAGCTATCTAATTTTATTTCATATGCACACACTAACTCAATTTATTAATGTTAGTTCCCATTCGCATGATCTTTAATGGATAGCTAAGCATTTTCCCATTTATTTAATTTGATTACTACAACAGCTTTGTGACTTAAGTAGGGCAAGAGGTATTATGTCCGTTTTACAGATGAGAAAACTGGAGATGAGAGTGGTTAAAGCTTAAATTCCTATTCTAGGGGGGAAGAAAAGATAGAAATGCATGAAGAATTCAGTTCTAATGCACAGCCATCACTGGGTGTGGTGGCACATGTTTGTAGTTCCAGCCACCCCAAGGGCTCAATTGTTGTCTCTGGTTCTGTGCATCAGTGTGCTCGGCCACTCATGCACCCACACCCCAAGGTGAGAAAAATGACAAGTTCTGAATGAGAGGTACACCAGAGGCACCAAAAGAATTCAGAGGAGGGCATTCTTGTTGGGGTTTTCAGAGAGGATGTCTGAGAAGAGGTGACTCATGAGGCATGTAGGACAAAATAGGCAGATAAAAGCGGAAGAGAGAGTCACATGAGCAAAGATGCAGAGATAGCATGCAGAAAGGTTATTGGGGTATAGCAACAATGATCTTGAGGTCTATACTTCAGAAATAATGTTGGAATGTTGGTTGACAACATTGTTTAGAGAAAGCCTTATAGGACAGACCGAGAAGTCAGGAGTTTTTTAGTTATTGTATTAATAAATTAACTCCCAGACAACTGAAGAAACAGTGACTAAAATATCGTTGAATCAGTATAAAGAGAAAGGGAGTATTGAGTGCCTGCCAAGAGCTGGGAACTATGCTGAACCTTGACATCTGAAATAAGCCAGACATAAAAGGACAAATATTACACGATTCCACCTATATGAGGTACCTAGACAAGGCACATTCATAGAGACAGAAAGTATAATAGAGGTTACCAGGGTCTGGAGTGAGGAGGAGAATTGAAAATCATTGTTGAATGGGTGTAGTGTTTCTGTTTGGGATGAGGAAAAAGTTCAGGAGAGCCGGCTCTGATGGCTTAGTGGTTAAAGTTCAGTGTGCTCCACTTTGGTGTACCAGGTTCAGTTCCCAGGCCCGGAACCATACCACTCATCTGTCAGTAGCCATGCTGTGGTGGCAGCTCACACAGAAGAACCAGAAGAACTTACAACTATATATAGCTATGTACTGGGACTTTGGGGGTGGGGAAAGGAGGAAGTTTGGCAACAGATGTTAGCTTACGGGGAATCTTCCCCTGCAAAAAAAAAAAAAAAAGTTCTGGAAATGGATAGCTGTAATGGTTGCACAGTACTGTAAATGTACTTAATGCCAATGAATCATACACTTAAAAATGGTTAAAATAGTAAATTTTATGTTATGTACACTTTACCAAAAAGCCGGAAAGAAAAAAAAACAAGAAGAGAGATGGATCAGGAATTTGAAGAAAAGAGAAGCCAAGAGGACAAGGACATCTCATGAATGTTTGAAGATTGTAGGAAAGGAGTCAAGAGAAGGAGGTGGCTGTTGATGGAGAAAGGTTTCAGAGCACAAGGCTCTGGAATAACCCTTTGGAAGTGTATAGATAGCAAATTGGAAAAACGTCCATCTGGTGGCCTCTACTTTCTCAGTGGAGTTATCTTTCTTACGGCCTGACATGAGGGGGAAGCTCGAGGAGTGTCATAAAGGTTTAGTGTTGTCACTATGCTGAGTAAAATGATATATGAGGAAAAAGTTGCCAAGCAACGTCACAGACTCAGCTGAGGCTAGAAATCATAAATTAGTCACAAAACCAATAATTTCTTCTATGAATTATATTCAGCAATATTTAGGAGTTCTGGAGCAAAAGCAGATTTTTAAAAATGGTTAGATTGATCCAACCTGGGTGACTGGAGAGGTTTTTGGAAAAGAATGAGGAGATGAGGAGAAGCTGGGTAGATTTTATTGGAAAGAGTTTCAGGAAATGAAATGAAGACTAGGAGGGGGAACTGAGGAAAATAGAAACGCATCCAGTGAGATATTTATCATAGTGTCTGATATGGGCGGACACCACTGTAAAAAGATTCCAAAACACTAAAGGTACATTTCGGAAGGTTGAATACTCAGAAGAGCTTCAAAGGAAGAAAGTTACAAATGCAGTATTTAATCGTTGATCGTAAATGCCTGATACCATCTTTCTCTCTTCCCCTCACTCCCTTCTTCCTTCCCATCTCTCCTCCTGCCTCTCCTCGCTATCTTTCCCTTTACTTTTACTTTGTCACATCATCTTCCCTCTCTCACCTTCTTTTTCCAAGAAGCATTTAATGCCTACTTTAATCATGTTGAAGGACCTTTTTTTTTTTTTTCACCTGGTACACTTTAAATTTCAAGTAACTGACCGTATTTCATTTTCTAGGTTCTGGCTGATAGATTGTCGACAAATCCAGGAATCCGTTACCTTTGCATCCCAAGTATACAGAGAAATCATCTGTGTCCCGTATATGGCCAAATTTGTAGTGTTTGCCAAATCGCATGACCCCATTGAAGCCAGGTTGCGATGTTTCTGCATGACTGATGATAAAGTGGATAAGACCCTTGAGCAGCAGGAAAACTTTGCAGAGGTGGCCAGAAGCAGGGATGTGGAGGTGCTGTATTTAAAAGCAATTATGTTGATATGTTGTTTATACCTTTATTAATAGACCATATTTAAAATAATGTTTAATAAGTAGAGTCATAGATAAAAAAAGACCAGTTCACATTTTGATCATTTAGGTCAAAGTCCAAAATTAGCTATTTTTAGCCAGTTTGGACCTATCCTATAGGGGTTGACTCAGTGTATGTGAAGAGGAAAAGGACTCTCTTAAAGATTATTTTGGGAAAAATCATGAGTTATTGATAAAGTATGTAAGTGACTATAACAGTTTAGATTTTTTTTATCTTTCCTTGTTGTTATTATTTTTAATAGTAAAGAAAACAATCTGGGAAGTATATTTTTTTGTGTGAATGTGAAAGTACAATATCCAGGGCTTTTCTACATTACTTTGTCTTATTTCAGAATTTTCCATCAATGTAGACCTTTGGATATTGAAGTCGAGTAACCTGGCTCATTGTGATGTCAAAAATTACCTAATCAGAGATTTAAATTTAGGATTTAAAGATATATTCGTTTTGGGGGGTAACATGCTACAGTGTTGAAATGAGAACTTTAACATTAAATAGCATCGTGCATTTGAAGATTCCCCTTACTCATAAGAAGAGGGAGTTCTCGTATGCACTTTGTCACAAACAAAATGTCAGTCAGCAGAGATTGTTGTTTGTATATTTAAAGAATTTTAGTGTTCCAAGTAGTACCAACACTTGTTTGTGAAAATAACAAGTAATAATTGCAGCTACTATACTCTGTGTTATTTTTCTCTGTTTTCATCAGGTATTAGAAGGAAAACCCATCTATGTTGACTGTTTTGGCAACCTGGTGCCATTAACCAAGAGTGGCCAACATCATATATTCAGTTTTTTTGCCTTCAAAGAAAACAGACTTCCTCTCTTTGTCAAGGTAATATATACATGGAATTTTATAATGTATTTTATTCAAGATCAAGTAAAGATTTTGCTTCCTTTAGCAGGAGAGAATATTTACTTTTCAGTCATTTCCCGTGATTTTTTAAACTATATCTGTAAAATTTTGAAGTCCTGGAAAACCAATCATTTTTATTTTTGAAGTTCAAAGTCAACCTTAGTTTTTAGTTATAGACTGCGTTTAAGACCAAGAATGAGGACAAAAAGCCAATTCATTAATTAGAAAAATTGGCAATTCTTTTCCAAATTCCAAAAGTCTCTCTTTTTTTTTTTTTACTGTTATATCTTTTAAATATTTATGCTTAAATTTTAAAAATGAATTTCACAAATGTGGAGACCAAAAGAGTTCTAAGTGACAACTTTTTGTAATAAAAGCTCTCAAAAAGAACCAGGATCTCATTTAATCTAATAAGAGATTATCATAGATAGAGCTATAGACTGGATATACTTTCATAAATTCATTCAGTAAAAATTTATAGAGACACTTTAATGCACCAATAATTTGTTGTCTCTGTTTAGGAATATTAATGCAAATTACAAATTTGGCAGTGATATATACATGTTTCATTCTAGATTCCAATAAAAAGGCAGTAGTAATTCTGTTCTCTGTTTCTCCAGCCACTCATTTTTTCCGTTTCTCCCAGTGTCGTTTCTCTCGTCTAGAGGTCCTAATGCTCACTTCTCACAAGATCCTCACAAGGTAGCAGCTGGTCTCCATCGGCATTTTACTAGTCCTGCTTCAGAATACTCATTCCCGAACAGTCCATCAGCAATGACGCCTTTTATTTTTAACCCCTCGTGATCTCTCTGTATGTGTCTGTAAATTTCTTTGAAGTTTTTTTAAGTCTATTAAGTTTTCCCAAGATCTCCACTGAGCCTTTCATTGAGCCATTTCTGGAAAGTTCGATTGTTTTGCCTTATTAAAGATAGGTTCTGTCAGATCACCACATTGAGCAGTAACTGCTGAGGGATAGTGGATCCATTTAACACAAACAGCTGTATAATTAAGCTAATATCTGATATTGTTGATGTACGAAAGTCATTCTATAAACAAACCAATACAAAAATGGGCAAAGGACTCAAATAGACATTTCTCCAAAGAAGGTATACAAATGGCCAGTAAGCACATGAAAACATGCTCAACAGCTTAGGGACATTCAAATTCAAACCACAATGAGATACCATTCCATACCCGTTAGGATGGCTATTACCAAAAAACAAAAAAACCCAAAAAAACAACAGAAAATAACAAATGTTGGTGAGGATGTGGAGAAATTGGCACCCTGATGCATTACTGGTGGGAATGTAAAATGCTGCAGCCACTGTGGAAAATATTATGGTGATTCCTCAAAAAAGTTAAACATAGAATTAGCATATGATCTACCAATTCCACTTCTGGGTATATATGCCCCAAAGAATTGAATGCAGGGACTCCCCAAAAAACAGTCACTTGCACACCGATGTTCATAAAAGAATTATTCACAATATCCAAAAAGTGGAAACATCCCAAATATCCATCAACAGATGAATGGATAAACAAAATGTAGTAAACACATACAATGGAATATTATTCAGCCTTAAACAGGAATGAAATTGTGATACATGCTACAACATGGATGAACCGTGAAGATGTATGCTAAGTGAAATTAGCCAGACACAAAACGACAAATGATATTGTGTGTTTCCACTTGTATGAGGGAGCTAGAGTGGTCAAATGCATAGTCAGAATATAGAATGGTGGTTGCCAGGAACTGGGGGAAGGGAGGAATGGGAAGTTATTTTTTAGTGGAAACAGGGTTTCAGTTTGTGAAGATGAAAAAGTTCTGAAGACGGATGGTGGTGATGGTTGTACAACACTGTGAATGCACTCAATGCTACTAAACTGTGCATGTAAAAATGATTGAAATGATAAGTTTTATGTTAGCATATTTTAACACAAGAAAAAAAAGGAATGCAATTCTGATATATGTTGCAACATAAATGAGCCTTGAAAATAAGTGAATAACTCAGACACAAAAGGACAAGTATTGTATAACTCTATCTATACGAAGCACCTAGCAGAGACAAATTTTTAGAGACAGAAAGTAGGATAGGGGTTACCAGGGGCTGGGGGAGTGGAGAATGGGCAGTTACTGTTTGATGGGAACAGAGTTTCTGTTTGGGATAATGAAACATTCTGCATAGTAGTGATGATTGCACAACTCAGTGAGTATGCTTAAAATGCCACTGAATTGAATTGTACACTTAAAAATGGTAAGTATAGCAGTGAAAAGGGTAAGTTTTGTGTTATGTATATTTTACTACAATGGTTTTTTTAGCTGAATGATTTTTTTAAGTCATTCAAGATAATAGGAAAAGGAAAAAGGAACTCTTCTAAATCCTTACTTTACATTATCAATTGAATTTTATTTTTCCCTGATTCTTTTGAGTATCATCTAATTAAAAAAAAAGAGTATTCATCAGATAGGAGTGAAGCCTGTGTTCCTTTCTTGTTCAAGGTACGTGACACGACTCAGGAACCTTGCGGACGACTATCATTTATGAAAGAGCCAAAATCCACAAGAGGCCTGGTGCATCAGGCTATCTGCAACTTAAACATCACCCTGCCGGTTTATACAAAGGTATTGTAAAATCTGCTGGGGTGCAGTTTAGGCACTGTGAGATTTGATTTTCAAAGCCTTGAAAAGAAATAAAAGCAAAGACACTGAATGCAAGCATGAAAAAAATCAAACAAATTTGATTCCCTGCCAAATTTATGATTTTCCATTTAAGTAGGGAAAAAGTTGCTCTACCTTATTTTGCATTAAATTCACTTTGATGGAAAAATTTCTATAAATACATATTGGGTATGGGAGAGAGAAAATTTGAATTTAAAGTTTAACTTTTTGGACTAATTTTTAAAAATAAAATAATTGGCTTTGTCTTCGTTATTGTTTTTACTTACCCTCCTGGGACCATGCTAGTGCATTTGGCCCTCCCAAATATTATGAGCCATTAGCTTTTGTTTACGACCAATTCACAGGCGAGTTATATATTATTAAATTCTGAGCAACCTCATGATATTTTATCTTATTGATAAAATAAGTACCTGTTCATCTTATAACCTGTAATATTTAGGAGCATCAGGTGAATTTTTCAGATATTTTAACATGATGAGTATAAATAAGGAGTAGATTTTAAACATTGTTGAAAAAGATAAATTCATTAATTTCTGAGCCACAGTCTACCTACGGATATTACTTCCTTTTCAAACCTCTCCCCATTACAAAACTCCTTGATTACCCTGATCAAATCGAAGAATTTAATGTTGGGATAACTTCTTTCTTATTATTTACAAAAATTTTTAACTGGCACCCCCTTTTTAATAGAAAGCTCCCACATGGCAGCCTATAGGAGTTTGCAGCAAGTTGTTGGGGTGTGTATTAGAGGTTGGGGAGGTTGGGGTGAGTGGTGTAGGTGAGACCTGGGGAAGTAGAAATATATTTCAAATCCTAAATCTTGATTCCACAAAGCAAAGCATTCCCTATACTTCTTTTTATGCACCACGGTATATTTTTCTTAATTAGTTATTCTTGTAAATAGAGATCAATCACAGAGAGAACAGCTTGTAGCATCAAGTTTAACATCGTGAATTCTTGTTAAATGATAAAAATGAGATGAAGCACCATCTCTCTCTGGAAATTTACATATTTTCCAAGAATTAGAATACAGCGAGAGGTCTCTTGACCCAAGTGAGCTTAAACTAACTGCTCTCCAGTGCTGCAGAAGGCATGGGGTTGGTAGGGCTGCTCACTTGTCAGTCACAGAACCGAATGCCACCTAAGGACCGGAAGAAATAGGTTCTGCTGCAGGCAGTCCACCAAGTGATAGAGAGGGATGCTTGAGCTTTGTCTCTGATTTGAGGGAGCCTTCAGTGTGCTCTAAAAGAAAGCGTTTACTTCATTATTACATTATATTTCTCAATGAAGACATATCAGACACAGTTATTAATACCCTGTGGTCCAGGACAACTTTTCATTGAGTAACCCAAAATGAAAAGAAAGCATGCCAAACTTTGTATACTTCAGATATACTTTAGAATTTAGTAGCTATTTATTATAATAGAACTCCTAAATATGGCCCAAGTATTGAAAATATTTCACCATATCCTTATTTGTGGCTTTTAACATTTTCAGCCAATATCTGTAATGACTGGGATGTTATCATCTCCATTTCTGTAATGTATGCCATTAAAGTTTGAGTGTCAAACTTTGAGGCTGCTGGTGACCTAGCATCTGAAATTAGAATATTTATAATTTTACTTCCTTGGTGTAATAAATTAGTATATTTGTAATTTTGTCTCTTTTGTCTCTTGAACCTACAGACTTTTACATTTGTCAAGCCTTTTTAATTTTTGTGTCTGTCTTCTGTAAACTATTAGTAAGAAGAAATAAGGGTGCCCTGACTGTTTGCTTGCCTGTCGATGTTTGGGGGCAGGGTATTGAATCTTTTCTTTTCTTCTAAATGCTCTCTGCTCTTCCTGCTCTCTTTTTTCCCGTCTTGCATGGCATCTTGGGGCTGCAGGAATCAGAGTCAGATCAAGAACAGGAGGAAGAGGTAATTGTTTGACATTGTCGTGGCTATAACTAACAAAAGCCCGTGGTTTACCTGTGTTCTCAGAAGGGTTGTACAGTTGTTCTTAGTAACTAAAGCATCACAATTTTACGTAAGTTCTCTGAGCCCCTGTTTTCTCATCTTGTGGACTGACCTCAGAGAACAGTAAAGTTTCCCTGTAAATTGTTATCCTGTCTCTGTGCAATAGCATATATTTCTCTACCAACTACTGAAGATCAAACTATTATCTCAGTGGTTCGCAAAGGTTGGTCTGGAGATGCCCGGAGGTCAAAACTCTTTTTTTAAATAGAACTTAGACATTATTTGCCTTTTAACTCCCGTATCCTCGCAAGCTACAGAGTTTTCCAGAGGCTACATTGTGTGTGATATCATCACTATGACACTCTGGAATGTGTGCTTGTGTATTTGGGTTCTATCGTTTTATCAGCTTTAATTCATAATACAGGTATTTATTTATGTATATATATCAAACATTAACAAAAATTTTTCGGGCTCCTCAGTAATTTTTTTGGTCTTAAGACCAAAAAGTTTGAGAACCACTGATTCCAAAAACTTCAAGGAGCATGTAGTTCACCCGTTAGACTGTAATGACATTATAATGCGGAACTCTACTGACAATGAGCACTTCTTATAAGGTAGGCTCTTTACTAAGTGCTCCACATACCTCGTCAGCGCTGATCACTCACAATCACCCTATGAGGTGTGTGCCATCACAGATGCTACATCGTAGATGGAGAAAACAGGTCTTAGAGAGCTTACCCTGAATAAGTAGCCATTTGAATTATACCTGCTTTGAAGTTAAACTATGTGTTTGTTTCCCTTATAAGGATCTGAAAATGCCCAAACATTGTATAGAAATAGAAGAAATCATTGCAAAATTCCTTATTCTTACCTATTAATATATTGGTTTTTATTTCTAAGATAGACAAAGGCAATTGTTATTAGTTACATTTAAATGTTTGCAAATATACTGGTTTTATTTTTTTAATGTTGTTCTGTTGGATTTTAAATACAAAAACATAGAAAAGTATAATGAGCACCCTCGTCCCCACCAGCTTAAAATATAAGGCCTTATCAGTTCAGAGAGTCCCCATGAATTCACTTTTTCACTGATATCCTGGCAGTGGAGCAGGAGAAGAGGCGTGATTATAGACTCGTTATCCTGCCGTGCGTAAGCAGATACACGATACACTTCTGACAGACTGAGGTCATTCTTTCCCTCAACTGTGCAGTCACTCTTTGCCTCACGTATTCAATTTCCTTCCTGCACTTGGTGGCTGTATCACCAAAGCTTTTCAAAATGATACCTACACAACTTCTTGAAAGAGCAATACAATGACAAAACCAACTTTGCTAAGTTCAAATGAGTTTTTCCCATTAGATTTATGGTTTTTCTATTCAATATTTTCAGGAACTGTTCAGGGCAATAGATCCACTTCGTGTTCTTTCAGGATTTGGCATTCTGGCTTGTAATTAACGATAATGAAACTACCTCTGTAGAGCATATCAACCTGGCCTGCTATTTGTTCTTTCCTTCTGTTTCTCAACTAAATTGACGCTTACTGTTTAATACCCACTTCCCTCTTTTCCTGGCCTTTTCCCTAATAAATATTATTTCTGACATCAAACACACCCTGAGTCATATCTTCCCAGGAATAACACGTCGGAAAGACTTTCTACCCATAGTGTCTAGAAAGGAGATTTATTTTTTCTAAGTTGGGATAAGAATCAAGGGACTCCCAGGAAGAACTGTAGCAAATTACTCCGACCTTGCTCTAGCCGATGGGGTCTCCCAATGTGTGTAATTATGAATATGAGCTTATTGTACGCATCAGGGGCTATGACACAAGATGCTATTTGTAACCATTCAATTTATGTATGTTTTCTTTCAGATCGATATGACATCAGAAAAAAGTAAGATTTTAAATTGAGTTTGTTTGAAAGCTGGCTACAATAAAGAGAAGCATGAATTAAGATGCAAGCTAGTTGCCATTACTAACCACCATAATAATTATATTTTTATATTATCCTTATTAATGATTAATGTGTATTTAGAAAAGCAGCTTGGCCAGTTAAATGACAAATATATCTAATGTATGAGCTAATTAGCAGTAAAATGCAATGATTATTCATCTAAGCATTCACTTTCTTTTGATATCCCTGTTAACCCTGCTATTGCTGTTATGCTTGTTTAGAGACCACCCTACCGTTTTTGTGCATTTATTAGCATAACATTGTCATCTCATTTTTTTTCAAGCACTGACATGACAGTATCACTTTTTATATCAAGTGACACTGACTTCGGTAGAGCCCTCATTATTTTTGTAGGCTGCACCTGCGAAAGTGATACTGTCTTAATAGCTGTCAGCCAACCCTAACTCTCCCCCACCCCCAACCCCCCCATCCCCCATCCCCCACCCTTACTGTGGTGAAGTGTAACTGACTTGTTTAGGGCTGAGGTCTAACGGACTTTTGTGAAAACCTTCTGAAAAAAATAAGAACCAAGAATGCAAAAATTAAAGCCTTCTGGATGAAATTGCTAATCACAACAGCGTGTCATTACAGGGCTAATTTTAAATAATATGCAAATCCCAAGCATAAGCTACTGAAGAGAGAACTGGTTTGTACAGACCTTAAGAGAGCTATTTTAGAACTCATTTCAGGTCTGTAACATTCAATTAACATTTTAGTGTGTTGGCCTGTTTCTGGTGACTCTCTGGCTTCCTGTGTAGAAGTAGTTGAATTTTTCGCCTATCTTTCTGGCTTTTATGCCCCAAATGCTTTAGGAAAAAAATTCAAATTTTTCATATTTATTCATTTTAAGATTTATTTTGAATCACTGTATTTCAGGGTGCTATTCCCCAAAGGAGAAAACTTAGAACCATGTTTAATATGGTCATCTGGCCCATCAATGACCTGAGGGCTTTTTTTCCCTTTATTTTGAAGTCCTAGCACAATTTAATTTACTACTAAGTTACTGGAATGCTTTTACTGGAGAGTGTCCTTACTCTCATGCTAAATCAGTATTCAGGACTAGAATCCTTGAAATTCTGGACGTCTGCATTGGTTTATATTTGAGCAAATATTTATTGATATAAATTATTTAAATATATCTTTATATATGCATATTCACAGAGTATGTCTCTTCAACAAATACTGATTCTCTCAAGAGAAGGCACTTTTGTTTATTTAAAATACTGAAGTTATCATTGCCTTCATTAATTCCTTTTTCTTTTTTAAGAGATTTTATTTTATTATCCCACTTTCTCCTTCAGGACTCCTGTGTTTATTTACATGGCCCTTTCTTTTCTTCCTTGGATAGGAGCTAGTAGAAATCAAAATTTAATATATCCACCTGGCTCAATCATTTAAAACAAAAAGAAAAAAGTTACTATGTTCCTGTAGTGCCATGGATTCTCCTGAATGACTCCTGGGTGCTGTGAATATTTTAAAAACTTCAAATATAGACTCGTGTTTGGTTTTCTTTTGGTTTAAAGACAATCATTAAAGAATCTTCATCGAGGTATAAAATAATCTCTAAAGAAGGGCTGGCTCTGTTGAAGGGACTCTCCTACAGTCTTTTCACGAGTAAATCCTGAAAGCATTTGACTGAGTTTTCCTTTTCGCTTTTCATGGGCGCAGGCCCCCGCTACCTAGGCCCGGGCTGTACTGCATTCAGCATCTTATATAGGGAAATAAATACGCTTCACCACAGTAAGGTTTTACATACTCGTTCTAATTTATTCCCATCCCCCTGCCCGTGCTTTTCAGCAAGGCCACCTCTCCCACCGGTTTTACTCCACCTTTGCTTTGCATGGAAATAACTTGGCTTACATAAACTGTGCGTGTGTCCCGTGTGACTGTCTCTGATTTGGGTTGCCATGCATCAGATTTTAACTTTGGACTCACGTAGTTTCATCACAGTTGTTGTTTTTGTTGTTTTCCTTTCCTTTCCTTTATTTCCCTCCTTGGTCTGTCCATTATGTGTCTAAACAAGGAGGTTGCTCCAAGGAAAGGGCATGCCTCTCAGCACAAGACCGTTTGTTTCATTGTTAGGTGTGAGTTTCCCTTAGATGAAATGCCGGTTTGCAGCTGATTCAGATATATTTTTTATATTGTCATTGTATATATTGGCAGAACTGAGCGTACCGAAATCCAGATTTTTCTATGATTAAAAACATATACATACATCATTAGAAGGTGTTCTGAATTTGCTCCTACTGGCTTTCTCCTAGCGGAAATCAACTTTCTGCAATTTCTAATGCTTTTTTCCTTTTCTTTCCCCATGTTTATTTTTTTCAACATTGATCTGTAACATCTGAACAATCTTGAGATACCTCTGTGTAATTTCACTGCGTTCGTTCTGTTTTGATTTGTGATGGTTTTGTGTGTGTGTGTGTCTTGGTTATTTTTTATAGCTTTGTTGTATGTGTGGATGTGCTACAAGTGAGAAAATTAAGCAAGTTATTTCCTGCTCATTTTTTCTTTTCAGTTTTTCTTTCCGTTAGCCTTGCTTTGCTTTTGTATCCTGAGACCTTGTGGATCTGCCATTCCCAGCCCATTTTGTTGTCCCTCCCACCACGACAGGAAAAGACACTGTGTCGTTTCAGTCCTGATTACATTTGCCAATATCTTTTTTGATTTCCATTTTACTTTCAATGTTTTTCATTCACATCAAAGATGATGAGACAGAATCTACAGAAACATCTGTCCTGAAAAGTCACCTGGTTAATGAAGTTCCTGTCCTAGCCAGTCCGGACTTGCTCTCTGAAGTTTCCGAGATGAAACAAGATTTGATCAAAATGACCGCCATCTTGACTACAGATGTATCTGAAAGGGCGGGTTCTATCAAAGTGAAGGAGCTGGTGAAGGCTGCCGAGGAAGAGCCAGGAGAGCCCTTTGAAATCGTTGAGAGAGTTAAAGAGGACTTAGAGAAAGTGAATGAAATCCTGAGGAGTGGAACCTGCACAAGAGATGAAGCCAGTGCGCCGAGGGCTCGGTCGGAGAGAGAATTAGTGGAAGAGGAATGGGTTATCATTAGCGATGAGGAAATAGAGGAGGCCAGGCAGAAAGCACCTTTAGAAATCACCGAATATCCATGTGTAGAAGTTAGAATAGATAAAGAGACCAAAGAGGAAGTAGAGAAAGACTCAACTGGGCTAGTGAACTACCTGACTGAGGATCTCAATTCCTATGTGTCTCCTCATGGAGAGCAACTGCAGCCAGCTCAGGAGATGGCAGGGGAGACATCGCAGGCTCCAGCTGTTGGCAGGAGCTCTGAAAACGAAGGGAAAGATGCCCACCCAGATGAGACACAGATTCCCCAGAAACAGCAGAAACCAAGCTTGGGAATAAAGAAGCCAGTGAGAAGGAAATTAAAAGAAAAACAGAAACAAAAGGAGGAAAGTTTACAAGCTAGTACAGAAAAAACCGAACTTACAAAAGGTAGTTCAGAAGAGTCATTAGATGAAGACCTGGGTCTGGCCCCTGAGCCTGTTCCCGCTGTAAAGGCCACTTCACCTTTGATAGAAGAAACTCCCATTGGTTCCATAAAGGACAAAGTAAAGGCCCTTCAGAAACGAGTGGAAGATGAACAGAAGGGTCGAAGCAAGTTGCCCATCAGAGTCAAAGGCAAGGAGGATGTGCCAAAAAAGATAGTGCACAGGACACATCCGGCTGTGTCACCCTCTCTGAAGGCAGAAAAGCACACACCAGCGTCACCCGCCTCGAAAACCGAAAGACACTCTTCTCTCTCCTCCTCTGCAAAAACTGAAAGGCATCCTCCGGTATCACCATCCAGTAAAACAGAGAAACACTCCCCTGTGTCACCGTCTGCAAAAACTGAAAGGCACTCACCTGTGTCATCGTCAAGTAAAACTGAGAAACACTCACCTGTATCACCCTCGACAAAAACTGAAAGACACTCCCCTGTGTCATCTTCCACAAAAACAGAAAGACACCCACCTGTTTCGCCTTCAGGTAAAACAGACAAGCGCCCACCCATATCGCCCTCTGGGAGACCGGAGAAACACTCGCCAGTATCACCTGGGAGAACGGAGAAACGCTCGCCTGTATCGCCGGCTGGAAGAATAGAAAGGCATCCACCTGTGTCAGCCTTGGGGAAGACCGAGAAGCACTTGCCTGTGTCGCCTTCTGGGAAAACAGAAAAGCAACCACCTGTCTCCCCCACCTCAAAAACAGAAAGAATCGAGGAGACCATGTCTGTGCGGGAGTTGATGAAAGCTTTCCAGTCAGGTCAGGACCCATCTAAACATAAGGCTGGACTCTTTGAGCACAAATCAGCAAAGCAAAAGCAGCCACAGGAAAAAGGCAAGGTTCGGGTAGAAAAAGAAAAGGGGCAGATGTTAACCCAGAGAGAAACACAGAGAACAGAGAGTCAGACCATCAAACGAGGCCAGAAAATCCTGGTAACAGGAGCTTCAGAATCCAAAAGAGGGGTCCGTGCTTCCTCCTTAGGGTTTAAGAAAGAAGAGACAGTTGGAGAAAAGGAGAAAGGTGTCAGCCACAAAACGCCGGAACCTGTTCGGTCAGCACCGGAAGAAGAAAGCCATAAAGAGAACGAAGTCCCCAAAGAAAAGCCGGCTGAGGAACAGGGAGACATGGATCTCCAGATCAGCCCAGACAGGAAAGCCTCCACTGACTTCTCTGATGTCATTAAGCAAGAACTGGAAGACAATGAGAAATACCAACAATTCCGCCTGAGTGAAGAGCCGGAAAAGGCGCAACTTCACCTAGACCAGGTCCTCACGAGTCCTTTCAACACGACGTTTCCACTAGATTACGTGAAAGATGAGTTTCTTCCAGCTCTCTCTTTACCGAGCGGTGCTTTAGACGGCAGTTCTGAGAGCCCAAAGCACGAGGGGGTGGCAGGCTCTCCATGCGGCAGCCTGATGGAAGGGACCCCTCAGATTAGTTCGGAGGAAAGCTATAAGCATGAGGGCCTAGCAGAGACCCCTGAGACAAGCCCAGAAAGCCTTTCTTTCTCACCAAAGAAAAGTGAAGAGCCAGTTAGGGAAGAAAATGAAACTACCAAGTTAGAAACACCAAGAGAAATTCATTTAGAAAAAGAACATCCCTCAACCAAAGACGTGCCTGATGGTTCTGAAGAGCCAGGTGCTGCCGTCACTGAGGGTACAGAGCCCTCAGCTGAGTGCCTGCTGAAGGAGGCCACCCTAGACCCTTCCAAAGACACATCCTCCAAACAGGAAGGTGATTACCTTGACAGTAATAGTGTATCATTAGCAAAAGAAACACCCAAAGGACTGGCTGAGGAAGCCTCCTGTGATGAGGGTCAGCCTACATACGTTAGTTCAGCCCTCAAGGCCCAAACTGATACTGAAGCTCAGGGATCCACAACCACCAAGCCCTCAGATGAGACAAAGGCCTCGCCGCTGCCTGATGTTTCTGTAAAGACAGGCACAGGGACTGAACCAAAGCCCCAGGGAGTTGTTAGAAGTCCCCAAGGATTAGAACTTGCACTCCCTAGCCGCGATAGTGAGGTCTTCAGCCCTGGCGCTGATGAATCGTTTGCAGTAAGCCACAAAGACTCCCTGGAAGCCAGCCCTGTGCTGGAGGATAACTCCTCACACAAAACCCCTGACTCTCTGGAGCCGAGTCCTCTGAAAGAGTCCCCTTGCCGTGACTCTCTCGAAAGCAGCCCTGTGGAACCAAAGATGAAGGCTGGAATTCTCTCAAGTCACTTTCCTCTTCCTGCAGCCGTAGCCAAAACGGAACTCTTTACAGAAGTGGCCTCTATGCGGTCCCGGCTGCTCCGAGATCCGGATGGCAGTGCTGAGGATGACAGTCTTGAGCAGACGTCGCTCATGGAGAGCTCAGGGAAGAGCCCCCTTTCTCCTGACACCCCGAGCTCTGAAGAAATTAGCTATGAGGTCACGCCCAAAGCCACAGATGCAAGCACACCAAAACCAGCTGTGATTCATGAATGTGCAGAGGAGGATGACCTGGAAAATGGGGAGAAAAAGAGGTTCACACCTGAAGAGGAAATGTTCAAAATGGTAACCAAAATCAAAACGTTTGATGAACTTGAACAAGAAGCAAAGCAGAAAAGGGACTACAGAAAAGAGCCCAAGCAAGAAGAATCATCTTCCTCCTCTGAGCCGGATGCTGACTCTTCAGCAGATGTGGATGAACCGAAACACATGGAGAGTGCGGAGGAGGAAAGCGAGGTCCCTGTGGCGGTAACATCAGAGAGCAGAAAGGCTTCTTCCTCCTCAGAAAGTGAACCTGAGTTGACACAGCTGAAGAAAGGTGCTGACTCAGGCCTCTTACCAGAGCCAGTTATTCGAGTGCAACCTCCTTCCCCACTTCCATCCAGCATAGACTCCAATTCTAGTCCTGAAGAAGTACAGTTCCAACCTATTGTTTCCAAACAATACACTTTCAAGATGAATGAAGATACTCAGGAAGAATCAGGTAAATCAGAAGAAGAAAAAGTTTGTGAATCCCATTTACCTGAAGACAGTCAGACTGTTTCTACTGAGGGCCCAGATATGTCTTATGATGATCTAAAGAGAGATGATGATCAACCAAAAATCTATGATGACCATGGCTGTGAGGCTGGGAGTCCTAGCAGCCCAGCCACTCCTATCTCTTCAGGTCTCCACAGTTCCTGTGCTCATGATATCAGCGAGCAGCTAGTTATCCATAAGGAAGCATTACCTCTCCAAGACGCTGAGGAAAAAGACACAGAAGGAGAGCTTGATGTTTCTGGATTGGAATCTCCACAAGTAGAAGGCCCCAGTGAAAGCTCTTCTTCTCCATCCTCTTTGCCTCGTTGTCTAGCATCTGAAAGAAAAGAATTAGATGAAGACTTAGTTTCTCCCTCTTCTCCTACAAAAGTTGAGGCCACAAAAACTGACCAAGCTTTTGAGAGCTTACCAAAGGACTGTTCCACTGAAGACTCATCAATTACCCCCCAAACAGATAGATTGTCTGTGGATGTACCAGTGTCTGACCCAGCTGAGACTGATGAAATCTCTGATCCTCAAACCATAAGCCCTTATGAAAATGTTCCTTCCCAATCTTTTTTCTCTAGCGAGGAAAGCAAAACCCAAACAGATGCAAGTCACACAAGTTTTCACTCTTCTGAAGTGTGTTCTGTTACAGTCACATCCTCTGTTGCAGAGGTAGCAGTGGAAAGCTCCTCTAGTAGAACTGTTTCAAGCAAAGAATCTAACTTTGAAGACCAAAACATGGAACTAGAATCCAAACAAGAAAGTACCTTGTGGGAAATGCAGTCAGATGGAGCTCCCTCATCTGTAGAGTCTACTATACCAAATACTTCAGCAGTTGTTGGTGAAAAAATAAGCAAGGTCATCATCACAAAAACTGATGTGGATTCTGATTCCTGGAGTGAAATCCGTGAGGATGATGAAGCCTTTGAGGCCCGAGTGAAAGAGGAAGAGCAAAAGATATTTGGGTTGATGGTAGACAGACAGTCACAGGGTACCACCCCTGACACCACTCCTGCTAGGACCCCAACTGAAGAGGGGACTCCAACCAGTGAGCAAAATCCATTCCTCTTTCAGGAGGGAAAATTGTTTGAGATGACCCGAAGTGGTGCTATTGATATGACCAAAAGGTCGTATGCTGATGAAAGTTTTCATTTTTTCCAAATTGGGCAAGAATCCAGCGAAGAAACTCTCTCTGAAGACATGAAAGGAGTGAGTACTGGGGCTGAGCCTCCACAGCTTGAGACATCAGCTGAGTCACTAGCACTTTCACAATCAAAAGAACCAGTGGATGATGAGGCAGACTTACTTCCTGACGACCTGAGTGAGGAAGTAGAAGAAATACCTTCTTCAGATGCTCAACTTAACTCCCAAATGGAAATTTCAGCCTCTGCTGAAACATCAACAGAAGATGCTACTTCTGCAGAGCCTGAGGACCTCCCCACCACACAAGTGAGTGACACACCTCCTAAGTCCAGTGTGAAGCAGACATCTTGCCCTGATTCCCCTGAGCCCGCTGTGCAAGTTCACTTAGATTTTTCCACAGTCACTAGGTCTGTGTATTCAGATCGGGAAGATGATTCTCCTGATTCTTCCCCAGAGGAACAGAAATCAGTAATTGAAATCCCTACTGCACCCATGGAGAGTGTGCCTTCTACTGAAAGCAAATCCAAAATTCCTATAAGGACTATCCCCACTTCAACCCCAGCACCTCCATCTGCGGAGGATGAGAATTCCCTTTCTGAAGATGTTCCACCCAGCCTGGATGAGGAAAGTAAAGAGGATGAAACAAAACCAAAGTCTAAAATCCCCGTGAAAGCACCCGTCCAAAGAGTAGAGCAGCAGCTTTTGGTTCTAGACTCATCTCTCCAGAAAACAGTGGCTCCTCAGGGTCAGGACGTGACAAGCAGAGCACGAGATGATAGAAGCAAATCTGAATCTGATGCCGATCCTTTGGACTCCAAGGCCAAAAGTCCAGTAAAAACTAGAAGTTACACTGAGACAGAAACAGAGAGCGGAGAGAAGGCAGAGGAGCTTGAGTTAGAATCCGAAGAAGGGGCCACAAGAACAAAGATATTTGCGTCCCGATTGCCAGTTAAGAGCAAAAGCACCACATCTTCCTGCAGGGAGGACACGAGCCCCACAAAAGACAGTAAGGAGCACTTCCTTGACCTTTATAGGAACTCCATCGAGTTCTTTGAGGAGATTAGCGATGAGGCTTCCAAGCTAGTGGATAGACTTACACAGTCAGAAAGGGAGCAGGAACTAGTTTCAGATGATGAGAGTAGTAGTGCCCTGGAAGTTTCAGTCATTGAAAATCTGCCGCCTGTTGAGACCGAGCACTCAATTCCTGAGGACATCTTTGACACAAGGCCCATTTGGGATGAGTCCATTGAGACTCTGATTGAACGCATCCCTGATGAAAATGGCCATGACCATGCTGAAGGTATTTGCCAGCCACTGGGATTCCCTGTGCTACGCATGTCATAAATTTGATAGAGTTTTTTTGTATGTCTGTTTTATTTGGTGATTTGTGTCTCATTTTCTTTAAGCTTTCTGTAGTGATTACTGTGTTTGTGTAAGCCCTTTGTGTTTTGTGCTTTCTCTGTATACTCTTGTCTATGAAAACAATCTCAAGATTGAGTAATGAGAATGCTTATGGAAAACATAAACACGATAAACAGGCAATGGTGAAGTTGCCTTTCTCCAGCCACTGCACGTCAGGCCATGCAAGCTTTGAGTTTTGTTGTTCTGAAGTCCCAGGCTTAGCCTTGAATTGTGCCCTTTTGCTTTTGCACACAAATATATTGGGTTTTGCTTCATATTATGAAGATTCATTGCTTTTTATTCTTACCTTTGAGTACTTTACAGTAATTTGTACTTAACAATTTTGTAATTGCTAGGAAGCCATTTGCCCAAGAAGATTTCTCATATCATGAAATTTCAATTGTTGTGGATCTGTTTTTGATTCAGAAAGATTGGATTTCAGATAACATTGGTAAACACTTTAAGCAAACAAATATAAGGTAAAAATATGCTTTTCGTTTCAGTGGTAGATGGTTGGAGAATGTACTCCAATTAGATGCGGCAGACAACAAAAACTCAAACTTTGCATGATTTAAGTTGACTGAGGGGATGATGACTCGCTGAGTTAAAAAAAAAAAAAAAAAAAGCAAACCATAGATGGCTTTGAGAGGTAGCCTCTGGTCTTCCAATATCTCTACAATAAAGACTGTTAATCTTATATTTGGGTTATAAAAAATACCATGATCTAAAATGCTACCCATCAATTAATGGGGCTTAAAAATGAATGGGAAAATTGTAGTTTGTGGGACTAGTCTATGAGCCTACTTAGTAGTAAGCAGACAGAAAGTTTGCCCAAAAGACGTATATAGATACTAATACATCAGACAAATACATACACTTTTGTCCTTTCTTCCAAGGTCACCAGGACCAAGGAAAATGTTATTTCTGGCCACACTGAAAAAACCCAGTATGGTCTGATCAACCCATAATCTGGTCATCTCAGATGTGATTTCTTGCGGACATGATCTGAAAGTGATCTCTACTGCCACAGTAGAGGTCCTAATCAGTTACTCCACTTTTGCATCTCATTTGTGATGATTTTTCTGGTGTTTAATGAACAAGATGGTTGTCTTCTGTTGGGCAGTATTCTCTCAGATGATTTAAACAGGAAAGTCCTACCATTACTCGAAATCTGCAACTTATATAATTATGTCCAGTGATGAGTCTTAATTGAAGAGATATGGAAGCAGATGGTTTTCATGATTCATAATTAGATTTATTCCCCCATTCCATTCCAAAAGTCAGGCAAACTCACAATTTAATATGATTTAAAATGTAATAGCTCATTAGTGCTATCATCCAATATTTGGACAAGTGACTTCCTTTCTTTGGATGGTCGGTACTGTGGTTCCTCTCCTGTCATAGACAACCTTTGGCCATTCTGTTTTTGACCTTCTATAGATCAACAGGATGAGCAGGAACGGACTGAGGAAAGGCTGGCTTATATTGCTGATCACCTTGGCTTCAGCTGGACAGGTAAAATGAAGTGACCCTTTTTTCCAACAAAACTTGCTTGGCTTAAATGACGTAATTGCATCAGCCAAGTGTCATTAACAATGAAAAGATGCCTTTTTTTCTTTCCTTGAGGAAGACCACGTGGAATAGTGAAAAGAAAAATAAACTACAAACTAGAAAATCCAGGCTCTGCATTAACTCACTGTGTGAACCAGGGCAGGTGTTTTATTGTCTGTGGGATTTAGAATAATAGAACTTTAGATTGGGAGATTTTGAGAATATACCAACCCTCACCACCTTCCTTTGAGACCTGTGGATTTCCAAACTTTGGGGAGATTACTGTGTTTCAAAACCATCGTTAGATGTAATTGTCGTAAAATTTAATTTGAGATTTAACCAGGGCTCCTTATTTTAGATACCATATATCAGATATCTTCATCATGCTCAGTACTAAAATTTGCTTTGGATGAATGTTGAAATACATGTGAATGAGATGTTTCACTAATTTTATGAGAAATGGGAATATTTAAGTATAGAATTTATAATATATGTTAATTTATTAAGGGAAAGTGAATTCTAAAATGAATATGGTTTCTTTATAAATAATAATTTTTAGGTTTTAAAAGCTACTCTTTCAAAATCTTAGCTTTGACTTAACATATTAAGGTGAAATTGTCAGTCTGGCTTTCTGTTTTTTTTTCTTGGTCTGACTTCCTTTTATATCACTTGTGACTACTTTATTGAAAGAAATAGTATAAAGTTAATATTCTTCTCCTTTCAGTTTCTCAAAGATTTGGTGATGAATAGGTGTTCATAGGACCCTTAAATAAGATAATTGATAATACAGAAAATGACTGGTAGCCAGAAGAACAGCTATTTTCTCACTTTTAAACATTTTAAAGTAATTTGTAGATGTTGATCAGATTTATTTAGTTGAGGGATTTGGGGGGAAGGAAGAGCATCAAAATATCCCTGGTTGACTTAATAAATTGATAACATTCAGAATTATTTATTTTGTTTTGTAAATATATTTTATGTATACAAATGTATTAAATGTGATATCTGTATACTTGTTGAAAACTCAAACCATACAACCATACAGAATGGTGTAGAATGGAAAGTAAATAAGTCTCACACCTTCCTCTGGTCTTCTAGCCCCCTACCTCAAAGGTAGCTGCTAACACGTTCTCAAGTATTCAGAAAAAAATATGCAGTGCCCACATCTATGCCTATAATTTAAAAATAAGCAAAATTTTACTTAATATTCCTCGTAAATATTCCATCAGCATAGACATGCGTATCTCATTCTTTTAAATGGCTGTTATTCTACTGTACGGAGGTACCATAATTTTATCAATGACCTTTATTGATGGATATTTAGGTTGTTTCCTGTTAATGGCAATAAATATCCTTGTGTACTGGTGTATTTTTTTGAGTATATCTATTGGGTATATTCCTCAAAGTAGAATTGCTCGGTAAAGAGTATGCATATTTTTAGTTTTGAAAGATATTGGCAAATTTGCCTTCCAAAGCGGGCATCTTATTTACATACACACATGCATACTCTTGCACACCACAATGTATAACTATCCATATAAAATGTTAATGGTAGACTTTAAAGAAAAATTTTGTGGCTTTTTACCTAGGCCAATTAATGCTTCCCAGACCTTTTATTCATGTGATGTCAAATCAAAGAAAGGAGTTTATCCAACCACCAGACTATATCCACAACCAATATTTATCCAAGTACCTGGAAACAGGATTTATAGTACTTAAACCGTCACCTAATGATGATTAAAAGTGAGAAATGGTCTGTTTTTCCTGTTTTCAGTCATTTATTTTCCATTATCTTGGTTAAGAGTATGAGCCAGAGTTAATAGTCTCTCCTGCATTTTTGAATTAAATGGGCCTAATTATTCATATTTTATCATCATTACCTCAAATGTACTATTATTTCCACTATAACAGTGATCAATTCCATACCCAATTTTAAGGAAAAATCTGAAATTAGTGCTAGAAGAACAAAGGCATATAAGAGTTACTTTTAATATGTTAGCAGAAAAAGGAGCCCTATAACTCAGCAATACAAAGAACACTTCATTTACAAAATCACGAGGCCGATGTGGAGACTGAAACGTTGAAGTCATTGTGTTTACAGAGCAGTATTTTCTCTTCTAGAATTAGCAAGAGAACTGGATTTCACTGAGGAGCAAATTCATCAAATTCGAATTGAGAACCCTAACTCCCTCCAAGACCAGAGTCATGCGCTACTGAAGTACTGGCTGGAGAGGGATGGGAAACATGCTACAGGTGGGTGGGGCTGTGTGTAAAAGGCGTTAGGCTAGAGGGGAAATGAGTCTTGTTCCGCAAACCCTTTCTTGCAAATTCAGTAAAATAACAAAAGAGAAAATGCCATCAATCTGAAGTACTACTGTAAGCAAATGAAAACAAGCTATGATATTTCTAAAATATGCATGGTGCCTAAGAGTCTTACTCTATATTCCCATGAGCAGCATTAAGTGGAAAGTGATACCAGCACTGGCTGCTAACAGGAATGTTATTAAAGTCCTAAAATTTTCTAAATACTGACAGTGGGCCCAATTACTTTATTGGTCATTGTTTTATTGGTAGTGCATTACCTTCAGTTCCTACTTCCCTTACTCCCAAATAACTTAAGTGGGGAAAAAATGTCAAGTAGATTATTCTATAGAATGATTTATATCTGCTATTCTGACTACATCTAATAAATGGGAAGTGATGTAGACCATAACTGCTTCTCATCCCTCAGCTGGTCTGAATTTGCCACTCCCTTTAGTGTCTCTCTGAAGATCTACCTAGAGACCCCGTTTATTTACATCCAGTCTGCAGTTATCTTTCCTTCTCTGACCATTCTTCTAGGTAGGCTCACCACATTTAGCAAATAAAAGTAGAAGGCACCCAGCTAAAACAAAATTTCCGGTAGTCAACAAATAATTTTTTAGTATAAGTATATCCCATGCAATATTTGGGATATTTATGCCAAAAAAGGTTTTTTTAATCTGAAATTCAAATTTGACAGGGTGTCTTATACATTATCTGACAACTCTGCTATTAGGGCTGTGCCCATGCTGTCACCCTTTTTGTGCATACCTCTTCTTTATCTGTTTGCTGTTGTTACAAAGACCCTTAATTGGGCTTCGGTTGTTCCCTGTACAAATATCAAAATTTTAGCAAGGCAACTAAATGAAAGAGATTTTGAAAAGAGTATCCCTCAGATGTAAAATGCTTTTTCTCTAATATCCCAGATACCAGTCTCATTGAATGCCTCACCAAGATCAACCGAATGGATATTGTTCATCTCCTGGAGACCAGCACAGAGCCTCTCCAGGAGCACATGAGTCACAGCTATGCAGAAATTGAACAGACCATTACACTGGATCATAGTGAAGGTAAAACTGTGTGTGTGTGTGTGTGTGTGTGTTATGTGTGTGTTATGTGTTATATGTATGGTTAATTCAGGCAACTGGACCTCCTGTCTTCCTTTTTTAGAGGGTGGACTCTGGCCTTTGGTGATCACACACTTTTCTCCTCGCTACCCTGAGACTTCCCTGCCCATTTTATAGGCACCCCTATTCTGCTCCTTCTTTGTTATTTCACCATTGTCTTAGTCAGCTTGAGCTGCTATAACAAAATACCATAAACTGGGTGGCTTAAGCAACAGAAATGTATTTCTCACAGTTGTAGAGACTAAAAGTTCGAGATCAGGGTGACAGCACGGTCAGGTTCTGGTTGAGGGCCCTCTTCTGGGATGCAGACAGCCATCTTGCTGTGTCCTCACATGGAAGAAGGAGAGCGAGCTAGCTCTCTGCCCTCTTCCTATAAGGGCACTAATCCTATTCATGAGGGCTTGACCTAATTACCCTCATGACCTAGTTACATCCCAAAGGCACCACCTCCAAATACCATCACATTGGGATTAGATTTTAAGGGGACACATTCAGTTCATAACAACCATTGACATGGATGATCCGTCTGATGCCCTTTCCTCAGTTCCTTGATGGCACTTCTGATACTTGTGTCGTTTACTCCACCCATTTCTATGCTCGTGACCAAGACTATATCATCATCAATGATTGTACTACTTCCAGGTCCTAACTTGCAGCATTATACTTCCTCTTTGGCTTTTATACCATCAATTCTTCAAACCATCTGGGTCCTCCAGTCGTTGGTCCTATCAATCCTTTTGAGTATTAAAGTTTCTTTAACCCATGCGTTTGCACGCTCACTCACTCTTTCTTTCTCCTTTTATCTCTCTGATCTCTATTTTACACCTTCCCTTCTTCTTTCAAGCCTCCAACATTTCTCTTCTCCTTATTTATTCCAAGCTGATGACCACACTTCATATCTCTTAGAAAAAATAGGAATAATCATAAGCAAATGTCCATATTCTTTCAGCACAAAATGTACCAACCTAAGTGCATCTCAGTATTTACACTCTACCTTCCCTCCTATCTGAAATTTCCTTGCTTTGCTAAAACCATCATTCCTTTTTTTGTGCTAGATCTTGACCCCTTTTATCCAACTAATTATCCAACCCTGCAATTATCCACTCTGGCTTTCTACAACTGGACCATGCTCAACAGCATTAAAACCTGCTTTAATGGACCCTGTCTTTAAAAACTAAACAAAGCAAATAGCTCCTTTACCCAATCATGCAATCAACCTGTATGATTGCTCTGTATCTCCTCCGTTTTATAGGAAATCTCTTCAGAAGAATAGTCTTTTTTTTTTTTTTTTTGAGGAAGATTAGCCCTGAGCTAACTGTTGCCAATCCTCCTCTTTTTGCTGAGGAAGAGTGGCCCTGAGCTAACATCCATGCCCATCTTCCTCTGCTTTCTATGTGGGATGCCTACCACAGCGTGGCGTGCCAAGCAGTGCAATGTCCGCACCCGGGATCCAAACCGGTGAACCCCGGGCCGCGGAAGCAGAACGTGTGCACTTAACTGCTGCGCCACAGGGCTGGCCCCCAGAAGAATAGTCTTAATTTCCCGTATCTACTTCCTCTCTTCCCATTCTCTCTAGAACTGTCTCTAGAATCCACACCAGTCAGGCTTTTGTCATCACCACTCAAAGGAAACAGTCTTGTAAAATTCGCCAGTCGTTTCCTCATTGCCAAATCCAGTGGGTAACTGTCTTCATCTTACTGTACCCCTTAGGAGCATTTGACACGAAAAATTCATCCCTTCCTAAAACATTTTCTTCACTCACTTTCCACAGCACCCTCGCTTCTTGTTTTGTTTTGTTTTTTCCTGTATAACTGGCTATTCTTCCTCAGTCTCTTGCTGTAGCTTCTTACTTTTCATTGATTTAAATGATGGTGTGTGTTACTGTTCACGAGAGCCTCAGAGCTTGCCCCATCTCCCATCTCCCTCCATCTTTCATCAGCCCCGGACACCTGGCCTCCTTGCTCTGCCCTGGGCACCCTATGCATTCTCGGGCTCCTGGGCCCTGGTCCTTTCTGTTGCCTCCACTCTGGAGCGTTCTTCCCTCAGATCGTCAGGCACCTTTTTCTTTCACTTTATTCAGGGCTCTGCTCAAGTATCACCTCCTCCAGGGAGCCCTTCCTGACCAGTCTATCTAAGATGCTAGTCCTATTTACTCTATACTTTTACCCTGGTTTCCTTTTCTCCTAAAATTTATCACAACTGTATATGTATCTGCAGAAACGCAAGTTCACTGAGGACAGAAGCTTTTTCTATCTTGTTCACTGCTATACATCTACCATTTAAACAGCACCTGCTACGTAGTTGATAATCAATATGTGTCTGTTGAGTGAATAAATAAATAGATGAATGTCAGTCTCACCTCTGCTAAAAATCTTTCGATGATGCATCATTGCCCTGGATATAATGAAACGCCTTAGCCTGGTGTAAGAGCCCCTCTGTAAGAAGAGTGCTAACCTCAGAGTGTTGTTTAATACAAGTTACTACTTGCCAAGCGCCTAGAACAGTGCCTGACACATAGTGAATATTCAGAATGTATTAGCTATCATTATTATCATCATTAACTCTGACTCTTCTTACCACTTAGATTCTGTGCCTCAGCTATTGCAGTTGATGCCCGTTTATCATTAGGTCTCCTTAAGATGTCATGCCCTCTGCATTTCCTCTCCTAATTCTTTAGCCCTGACTCGGGTACCCCCACATTCGTTGACTGACCCTGTGGCGCAGCCGCTCTGCAATTTAACAGACTGTTCCTTGCCTAAGCTCATCCCCTACATGATCAGCATCTTGAAGGCAGACACAGTGTGTTGTTTAGCTTTGTAACCATGGACCTATCACAGGATGTGGCATGTAGTAGTTACTTAATAAATACCCATTCAATATAGGTGAGCTTCAGTTAAATACTTAATTTAAACTGCTCTCCACTGTAGGGTTCTCAGTGCTTCAGGAGGAGCTGTGCCTGGCACAGCAGAAGCAGAAAGAAGAAGAGCAAGCTGCTTCCAAAGAAGGCGAGCCCTGTGATCAGCCTCCCATCGTCTCAGAGGAAGACATTTCTGTTGGTTATTCCACTTTTCAGGATTACATCCCCAAAACTGATGGGGACAGCTCAACAACAGAGCTCCTTCCCCAGACTCACAAGGAGGAAGTTCAACAGGATTTCTCAGGGAAAATGCAAGACCTGCCTGAAAAGTCGCCTCCTGACCATCAGCAGGAGTACTTGTGAGTTTCGAAAGAAAGCCCGTCAAATGTGATGCCAAAGAAACAAGCCAATATGGCAAGGGTGCCAGGCATATACAAGTGTGTACAAGTACAGGCACATACAAATCATTCTCAGATAGTTTTCGAATAACAAACCACCAATAACAAATGCCAGAGCTACGGAAAAAAGCAAAATATTTCAGAGACGTGATTGTGATGGTGATGTGTGCCACAGATCTGCTTGAACCGGCCTCCAGTCCTGTGACCTTGGGCAAGTCCCAAAGCCCCTTTGAGTCTTCGTTTCTGCATCTATGAATTATGATAATAATATACACCTTATTCATCTCACAGGGTTGGGGGTCAAGGATATGCCTTTGAAAGCTTTGTTTAAACTATAAAATTTCATGTAGACCACATGGTTAGTGCCTGTAAGATTGCTACACTTCGCTTCTCTGCTTCTGATACGTGCCCGCTGTACTATGATTGGTTCAGAGTATGAACAGCGATGCTGGAGGTGATTCAGCCCTCGCATATTTCAGCAAAGCTAGGAGGTGGCTAACAGTAAAATAGAAATGCAACACAAATTATTCGCACAGAATGAAAGACCATTAAGAGGAGGTGGGATGGGATTGGAGGGGGAATAAAGAGAAGCCTTCTAGAGAGCTTCTGGCTAAGGCAAGCTGCAGAGCACAGGCAGCTTAGAACTCAAGTTCTGGGCTTTAGGGAAGAAAAGGAGACAGAGAGTTGTTTAAATGGCACTTGTCTAGAAAAAGAAAACCAATCATGAGAAAAGCAGATGTGAAATCTGAGAGCAGTGTGTCAGGAGATTGTGTCACAGCGTGGCCTTTGTCGTGAAAGTGAGGTTTGTGCTGGGCTCCCTGGAACTTGAGATGAGGGTGAAATGGGTAATAAAATGATCTTTTCTTCTGCAGGGTCACCACCCTATCCCCATCTACCTTTAGATTTTAAGTGAGAACGTAAAGAAGAAGTAAGGAAAAGAGAGAAGGACAAAGGCAAGGATGGGAGGCAAAGAGGGAACATCAGAGAGGCACTCTGGGCATTTCATGGCTGTGGAGTGACAGAGAATTGCAATAAATAGAAAAAAGGAGCAGAAGGCAGAGAATTTTCTTATTTAGAAATTGAGATTATAAAGATTGCATTGGAATAACTCCAAACTCTATCAGTAGAACAACTTTCGATGTCAACAGGTCTTTCTATCAAGTAATACAGTTTTCAGGAGATAAAATAAGAAACTCCCTCTGTCTACAATATGGTTACTATATTAAAATAGGGTGTATATACTGCTTTTCCTAAATTTTGCCAAATTTTGATTCTCGCTTCAAAAGCCTTAATTATCTACAGATCTTTGTTATGTAAATCTCCTCAAATCTTCAGTATTACTTTGAGTTATCAAAGAAGAGATGAAATTATGATGTATGTGCTTTGTAGAGATTAGGACATGGTAATACATTTTAGGATAATTTTTATCTGTAGAATACATCTTTCCCAGTCAATGCTAGATCCATGAGCTGTAACTCTATACTATATCTTACATGTAATTTTTATTCAACTTTCATTTCTTGGCCAAATTTACAAAATCTGTTTGACTCTCACGGCCTATGAAGATGAGTTCCATCTTCTCTTCTAATTCCCTAGCTTCATTCAGTAGGAAGAGAAATGCATAGGTTCTCGTGATATAATTTGGTTTTTCCATTTCAGTGTGACAACCCCAGGGACAGAAGTGTCAGAGACTCAAAAGGCTACGGCAGCATCTGGGTCTCCCAGCAAGACGCCTGAGGAAATTACTACCCCTCCTGAGGAGGAGAGGCCGTACCTCCAGACCCCGACGCCGAGTGAGCAGGGTGACTCTCCCATCGTACAGGAACCCGAAGAGCCCCTAGCACAGAGGGAGGAGAGTCCTCGGAAAACTAGCCTCGTGATAGTGGAGTCTGCTGACGACCAGCCACAGGCCTTTGAAAGACTCGAGGAAGATGCAGCTTTTCAGAAGGTAAGACTTGCCTTCTCCATTTTCTTCCCCATGTGTAGCAAAACTACAAGGCTTCTCCTAGTTTCCATTTCTCTGATGGCTTATTTTTCCCTGAAAAACAAAAAGCTTTGCCAAATTAATTAACCTGGGCCACATGAAGCCCCCAATCCCTTTTGAAACCCGGGAACCAATGACTCGAGGAAAAATTGAAACACAGTTCCAATTCTAGCTACTTGACCATAATCCCTAATTTTATAATTGAAAACTCTGTTGCTAAGAAAAATGAACCCTGAGGTGAAACAATATACCTGATGTAGCTTTTCAAAATTAGTAACCTTAGGCATGAAGACTAGTGAGAGGCATTAACAGAGCCTCAGGTAACCGTGGGAAAGTGCTGGAACCCGCACTCTTGTTAGGTCTATGTCTGTGCTGTCAGGTGATAAGCACAAAGACTGTGGCTGTTGGGTTGTGTTTATCTCCCAAAACAAATTTTTCTCATTAGAGGAAGGATTATTTCCAAATTAGAACCCCTGATATTTATTTCAGAATGACTCAGACAAGGGACATTGTACCTAAACTTCTTGCTGGTTGTATATGTCAGGACCCTGAGAGCAGCGTGACGTTGCTTCACAGGGTTTCCTTTGTCATTAAGTAAGTTTTGACATTGTGAAGAGAGGTGGAGACCATCTTAAGAAATGCATTTAAGCCACTGATTCTCAAAATTTGGTCTCAATGGTTCATATTTCTGCACATTGACTGGGGGGCGGTGTGATCCCTCTTGAGAACTCCTGAATCAGAATGAATCCCAGGGATGGGAGGGGGACAAGAATCTGCATTTTCCATGACTCCCTAGATGATTCTCATAAAAAAGCTTAAGAATCTTTTTGAACTAAACTTTTAATATAAGTTAAATTAGATATATATTTTCCTCCTAGAATTTAAAAACATTTTATATGTCAAAAAATTTTTAAAGTATCAATATACATCTTAGTAGGAAAGAATGAGTCATATAAATGAATTAAAACTTTGGGGGAAAAAGTGATACAACGTATCTTTGGGCTTAAGACCTACATTTATTTTTGTTCACTGTGAGTGTGACATCTGCTAGCAGGATTTCTCTAAAATCATAGCTACAGTTAGGAGAGGACCAGGCAGATAAGAACTGTTCGTGATTTTGGCGGTTATCTGAAATAATGAATTCATCCCATGAATGGAGTTGTATTCCAAGTTTGTCTTTGCACAGAATTACTCATCTCTCAAATTCTTGGCTTTAAATGAATTCTAGTAAAAATGTTTTATAGATGCTGTCTGGACTTAAAAGTTACCAAATTTAACCTAAGAATCCATAGGCTAATTGAAGTATAGAATTGAAACAATTATCTGGATAATTCACATTGTTTAATCTGTTCTCTGCATGTAAGTAAATTTTGATAAGTCATTCTGTTTTCCACGGTCTTTATCCGGGTCTGTTCCACTTATTCCTGATGAATATGCAATTCTCTCTCTTTAAATCTTTCTATTTTGACCCTTAACTTCTCATGACCCTGACTTGAGGATCCAATTTCAATCACTTTTCTTGCTGATCATATTTCTAGACAGCAGACTCCTGAGTGTATTTAAAGTGTAATTTTGTTTAGAATTTATGTGTTTTCCTTTAGCAGAAAAGAATACAGAAATATAACCAGTATTTTAAAATACGTCGAGAAAATTTAGTTGTCTTTTTCTAAAAATAACATTCCGTTAGGAAAGAGTGATTCAATATATGGCTCTCAGACATATGTTCTAATCTAAAATTATGCTCTTAGCTCCATCTCTGGCTTTGGGCCAGACCCATGAAATCAGACTGGCCTCTGCATCTCAGCTTCTCTGCAAAATGAGTCTCATCCTATTCAGAGCCTGCCTTCCCTGGTGCCAGGGGGATGCACTACTGGCTGGATAATAGCGACAGGGAATTTTTTTGAGTCCCTGCAGATAGTTCTGCCACAAGCCTAAGACGTTTCTCCTCCTTTGGGCTAACCATTCCAAGTCTAAGCCCGGAGGCAGTGGCTCACAGGCATTTCTCATGCTGCTTGGGTTCTGTGTTGACATTCAGTTATTTATCAGGAGTTTAAGTCCAAGAAGTAATGGGGGCGAGACAGCTCTCAGAATTCCAGAATGTTTTTTTTCATTCATTGAACAAAAAGCTCTATCCCCACTGAAGTATGAGACTAGCATGCACTTGTTTCCCCTGCTGGTTTTTCCTCCAAAGCCTGCATGCATAAAACTTTCAGAAACCAGTGTGAGCTAGAGCAGAGACCAGTAGTGAAGACAGTCCTTAGCACGTTAAACGAAACAGTGCTTCTGTGCTTCCACCAGGAGCTAACAGAGGAATTAGGTGAGCTGGAGGCCAGCTCAGATGACGAGGCGACGGTAACCACCAGGGTTGTCCGCCGGCGAGTGATCATTCAGGTACCAGCTGTTAAATGACTTGCACGTCCGGGACGGGTCTGTGCCCGTAACCCTTAGGGAGTGATAGACCCAGAGCAATGAGGGCGCGGCATGCTCCTGAGGTCGTGCATGGCCATCAACAGCAGACCCCTCCACTCTCCTAAGCTGTGTTTGTAAGGAAACGCAGTGGTGTGAGATCTGCAGCCTGCCTCCAAGAGAGCGAGCACCAAGAGCAAGACTTAGCTTCTTCAGTTCCTCCCGCCTCACCTCGCGCTTGTCCATTTTTGTTTGTTTGTTTGTTTGGAGTTTTACCTGCCTTTGGTCCACTTCTCCTAAGCATGTTATTACCCACCAGTTGGGTTTTTTTCTTTTAAACTTACTACCTGACAGGATTTGGCATCTCTGCTGTGCTTCTCAACAGTTCCTTTAACATTCTAACATCGCTCACGTGATAAACACTGGGGAGACGTTCCTCAGAATTGGTGTCAAACACTGAAGTGACCCTTTTCTCTTAACTCTTTAGGGAGATGACATGCCTGACATACCCCCGGAATCAGTCACAGAAGAAGAATACATTGATGAGCACGGACACACGGTGGTAAAGAAGGTATTGTCTGATGTGTTCTCACATGGTTGATTTGCAACCTGCTGTTTGAAATGTATCAGTTCCCTGGTATGGTCACTCACAAACAGGATGCGGGAATAAACTATCTTTCAGGTTACGAGGAAAATCATTAAGCGGTATGTATCCTCGGATGGCACCGAGAAGGAAGAGATTACAGTGCAGGGATTGCCACAGGACCCCGTGGACGTCGAGGAGGGGGATGGCTATTCCAAAGTCATCAAGCGCGTTGTACTGAAGAGTGACACCGCACTGTCGGAGGTGAGGTCCTCTGATTCTCCCACCTGGTTTTATGGAGAAGTGTAAAATAGAGCTCAAAAGAGATGGGCGGATGTTTATTCATATTGACCTCCCTTCTCCCCCTTTATGGCAGTCTGCTTTTAGTTACACATTTATTTTTTTCCCCCATGATTTTGTGGAATTTAAAAATAGCCATCGAGGAGATTTGTAACCATTATACTCATTGTGCTTGTTTGGTCCTTTTTATTTGTGTTTTCCATTTAATTCACAGTTGACCACAGCAGAAATCCAAAAGTGAAATTTTAGAAGACTAGAATCCTATTTGGGGGCAAGCAGGACATTAGGACAAGATGCTGTGCAAATGCACTGTGGTGTTTGTGCCTGGTCAGCACAGCAGCTTGTGTAGGGACCTTTAGATGAGTATCTGCTGTTTAGACTTCTCCATTTCAGAGTCCCTAAAATCAGGATCCAGAAACTCCTTGGTTTCTGGTTTTCTTTCTTTCTCTTTTACTTCCCTCTTTGAGGAACACGTTTACTCTCTTTGATGTATGGTTTGTGACATTCTCAACATTTTGCATTCGTTCACATCCTCAAAATTTTATTATGTTCCACATGAGGTCCTCTAGAAATCTACTTGTTCCGTTTCTCATGTCTTTGAGAGTTCCTCCTTTGGGGGTTAATTTTATCTTCACAATGCCAAAGCAAACCATTTAAACATGGGAAAAGAGAGTTCATCCATAGGTTGTTATGTCTGCCTGGCTCTGAGCAGTCAGTTCCTTATTCATGAAACTTCCTGACTAATTTTTGTTTAAGTGACTAATTAAGTGATTGATTGGGTGCTGTCTAGATAGAGTCATTATGTAGACATTACCAGTTGATTATAGGGTTGTTTTTTTTTCTAACTGCTTCTCTTTTCCGAAATGGCTGGTTTCCTGGAAGGCCAGTATATAACATGGTAGATGTTTTTGTTTTGCTTTGTTTGTTTACATACACAAATTCATCATTGTTACGTTCTGGCAGTCAGAAACTGTGTGTTGTGTGTCCTTCATTCACTAGGTGACTTTGTCTGAGCCCAGCATTTTGTCCAGTTCCTCACAATTTGAGGCTGAACCAGTGGAAGGCCGTAGAGTCAGCAAAGTTGTTAAGACAACCATGGTACATGGAGAGAGGATGGAGAAGCATCTGGGGGACTCTAGTTTAGCCACTGATCTTCCTTCAGCCAAAGATGACTTTGAAGAGGTATAGAACCCCTCCCTTTGTCCTTCTGTGTGTGTGTGTGTTCTGTTTGCTCTGTGCTTGAAAAGAAAATGGTTTATCATTGTGTCATTCCGTATATGTATCCATGGAGGGTGCAGAATCCTTCAGGAGAGGAGGGCTCCTGTTTGAATAACTCGTGCAGTGAGGTTCCATTACCTCGGCCTATGGTGTTCATCAGTGTCAGCTCAAGAGCTGTTAAAAATCCAGTGATCAGGACTCACTTCAGCTGAATCCAAATCAGAACATCCAGTTTGGGGCAGGATTGTACATCTTGCTTAAAAGTCCCAGAAGCGACTCGCACTCCCAAGTAATAAGGGAAAGAAAGAAGGAGGTTGCAAATTACCTTTGCTAGCTAATATTCTCAAATGTTTCCAATGGTAGGCATTAAAGAAAATTCAGATATATTTTATAGTCATAAATAAAACAAGCATTTATAATTATTTAAGTTCTGATTTCCAATAATTAGGAGATGGGTCCACAGTGGCAGGTCCACAAACTATTATGATGATTAAAAAATCCAAAAATTCTGAAAACCTAAACTAATGCTACAAGTTAGTAGCAAGCTGATTTGGCAATAAAGCTTAATGTGAACTGACATGGAGCTATGCCATGGAGTCTTTCTGTCCCACCTAGAGTGAATATTCGTATGTTTTGCTGTTGATATAGCAATGAGTTTGATTACAGGATGCTGTCCCTGCTCCTGGGGTATTAGAGCATACAGTATATGCATCATATTACCATTCTAAAATTCGAAAGGAAAAAAAATATGAATTCTGAAACACATTTGGCCCCGAAGGTTTCAACTAAGGGATCACAGGCATGTGCAAACATCTACAAAACATTTTTTGCTATAAAACATTTTGAAGTTAAATGTTACCTGTGTGTCCTCTTCTATACCCACAATATGCATTGAGATTATACGTGAGTGCGTTGTGATATTAAAAGCATGCCTTATTTAAATACTTCTAGTTCTTCACATTTTGACAACTGGTGACCTTGGATGATCAAAAGATGAATTATCTGGGTTATACACTTGGGCCTTATGTGTTTGCTGCTTGTTCCTGCCTCTGCTCATTATATCTGTCGCTGGGGTCTCCCCTGTGGAAAGGGAGGGGGTGAGGCGAGGAGGAAATCATAAGTCAACCAGTGTGGATGTTACTCAGCAGCGTCTGTGGAGTCACAGAACAGATCCCCCCACAAATGGGAGACATGTGATTAAAACTCACTTCTCAGATCTGCTCCAAGAATTGTTTTTGTTTATCCTTTCAAGTATATCTTTTTATACCGACTATCAATTAAGCAAGGTAATCGATTATTTTAAAGTCTGTGGTTTAAGATGGGTCTTGTCTTGCTTTCTTTTTTCTTACTTCAGGCTTTGAGTTACACAGGTAGCCACATGAAAGTCCACTCCCCCAGTTTAGTAGAGAGAGAAATCCTGAAAGAGGATGGATCCGTAATTAAAAGGTTTGGTTAGCATGGAGTGATGCTTTGCCAACTAACACACCTGAAAGCTTTTTCTGATTTTTAAGGAAAATAGAGCCGCTACATATGCCCTAAAACCCCTTGGGAACTGCCACTCTCCCTGTTTTGTAAGACTTTTGTCAAGGGCTAGGTCTGTCGGTGTGTCACGCCTGTAGTGTCCTCTGGATGCTTTCAAGGTCGTATAAGGTGTGATGATGCGGAGAGGCCTGTTGACACAGTCACTCCCTGGGTTTCAGCAAGTCCTCATTTCTTGAGACCGGCCAGCTGGGGTCTTCCATGTGTTGTTGGGTTTGGGGAGCACAGGGAGAGGAATCTAAGTAACTGCTTGCAGATTAATCTTGTGACCAGCTGCCTTCAGCTCAGTCTTAATAAATTATTACTTTGAATAGTACATGCTTGTTTTTTTGTTTTTGCTTTTTTAAATAAGATGCTTCTTGATTCTGCATTTGAGTAGCAAATAACATGAGCATGAGTTTGATACCCATGAACTGAATAAATCTAGTGATGCTGAAACTAGGTGCTTTGAGAAGTTAAGAAAGTGTCATGAAAGCAGTGACCAGCTTATTTTGTGCCTATGAGGGGCCTCACTGGCAGGCTCTCTGCTCTGCCCCGTCTCCATCACCCATTGATGCATAAACTCCAGCGCTGTGACCTTGGTTGACTCTTGCTCCTCCCTGGTCCTCCAGCAGCACTGTAAGTATTCATCAAATGTTCTCAGCTTCTCAGTGAAAAGACACAATGGAAATTCAAGTTACTATTGTGCTTCCATTTCATTGAAAAGAAGAGAAAGATTGTCATTTATAGTACTCTACAAAGCTATTTTTAGCCTGTAGAACATAATAATTACAACGGTAAAATTAAAGGTTCTGTCGCAATTCCACCCTCCAATCACATGTGAAAAACAGCAGCAGCTAGGAATTTAAAAAGAGTGTAATTGCTCACAGAACTGTAAATGGGCTACACGAATGAAGGATACAGTACTTTTTATACTCTCAGCTTTTAAGTCTTTTACCAGTTATTCCAATGAAACCACATAAACCGTGCACACCCTAGCGTCATGAGATCTTCGAATTAGAATAGATTTAGAGATCAATGAATCCAAAGTTCTCATTTACACCTGGTGAATTTGAAGCCGGGGATGCAGACAACTCAATTAAGTTCCACAGCTACTTAGTTATAAACTCTGTCTGCGATGTGCAACACTTTGTCTTATACGTTCCTGGAGACATTTTATCACACCCACTGCTCCCCGATACACATCTGAGTAAATTCATTCCATTTCCTGAGTCATATACATAAACACCTTCATCTACATATACCTGCACAACATACAGGGCCTGTCGTCCTACGATAGAAGCTGATCCCCCGACGCCAATGCCATAAAGGCTTCTGCTAGCTCTTGGCAGAAACAGTCAGATATATCTCTTTTTGAGGGAAAAAACGATATATGGATGCTGAATATAATCTGATTTCAACCATTGGAACCAAAGTTGACCTTGCTATCAAGAGAAACAAAGTTAAGTTTGCTTTCAGATAGAAAATAACTCATGTGGTATCAAAGGGCAGAGGGAAGTAAGAGAACGTGAGAGGAGAAGGATGAAGGAAGCAGAGATGTCCAAAAGTGAGCTGAAAGTATTCTGGCTGGAGTAAGTCATTTTTTAAAAGTCAGGATGACCTTAACAAATGCATGGAGGTGTTGGAAGGTATCCTGATGAAAAGGGCAGCCATGAGCAGAACCTCCGACTCCTGGACACTAGGAATCCAGAAGGAAAGGCTGCGTAAAGCCACGAAAACTGCTTATCCCTCCGGGGTTCTAAGTGAAGATGCATGGCAGAGGGGTGATGGCTTCTGGCTCTGGCCCCACGGATACTAACTGTGCTATTTTTTATTTGGAGCATTGCTTCAGTTCTCTGAGATTCAGTTTCCTTATTTGTTATATTAATAGTACCTGGCACATAAAACACGTTCACCGTGTTTTTGTGGAATGAAGAATTGTATTTAAGAGTAGACAGAAGAAATGAGAATGAAAATTACAGTATAACGATTTGCAGGTAGGGATACAGGAAAATAATAGCGCAAAATATAATGTTACATCACAGCCCCCTTTTCTCAAGTAAGCACCAGTCTGGGAAGTTTAAGTCAGAATGTGACTCTAAGGATTAAGCTGGCAGCTAAAGTGTTTTACACAAATTAAATTAACAACTTTTTCTTTAGCTTGTCAGAAAGTATGCATGGAATCACTATTTCAGGATGAGCCAAGCTCTTTTATATCAGTGCAACTTAAAACATGAATGGTTGTATGGTTACTTTTTGAGAAAATCATATTAAAGCTTGGTTGCCTTTATTTGAAATATTTCTTAAAGTGTTAAAAAATACTCCTTGTTTCAGAATACTTTAAAAACATCTCATGACTCGTTTCAGATAGGGGAGCCATGTTTAAAGAAAGACGTGAAAAAATGGCTGTAGTTGTTACATTGATAACTCAGTGTAGAAATATCTAGAGGTAAGACAGTAAGTACTTTAGTGGGATGCTTACCCCCATACCAAAGGCAGTAGCTGCCTTTTAGCAGTGAAGAGAGAGCATAATCTCCTCTTGTCTGCTTTCCTCCAGGACAGTAATGAGTAAAGCCAGTACACGGAGCAGGGCTGTGGTGAAGGACCAGCACGGAAAACACATTCACTTGGAGCACCTGGAGGACGTACCAGAAGCGCTAGACCAGGGCGACCTCCAGCGCGACCTCCAGCAACTCCTTCAGCATTTCTGCAAGGAGCACTTGAAGCAAGAGGCCAAATGAGGGGCTGCTCAATTCTCAACCCAGAAACCACGCATTCGCTCAATATGCAACTTCCCATTTCTTTAGCAGAGTGACCTAACTGACCTAGTGGGATACCCTGACATTTCCACTTTCAGCAGATACACTGCATCTTGTTTTAGTTTTTCCCCGTCCTCTTTAACTGTAAGCTAATTTGTGACCAAAGATAGCATCCTTCATTCTGGATGCTGTATCCACTACTTTGTTGTGTCTGTGCTAACCTGGGAACTGGCCACCTCCATTTTTCTTTGCTCCTGCACAAGCTCCATGAAGATCCATTGATCAGAAGAACTTCACCTGCAGACCTCTTCACGTGATGAGATATCGGAATCCTTCCAAGGGATATCCATGTATGTATATAGCTAAAATGCTCAGATGAACAACATATTAAAATTAAAACCACTGCCTATCCTAACTACACTGGGCATCATGGAATAAAAGGCCTCTAGAGTTGCTGAACAATGGTTACTTAAGATATTGCTAACACAATCGAATGATAACACAGTTCTACTGCAAAAGAAGCACTTCAGACTACCACGTCCTTAGAACTTCCAGAGTAGCCATTGCTCCTAGTTAAAAGATGGGTTAATAACCTTGAGGAACTGTCTTAACTAAGCACTTATTGCTGGTGCTGGCCAGCCGTGATTTGTGACTCTCCTAAAGCCACTCTGAGGGAGGGAGCAGAAGGCAAAGAGAATGAGACAAGGAGATACTCAGTTGCTAGCCACTGCATCCTGTGGCACTCTAGCATCTTCAGGTCTTTTAGATTTTGGACACGTTGGCAGGGTATTTTAAAAAGCTATAACTACTGTAGTTCCCCAGTTTTCACTGCTGCTTAAGCAAACCACGCTGTCTTATTGGTGGTACTTTCTTCTGGCCACTGCACTGTAGATAACTCATTGGAAACCAGACTTACCCACTACACAAAAGGTTAAACTCCTTCACCGTGTTGGAGTGGCTTCTTCTTTTTTTTCCCCCAGGTTTGTATCTTCTCTAATACGTGCATGTAGCGTTTGAAAATCAAAACCACAGTCAAAACCCCTCTTCTGATCACATTAATGGTTTTCATTCTTTATACCCTGAGCAAGCACTTTTCACTGTTCAGCTAGGTCTGTTTTTTAGCTTGCAGACAAGGTTGAGAAATCCTTAAAAATTTGGTTTTGGTTAAAATTTTTGGTTTATTTATTTGAAATCCAAACTCCCTTGGAAACTCTTAAGTGCGTTGGTGCACTTTCCTGTTCGTTTGTTTCAAAGAAGGGACTTTAATAATCTGAGTGAGTTCCACGTCCTGTTCCTTATTCCTCTAGTGGTTGAAGCTGTGTAGCATTTTAACATATATATATATTCACAAATATATTCATATAAACGGTATACATTTTGAATCAGTTATTTGTTAAAGAAAAGTATATTCAATGAAGATGAAATTTAAAAAAAAACAACACACACACCAGAGTCCATCCTCCAATGATTGAACGTTTTCCACTCCTATCTGGTCTTTTCCTGTTGTGCAAAAATGACTCATTGCCCCGAATGTCAAAAACAAACGGGACAAACAATGGCACTTCATCATTTTCAAGGAACGTTGCCAAGAGAGAAAATTTCCTGGGAGGGAGGTTTCCCACAAGCCGACTCTCGAAGCCTCACAGGCTAGCACTTTTTGGCAGTTGGATAGGAAATCAAGCATTCTTTGGCAGCCAGAATGAGAGAGGCCCGTGGTGAAACTTTCTGGGACACACCATGGCCTTCTTGTTACAACCTTCACTGGAGCTCAAGAAAAGCATTTCTATTGTGTTCTTTGCAGTGCAGATGATGTCTGTGTAACAGCATAATGGTTATTCACCTTTTTTTTGATTTTGATTTTTGCTGTGTAATCAAAAAACTTGAATACTGTGAGAAGAAGTGAATTTTCAGTTGATGAATCAGCATCTTGTTCCCATGGTGATAACACTAAGTGAATATATCTATGAGGGCATGTATTAGTTAATGGAAAAAAATACAACACTAACAATACATAGCTGCAATGTGTACAATGGCTGATTTAATTAAATAAAATGTACAAGTGTTAAATGTGGCAACAGTGATTTGTTCTTCTTTATCACTAATCTGTGATTTCAGGAGAAACGAGATTATTAAAGAGACAACATAGATTTGAAGCCAAAAGAAAGAACAAATTGCCTTTGTTGTTGTTTTTATTTGGTAACTGAACATGCTGGGTCCAACATCGTGTTAAGCACTGGGATGAATAGATTTTGTCCTTGCCATCAAAGAACTTTTATTGTCATTCAAAGGAAGAAAAACAGGGGCTGGCTGAGTGGTTAAGTTCGTGTGCTCGCCTTCGGTGGCCTAGGGGTTTGCTGGTTTGGATCCTGAGCACGGACATGGCACCGCTCATCAGGCCACGCTGAGGCAGCATCCCACATGCCACAATTAGAAGGACCCACAACTAGAATATCCAACTATGTACTGTGGGGCTTTGGGGAGAAGAAGGAGGAAAAGAAAGATTGGCACCAGATGTTCACGTTAGCTCGGGGCCAATCAAAAAAAGGGAGAAAAACAAAGATTTATTTTTCGTTTTGAGATGGCCAGTAGTAAATGAGCACTAGGCATCCAGGGGCCTGAGGGAGATGAGGAGAGGGTAGCCAGGGTTCGGCAGCCCAGCGAGCCCACGAGGCAGGGCCCCTTTCAGCTCTCTCCTATAAGACGCTAGCTCTCAGAATCAGCCCTGCCTTTGGGAACAGCATTTCACTGGGTGGGTGGGAGTTATTTATCTCTTATAGCCTGAGAAGAGGAATTAGAAATTAAATGGATACATTAATATAAATAAAGACAGGGCAGGAATGTGCAAAAGTGAAATCAGTTGTATTTGGAGAGGTTACTTTTTTTTTTCAAAAAACAAAATCCCTTTAGTGTTGCTATAATATATTTTTACTGCAAAAATAAAAAGGCTCGGTTTATGGAATTGGCTTTATTTAAATCTTATCTAGTGTGAGATAGGAAGCTCACAGGATCTGTCCCATCTGCCTGGTTGATTTACAAGATCTTCCAAAATTCAAGTACCAATTCTGCTTGAAATTTTTCAAAGGAAGTAGAGCCAAAGTTGAAAAGTGTTTCTGTAGTAGGATGTGTGTAGCTCTCCCTCCTCTCATGGGCTTCAGGAGCTGTGCTTTCCGTCAACAGGAGCTCTGGGCTTCCAGTGACTTGGGTTTGATTAAGGAGATTGAAGCAACAGAGAGTATTCAATGTCTTCTCATGGTTAATTAGGTGGTGTGCAAACCCTATTAAAAAAATGAACAGTGAGTCATACACCCTTTACAGAACCGTATTTAAAATCTGGGATGGTGGGAACCCTCAGACCGCAGGAAGATGATGCTCCTCTCGTAAATGACTTGCATTAGTCATAAAGACGAGCAAATACAGACAAGCACATTGAAACAGGCTTGAATTGAATGAACTTAGGCTGCTGGTGTCATTCGATTTATGTCGGCACGGAGGGTCTGGGTGTGGGCAAGCAGACAGCACATGAGTAAAACAGATAAAGGGAAGTTCAACAAAATTTAATGAGAACCAAAATCGCTACAAGGTTTTCTTACGTAATGGAATACACATGGTCTGCTCGTTTTCATTATGCTATAAAAAAAGAAGTTGTTTGAAAGTCTTTGTCTTCGGTTGCCACTCCTTGCTGAAAAACTGTCGTCTCCTTTCGTCAAGGTAGGATTTCTCTTTCTGATCTAATTAAAGCTAGAATTACAATCTTAGAATGAGTCCCTCAAGTAAATACATAATACACTTTTTCTTGCTGTAATAATAGAACATTTAAGAAAATCTTTCAAATATCATAAGAAAAACCTTCATTCCCAACTCCTGCACACAAACTAAAATATGCTTTTTTGGTTATACTACACTTCCTGGGAAAAACAAAACTACTCCCTTGCTTTAAACTAGCTCCGTGGTCTGGAGTAAACGACACGCATGAGTATCCTTGGGTAGAGCTGGGGTGTATGGCAGACGAGACATTTGACAGGGGTATTTGTCATCCTTCAATCACTGGAAAGGTTTGGTTGGTAAGCCCTTGAAACGTTCCAGTGAGGCAATATGACACGACGGTTAAACAGGTGCTCTTGCAGGAAGACTGAAGTGGAACTACTCCAGCTCTGTCCACACTGATGTGACTTTGCGGAAGTTCCTCCTCTGGAGCATAATTCCCTCATAGTAAAATAAGAGAGAATCCTCGCCTCAGAACCCTCTCGCCACACCAGGCGGCAGGGCAGGGCCGCAAGTCCTGCCTCATGTGTCCTCCCTTCAGCTAGAAGTGCCATGGTGGCCTATGTGTCCTTGGAGGCCATTGGTTATGGAGCCCTATTTGTGACCTTCCACCTCTTCGGGGAGGAGAGAGCCTCTGGGTAGGTGTTGCAGGCCTCATCTGAGCCCTCTAGGTTAGAAAATAAAGTGACCCGCTTCCCACAGGCACTCACAGGAACTTCTTGTCAGTGAAGCCCTTGGATTTGCTTCCCCTTCTGAGGAAAGACTGTTCAGGATCTCTTTTTCTCAGTTGGCCCTTATAACTCAGTTCTGGTTTCCATTCCTTTTTCAAACTTCCCACGCATACTCTATTTTGGGTTTTCTTTTTTCTCCACTCTCAGCCTTGACTGCAGAATTGGAGAAAGCCACGCCAACCCCTACTAAGTGTTCTCTTCCAGCAGCAGGTCCAGCACAGACACTGCGAAGAGAAGGGCTGGCAGGGCCCTGGGCTGGACTGGAGGGGGACGTGAACACAGCAGCTGTCCCTGTGCACGTGCAGAACAACTGAGTTACCACGACTGCACGAATTCCACATCGTGCCCGTTTATCCTGAGCGTTGATGAGAACTCAGCCCTCATCTAGACTGGGACGTGGTGTAGCAGCAACTTTGGAGGAGTTGGACATTGTGTGAATTTTCCAAATGACTCACCAAATGTGATTCCTTAGAGAACCCCTCCCCAGCCACACTACCACCCGGAGGACAGAGGGACAGTGCGGAGCGTCTGCTGTTCCAACAATCCTGTTGGGGTTGAGATTGGTGTATTTGTTTCCTCGGGCTGCTGTAACAAAACCCCACGGCCTGGGGGCTTACCTGACAGAAGTTTATCTCCTCACAGTTCTGCAGGATGAAATCTGAGATTGAACGTTGGCAGTTGGTTTCTTCTGAGGTCTCCCTCTTTGGCTTGCGGCCTGCCACCTTCTTGCTGTGTCCTCACATGGTCTTTCTTCAGTGCACGTGCATCCCTGGTGTCCCTGTGTCCACATTTCCTGTTCTTACTAGGACACCAGTCAGATTCGATTGGCCCCACCCAAATGGCCTCATTTTACCTTAATCACCTCTTTAAAGGCCCTGTTTCCAAATACAGTCACATTCTGAGGTACTAGAGGTTTAGTGCTTCAATATATGAATTTTGGGAGGACACAATTTGGCCCATAACAATTGGATTTAGTCCAAAAACCCAAGCCCACTAGGTATTTCAAGTGCGAAAAGATTGAGTCAGGGAATTAGAAAATGGTACGATTGTTGGAAGAGCCAAAAGAGGGAAGGCAGGGAAGCCACTGCTGCTTTAAAGAAATCTCTAAGTGCAGGGGCTGGCCCCGTGGCACAGCAGTTAAGTTTGCACATTCCTTTTCAGCAGCCCATGGGTCGTCGGTTTGGATCCTGGGTGCAGACATGGCACAGCTTGGCACGTGATGCTGTGGTAGGCGTCCCACATATAAAGTAGAGGAAGATGGGCACAGATGGTCGCCCAGGGCCAGTCTTCCTCAGCAAAAAAAAAAAAAAAAAAAAAAAAAAGAGGAGGATTGGCCATGGATGTTAGTTCAGGGCTAATCTTCCTCAAAAAAAAAAAAAATATCCCTAAGTGTAGAAATCAGAACTAGAAGCTAGAGCTGGCGGGTTTGGCTCCACACAGCAACCAAGTGTATGCTTCTTAGGAGAATACCCAGATGCAACTGCAGGAAGCCTTCTCTGTCTTCTGCCAAAGTCCATGCACTCTTCCTGGCTGCCCCTGAACAAATAATTACTTTCCTCCTCTTTTCTTTTCAAACCTTGGGCAAACAGGTATCATTGGCAGGATCTAACACATAACCCCACTGGAAATGGATTCCAAGAAGTATAGTTCTGAGGATCTTCCCCCAACCTGCAGGGAAAAATGTAGAATAGGACAGAAATGATGCTGATTAACAAGGTAGGGCAGCAACTAACCATAGGGTTTGAGCCACAGAATGACAGTCTTCAGCCATCCACTAATTCACACATTCAAGACCTACTGTATTCCAGGCATTGTGCTAAGGGCTCAGGGTAGATTGAGGCCAAGATGGTCATGAGTTTTCACTATTGCCAGTCACCATTGAAAGTGCCCTTGAAACTTCTTTAGTCTCTACCACAAACCTATGAAGGAGACACAACGAGGAAATTGAGGGGCAAAGAGGTTGAGTAACTTGCCCAGATCATGCAGCTAGAAAACTGCAAAGCTGGGATAAGAACCCAAGCAAATGGCTCCTGCAGTAAACCATGCTCCATCTTTGAAAGACACCATCCCTGCCCCTTCAGTTTATAATCTTGCAGTAGAGGCATATGGAACCAATGATTTCACAAATAATTAATTAATTTAACATTTGTCTTCTAGAGAAATACCTTGTTGCCTTATTTATAAGGAAACAAGCCCTGTTCAGTACCATTCTCATCTCTATTCTTCTCCAAAATCTCTTTCTTTCTCCTAGAGTCTGCTTTCTCTTCCTCACCCACCGCATGCTCAGCAGATGACCTTGACTGTTTTATAAGAAAGTAGATGTCAGTGGCATGCTGCATTGGTTAGAGCTCTAAAGAGAAACAGAAACAACAGGATGAATATATATAGAGAGAGACATCATAAGGAACTGGCTCATGTGGTTTTAGAGGCTGAGAAGTCCCAAGATGCGCAGTCAGCAAGCTGAAGACCCAGGAGAGCGATGGTGTAGTTCCAGTCCTAAAGCCGGCAGGCTCCAGACCGAAGAAGAGCTGATGTTTCAGTTCGAGTTGCAAGGCAGAAAAACACTGATGTCCCAGGTC